CCCAAGACATACCATCCTTATGTGAATCCACTAGGAAACACAGCTTGCCTTACTTCAGAGATCTTTTGTCTAAGCTGAACTCTTCGACTGGTTGCCCTCCTGTAAGTTGTATAGTTTCTGATGGTGTCATGAGCTTCACTCTTGATGCAGCCCACGAACTCGGCATCCCAGAAGTGCTTTTCTGGACAACAAGTGCTTGCGGCTTCTTGGCCTATGTACACTACCACCGCCTCATTGAAAAGGGTCTCACTCCTCTCAAAGGTATTATTTTCACTCCTCTGACTTTTTCATGAACATATCTTCACTGATTTATATTTTATTTTCAGTTTTGTATATGAATATCTTAACCTAACCATGTTTTTTAATAGAATAATAACGCACTATTTCTTAATTTGATTTGCAGATGCCAGTTATTTGACAAACGGCTATTTGGAGACACAGATAGATTGGATACCAGGCATGAGAGGCATCCGACTAAAGGACATCCCCAGCTTCATTAGAACCACAGACCCAGATGATATCATGCTGGATTTTGTGGTGCATGAAACAGAGCGAACTCGAAAAGCTTCTGCTGTCCTCTTGAACACCTTCCATGACTTGGAACATGAAGCTTTAGATGCACTTTCAACTTTGCTACCGCCTATTTACTCCATTGGACCCCTACATCTACAGATTAACCAGATCCCGGCAGATAGCGAGTTGAAGGAGATAAGATCAAACCTATGGACAGAGGAACCAGAGTGTCTAGAATGGCTTGACTCTAAAGAACCTAACTCTGTGGTTTATGTCAACTTCGGAAGCATCACAGTGATGACAGCAGAGCAGCTAATTGAATTTGCTTGGGGACTTGCAAGCAGCAATCAGACCTTCTTTTGGGTGATTAGGCCTGATCTTGTTGGTGGGGATTCAGCTGTGGTTCCACCAGAGTTTGTGGAAGAAACCAAAGAAAGGAGCCTATTGGCACATTGGTGCCCTCAAGAACAAGTCCTGAGCCATCCGGCTGTAGGAGGGTTCTTGACTCACAGTGGTTGGAACTCTACTATTGAAAGTGTTTGTGCTGGAGTGCCCATGATCTGTTGGCCCTTCTTCGCAGAGCAACAAACCAATTGTAGGTACAGTGAGAAAGAGTGGGGCATCGGCATGGAGATTGAGAGTGATATTAAAAGAAACTACGTAGAGGGGCTTGTGAGAAAGTTAATGGAGGGAGAGGAGGGCAAAGATATGAGGAGGAAAGCCTTGGAATGGAAGAAGTTGGCAAAGGAGGCCACCACTGGTCCAAATGGGTTATCTTTTGTGGGTTTGGACAAATTGGTTAACCAGATGCTTCTATCTCCGAGGAATTAGAAATTGATCAATATTCTACGTAGCTGCTCGCTGCTTTGTATTTGGCCTAGTTAAACCCAAACACGAGACAACTATTTGTGCAACATATCATGCATTCTTAGGAGAAACCATTCAATGCCACTGAGTCTCAGTGTTTTATGTTTTGTAGCCGTCGATAAGTCAAATTTGAAGAGTGTATTTTGTTGTAATGGTTCTACACCGTGAATGATTGATCAGATGAGTATTTTTAATAATATAGATATAGGGCTTTTTATCACAAATGGTTTCGAGGTTTACGAAATTATCACATTTCGTTTCTACTATTTTTTTATGATAATAATGATCCTTAAAGTTATAATCCATATATCAAAATGATCCCTGCCATTAACTTCTGTCAAATTTTCTGATAAATTGTTGACATGATACATGTGTGGAACCCACCCACAACTAATGGTATAAAGCCACATAGTTTTAAACAAACCTCAAAACTGTTTAATATAGAACACATAAATATAAAATCAAATCAAATAAACAAACAAAAATTATTACACGCCGAACAGATCTTATCTAGTATTGACTGCCGTTCCAAAAATTATGACACATTACAAAGTCAACTGGAACTATAAGGACAAATCAACTTTGTCATGCACCGTGCATTTTTGGACTTGAAAGTTTATTAAGTGATTGATCCCTTCTCTCTCTTTCCTATAAAACTGATACTGCAAAAGCCTTATCTTCTCCACAACCATATAACCATATCCCATTTTGGTTAGCTTTGTCCAAATTTATTTGCCAGAATGGGTTCTTCTGGTTTAACAGAGAAGCCACATGCAGTTTGCATACCATACCCAGCTCAAGGTCACATAACCCCAATGCTGCAATTAACCAAACTCCTCCACTACAAGGGCTTTCACATAACCTTTGTGAACACCGAATTCAACCACAGACGCCTTCTTAAATCCCGAGGTCCCAACTCTCTTGATTGCCTCCCATCCTTTAGGTTCGAAACCATTCCCGATGGCCTCCCTCCAACAGATACCAATGCCACCCAGGACGTAACCGCTCTATGCGTTTCCACTAGGAAAAATTGCTTAGCACCCTTCAGAGACCTTTTGTCAAAACTCAATTCTTCGCCCGATTCCCCTCCAGTTACTTGTATAGTTTCTGATGGTGGCATGATCTTCACTCTTGATGCAGCCCAAGAATTGGGCATTCCGGAAGTTATTTTCCAGACACCAAGTGCTTGTGGCTTGATGTGCTACCTTCAGTGTCGCCCTCTCATCGAAAGGGGCTTAATACCTCTTAGAGGTACATACACTGACTTCAAATTCCTGATTGGTCATTTGGGAACACTGACTTTGTACTAAAAATGTTACATATTTAACTAGAATCTTAACTCACCGGTACTGTTACTCAATTTGATTTGCAGATGCTAGCTATTTGACAAATGGGTATTTGGATACTGAGATAGATTGGATACCAGGCATGAGAGGTATCCGATTGAGGGACATCCCAAGCTTCATCATAACCACAGACCCACATGATTTCATGCTGGATTTTCTATTGGTTGCGATGGCAAGAGCTAAAAGAGCTTCTGCTATAGTTTTGAACACGTTTGATGCGTTAGAGCATGAAGTTTTAGATGGACTATCGACTTTGCTACCACCTGTTTATTCCGTTGGACCCCTACATCTACAGCTTAATCAGATCCCAGCAGATAACGAGTTGAAGTCCATTGGATCAAACCTGTGGACAGAAGAACCAGTGTGTCTTGATTGGCTTGACTCTAAAGAACCTAACTCTGTGGTTTATGTCAACTTTGGAAGTATCACAGTCATGACAGCTGAACAGCTTATTGAGTTTGCTTGGGGACTTGCAAACAGCAACCAGACCTTTTTTTGGGTGATCAGGCCTGACCTTGTTGGTGGGGAAGCAGCTGTGGTTCCACCAGAATTTATGCAAGAGACCAATGAAAGGGGTCTATTGGCAAGTTGGTGCCCTCAAGAACAAGTTCTGAGCCACCCAGCCGTAGGAGGGTTCTTGACACACAGTGGTTGGAACTCTACTCTTGAGAGTTTGTGTGGTGGAGTGCCCATGATCTGTTGGCCCTTCTTTGCAGAGCAACAAACCAATTGTAGGTTCTGTTGCAAAGAGTGGGGCATAGGCATGGAGATAGAGGGTGATGTTAAAAGAAATTACATAGAGGGGCTTGTGAGAAAGTTAATGGAGGGAGAGGAGGGCAAAGAGATGAGGAAGAAAGCCTTGGAATGGAAGAAGTTGGCAAAGGAGGCCACCACTGGTCCAAATGGGTTATCTTTTGTGGGTTTGGACAAATTGGTTAACCAGGTGCTTCTATCTCCGAGGAATTAGAAATTTAGAATTGATTCAAAATCTATCTTGTTTTTACTTTGTATTTGTCCAAGAAGTTTACCTATTAAGCTTAATACTGCTTCTATCACGAATTCATTTTTTAGGTATGCATTTACTTGACACCGGTCCAATGTAAAATGAAGTCCAAGGCAAACGTAAGTGGCATCGGTTACCACATTGATGCACGATACCAAAGTTTCACGGCCACGTTGTTGATCGGGAAATAATCGATGGGTTATGTGTGATAAAAGCTCCCTTTGTTACTACACCTAACATGCCTAAAGAGCTTGACAACCATGTTATTCTAACTAACTTACACTACTCTGCCTAAATTCCTGCATTGGACTTCCATACTGTGCACTCCTAGGTTAATATACCGAGATTATCTTCTTTTTACCCTCATCAAAGGAGGAGCTCTATTTGGCAAGACTAATGAAACGGTGCTCTTTTCTCTATAGAGCCGAGCTATTTCAACTCTTTCAAATTAGGCAGCAGATGTTTAACAAGGGGGTGACAGACCTGCATTGCACCCATGAACAGCGTAGGAGAGAGAGCCCAAGATAAGATAAAATAACAAGCTTCATGCAAGTGAAAGACATGAAAACAGAGGTACCGCATTCAGAAAAATTAAAGGCAAATCCCATAGAGGCATTTTAACGAACGATTCACGTGCAAACATAAACAGCCAATTCTTAATCTACCTAGTGTGAAGATCAACATTATAAAAAATACACTTCACACCAAAGTAATTACCAACACAAAAAGAAGCGTTTAACCTTATAGAGACTCAGCGCAGGCTAGCAATGGTACTCCGAGTGTGCACTGTCTGCTTCCCAAGAAAACTCCATTTCCGATAGAAATGAAGCAAATTGATGCCAATTGGTAGGTTTTGATGCCAATTTCTAATTTCTTTTATTTCGGATGAAATCTTTCGGGATGTTTAGCTGATAACAGTGTTCTGGATTGTTAGAGAGATTTCCTCTTCTCAATCAAAACTGATTGTGTAACTGAAGATCAGTTTTCATTCTTTGTAATTATTGCTGTTTATTACTTCTTGTAACAGTCAAACAAATCTCCTATATAGTTGTACATTGTAAACAGATTTAAATCAAGGGGAAATCATTTTCTACATGGTATCAGCCTAAGTCTAGGATCCTTACCTGTCTCCAGCATCCCTTAGCGTTCCTCTTTTTTTATTTTAAATTTCTTTCTTCCCTCTTCTTGCCCATGGCCACCTCATCTTCCTGAACTGCTCCCTCCCAAAATACTGCTCAATTCACCAAACTTACCGAAACCAATTACCTCACATGGCTTCGGCAATCAAACCATACCTTCATGGTGCCAAACTTTGGGGATATGTTGATGGCACCAGTCCTGAACCATCTCTCACCACCATGACCACTGCCACTGACACTGAACCAGCACAATCCATTCCTAATCCTGCACATGATACGTGGTTCACCGTCGACCAACAAATCGTCAGCATCCTCACCACCACTCTAACAGAAAACATCGCACAGCTTACCATTGGTTTCGACACATCAAAGGCAATTTGGGACTGCCTTGAACACCATTTTTTCCCAGAAGTCTGTAGCTAGTGCAACCTATCTCAAAATGCAACTTCTAGATCTCAACAAAGGCACTCAATCTGTTGACGAATACCTCCATCATGCCAAATCAATTGCTGATCCTTTGGTCTCCATTAACAAGCCTGTTTTTGACGAGGACTTGGTCATCGCCACTCTTCATGGTCTTGGCCCCGATTACATCATGCTTCGTACTGCCCTCACTCAAAATCCTCCACTCCCTGATTTCACTGAACTTCGGGCTCGAATTCTCTCTTTTGATGCACAACAATCTCGTCCTGCTGCTTCCCCTACGGCTACTGCTCTCTTCAATCACAGTCAAGCCTCTCCTATATAGTTGTACATTGTAAACAGATTTCAATCAAGGGGAAATCATTTTCTACATGGATCACTAATGGCACAAAAAGGAGGGAAGGGTTTTTTGAAATGAAAATGGCAGCTTATGTAACTAGTTGGTAAAATAGTGGTAATTCTATAGGTAAGCTCAACTTAGTTGGGGGATGTGATGAACACCATTGTTGTGATTCTGTGATTATTGCAAGTCTTTTGAGTCCTGAAAACTCAATCTGCTCTCCAAGATTTTGCTGCCATTTCCAATGAAATTAAAATTCAACAATTTAAATGGTATAAGCGGTACAGGCAAAGAATGGATGGAACTTGTAACAATGTATCATGCATGCTAAACATTTTTTTGAATCTTACATCCAATGAAATCCAAGTACATGAAAAAGGATGAACGACTAAGACGTTCTCAGATCAGATGGACCAAATTACAGCTACTCTTTTTCTTCAAGGGTGAACGAACGGTCCTACGAGTGCCAAGTCGATCATAGAAAGGAGAGTGGATTGGGTGTTTTGGTTCAGCATAAGGCCATGCACGGATACAGAAATTAGAATTGATCAAATTCTACCTGGTGCTGCTTTGTATTTGGCCTAGTTAAACCCAAAATCGAAACAGGTTGACACACAACATACCTTGCATTCTTAGGAGAAACTAGTCAGTGTGACTCAGTGATTGGTGTTTTCAGTTTATACTCTGAGACTTGTTGCATACCAATAGAATCGCTTGTATTTGCATGTCCGAAAAGAGTGTATGTTGTCAAATCTGAAGAGTGTACTTTGGTCAAATTGTGTTGCAGAATGCGCGGATGATAAATTCTTGGTTCATAAAATATACCTACTAAGGTAGCTCTAGCCCTAAAACATTAACATTTGATTTTCCTATAGTATTATTTATGTAAGAGCTATGAGGGACCAAAAAAGGTGTAAAAAAACAAAAAACAAACCCCAAAACTCTTCAATATAGAACATATAATTATCAAATCAAAACAAACAAACAAACATAAATGATTGCGTGCCAAACAGAGTATGGGAAAGAATACGAAATTGAATATTATTGACTGCCGTCCAAAACATTATAAAACCTCGTCACGAACTTTGACATATTGGACTTGAAAGTTTACTAAGTGATTGATCCCTTTTCTCTCTTTCCTATAAAACTGGTACTGCAAAAGCCTTCTCTTCTCCACAACCATATCCCATTTTCATTAGCTTTGTCCAAATTTATTTGTGAGAATGGCTACATTTGGTTTGACAGAGAAGCCACATGCAGTTTGCATACCATACCCAGCTCAAGGTCACATAACACCAATGCTTCAATTAGCCAAACTCCTCCACTACAAGGGCTTTCACATTACCTTTGTGCACACAGAATTCAACCACAGACGCCTGCTTAAATCCCGAGGTCCCAACTCTCTTGATGGCCTCCCATTCTTCCGGTTTGAAACCATTCCCGATGGCCTCCCTCCAACCGATGCCAATGCCACCCAAGACATAACTGCTCTATGCCTTTCCACTAGTAAAAATTGCTTAGCACCCTTCAGAGACCTTTTGTCAAAGGTCAATTCTGTGCCTGATTCCCCTCCAGTTACTTGTATAGTTTCTGATGGTGGCATGACCTTCACTCTTGATGCAGCCCAAGAATTGGGCATTCCGGAAGTTATTTTGGAGACACTAAGTGCTTGTGGCTTGATGTGCTACCTACAGTATCGCCCTCTCATTGAAAAGGGCTTAATGCCTCTTAAAGGTACATACACATACTTCAAATTCCAGAGTGGTCATTTGGGAACACTGACTTTGTACTAAAAATGTTACATATTTAACTAGAATCTTAACTCACTGGTACAATTTCTTAATTTGATTTGCAGATCCTAGCTATTTGACAAATGGGTATTTGGATACTGAGATAGATTGGATACCAGGCATGAGAGGTATCCGATTGAGGGACATCCCAAGCTTCATCAGAACCACAGACCCAAATGACTTCATGCTGGATTATCTATTGGTAGAGATAGCACGAGCTAAAAGAGCTTCTGCCATCATTTTGAACACATTTGATGCGTTAGATCATGAAGTTTTACATGGACTTTCGACTTTGCTACCACCTGTTTATTCCGTTGGACCCCCTACATCTACAACTTAATCAGATCCCAGCAGATGACAAATTAAAGTCCATTGGATCAAACCTGTGGACAGAAGAACCAGAGTGTCTTGAATGGCTTGACTCTAAAGAACCTAACTCTGTGGTTTATGTCACTTTGGAAGTATCACAGTCATGACAGCTGAGCAGCTGATTGAGTTTGCTTGGGGACTTGCAAACAGCAACCAGACCTTTTTTTGGGTGATCAGGCCTGACCTTGTTGGTGGGGAAGCAGCTGTGGTTCCACCAGAGTTTATGGAAGAGACCAAAGAAAGGGGTCTATTGGCAAGTTGGTGCCCTCAAGAACAAGTTCTGAGCCACCCAGCCGTAGGAGGGTTCTTGACACACAGTGGTTGGAACTCTACCCTTGAGAGTTTGTGTGGTGGAGTGCCCATGATCTGTTGGCCCTTCTTTGCAGAGCAACATGCCAATTGTAGGTTCTGTTGTAAAGAGTGGGGCATAGGCATGGAGATAGAGGGTGATGTTAAAAGAAATTACGTAGAGGGGCTTGTGAGAAAGTTAATGGAGGGAGAGGAGGGCAAAGAGATGAGGAAGAAAGCCTTGGAATGGAAGAAGTTGGCTAAGGAGGCCACCACTGGTCCAAATGGGTTATCTTTTGTGTGTTTGGACAAATTGGTTAACCAGGTGCTTCTATCTCCGAGGAATTAGAAATTTAGAATTGATTCAAAATCTATCTAGTTACTTTGTAATTGTCCAACAAGTATACCTATTGAGATTAATAATACTTCTGTCATGAAACCATTTTTCAGGTCTAATGTAAAATGCAGTCTAGGGCAAACTTAATTGACATCGGTTACCACATTGATGCACGACACGAAAGTTTCATGGCCACGTTGTTGATCGGGAAATAATTGATGGGTTATGTGTGATAAAAAAGTCCTTTGTTACTATACCTAAAATACCTAAAGGGATTGACAGCCATGTTATTCTAACTCACTTACACTAGCCCGCCTAAATTCCTGCATTGAATTTCATAAATGTGCATTCCTGGGTTAATATACCTAAGATTATGTTCTTTTTTCCCCTCATCAAAGGGGAGCTCGATTTGGCTGCATCCATGTTCTTTTCTCTATAGAGCTGGGTTATCTCAACTCTTTCAAATTAGGCAGGAGATGTTTGCCGCTCGATTTCCCTACCCCTTCGCTCTATATCGATTGATCAAATGAGTTCTTTTGAGGTGATATAAATTCAAATAATTTTATTAAAAATTATGTAAAGAAAGAACGAGAACGTGCAAACAAATAAACAAACCTCAAAACTCTTCATGGAGACACACAAACAAATAAACAAACAAAGAAACTTTAGTGCATGCCAGACCCAAGTATAGTATATAGTATATACTCTCGACTGCCGTCCCAAGATTATGGCAAAATTATATACTGACAAACTTGCATTGCACCCATGAACAGTGTTTGTGTGTGTGTGTGTGTGAGAGAGAGAGAGAGAGAGAGAGAGAGAGAGTGCTGCAAATAGCCAAACTGCTTCATGCAAGTGAAAGACATGGAAACAGAGGCACCACATTTATAAAGAAGTTAAAGGGGAATCCCATACAGGCATTTTAACGAACAGCTCACGTGCAAACATAAACAGCCGACCCTTAGAGTTAGAGCTACCTATCGTGAAGATCAACAGTATCAAAAATACACTTTATACCAAAGTACTTACCAACAGAAAAACGTTTAACCTTACAGAGACCTTGTTCAGCGCAGTCTTAGCAATGCTACTCCCAGTCTGCAATGTCTGCTTCACAAGAAAACTCCATTTCTGATAGAAATAAAACAAGTAGTCTTAGCAATGTACCTACAGCCTCTTTAATATGTTTTAGTTTCTAATTTCTTTTCTTTCGGATGAACTATTTCGGGATGTTTAACACTGTTCCGGATTACTAACGGCAGAAAAAAGGAGGGAAGGGCTTTGAAATGAAAATGGTAGCTTATGTAAATAGTTGGCCAAATAGTGGTAATTTTATGAGGATAAATTACTTTTCCGGTTACCCAAATTTTATTTTCGCCGGCAAATAATTTCTTAATATGAGAGTGGCACAAAAAAATTTCCCAATTTCAAAATTCGTTTCTACCATAACTCTTCAACAATTCATTAAATTAAAATTTTCAAGATATTTGGCTGATGCTTAAAGGTTTTAATCAAGTTCCGATACAACATGCTTATTGAGAATCTAATCAAGTCGCAGATATTCTGGCTAACGCGGTCATGCTTCTTCAATTATGTATGTTTTGGTTTGGAAATTCTCCAATGATATTTTGCATATATGACGTTGTGATTTTATATAATAGTCTTCATATTTCAGCATCAATAACCTGTCCCTATCCCAACATAGCAAAGTATCTTCCAATCCGCTCACCACTACTTTCTCAAAGGGCACCACATGAGAAACGACGTAGAGGGGCTTGTGAGAAAGTTAATGGAGGGAGAGGAGGGCAAAGATATGAGGAAGAAAGCTCTGGAATGGAAGAAGTTGGCAATGGAGGCCACCAGCCCTAATGGCTCATCATTTGTGGCTTTGGACAAATGATTAACCAGGTGCTTCCATCTCCAAGAAATTAGAATTGATCAATATTCTACCTAGTTGCTTGCTGCTTTTTATTTGGCCTAGTTAAACCCAAACATGGGACACAACTATTTGTGCAACATATCATGCATTCTTAGGAGAAACCATTCAGTGCGACACAGTGTTTTATGTTTTGTAGACGTCGATTAGTCAAATTTGAAGAGTGTATTTTGTTGTAATGATTCTACATCGTGAATTGATCAGATGAGTATTTTTAATAACATAGATATAAGACTTTTTTTATCACAAATGGTCTCGAAGGTTTACAAAATTATCACATTTCGTCTTTAACGCTTTTTTTATGGCACTAATGGTCTTTAAGGTTAGCATCCACACATCAAAATAGTCTATGCCGTTAGCTTTCGTCAAATCTTTTGTTAAATTACTGATGTAGCACACGAAAGCCCACACATCCAATGGTATAGAGCCCCGTGATTTTAAACAAACCTCAAAACTGTTTAATATAGAACACATAAATATCAAATCAAATCAAATAAACAAACATAAATTATTGCACACCAAACACATTACAGAGTCAACTTGAACTATAAGGACAAATCAACTTTGTCATGAACTGTGCCTTTTTGGACTTGAAAGCTTATGGGAGTTTCACTAAAACACTCAAAATGGGGGTTGAAATTATAAAAAAAACCCAACACCCAAAACACTTTATAAATACACCAAAAACTCATCATTACACACTCAAAACCCATTTATAAACACACCTAAAAAATATACAATTGTTGATTTTGATGTTGATTTTGGGTGTGTTTCTATGTTTAAATAGTGCTTGGGTTTTTTTATAAATACATGTCTAGAATTGAGTTTATTTATAAATTTGTAAAAGTGTATTAAGTGATTGATCCCTTTTCTCTCTTTCCTATAAAACTGATACTGCAAAAGCCTTCTCTTCTCCACAACCATATCCCATTTTCGTTAGCTTTGTCCAAATTTATTTGCCAGGATGGGTTCTACTGGTTTGACAGAGAAGCCACATGCAGTTTGCATACCATACCCAGCTCAAGGTCACATAACCCCAATGCTGCAATTAACCAAACTCCTCCACTACAAGGGCTTTCACATAACCTTTGTGAACACCGAATTCAACCACAGACGCCTTCTTAAATCCCGAGGTCCCAACTCTCTTGATGGCCTCCCATCCTTTAGGTTCGAAACCATTCCCGATGGCCTCCCTCCAACAGATACCAATGCCACCCAGGACATAACCGCTCTATGCGTTTCCATTAGGAAAATTGTTTAGCACCCTTCAGAGATCTTTTGTCAAAACTCAATTCTTTGCCCGATTCCCCCCCAGTTACTTGTATAGTTTCTAATGGTGGCATGGCCTTCACTTTTGATGCAGCCCAAGAATTGGGCATTCCGGAAGTTATTTTGGAGACACCAAGTGCTTGTGGCTTGATGTGCTACCTTCAGTATCGCCCTCTCATCGAAAAGGGCTTAGTACCTCTTAAAGGTACATACACTGACTTCAAATTCCTGAGTGGTCATTTGGGAACACTGACTTTGTACTAAAATGTTACATATTTAACTAGAATCTTAACTCACCGGTACTGTTACTCAATTTGATTTGCAGATGCTAGCTATTTGACAAATGGGTATTTGGATACTGAGATAGATTGGATACCAGGCATGAGAGGTATCCGATTGAGGGACATCCCAAGCTTCATCAGAACCACAGACCCAAATGACTTCATGCTGAATTTTCTGTTGGTTGAGATGGCAAGAGTTAAAAGAGCTTCTGCCATTATTTTGAACACGTTTGATGCGTTAGAGCATGAAGTTTTAGATGGACTATCAACTCTGCTACCACCTGTTTATTCCGTTGGACCCCTACATCTACAGCTTAATCAGATCCCAGCAGATAACGAGTTGAAGTCCATTGGATCAAACCTGTGGACAGAAGAACCAATGTGTCTTGATTGGCTTGACTCTAAAGAACCTAACTCTGTGGTTTATGTCAACTTTGGAAGTATCACAGTCACGACAGCTGAGCAGCTGATTGAGTTTGCTTGGGGACTTGCAAACAGCAACCAGACCTTTTTTTGGGTGATCAGGCCTGACCTTGTTGGTGGGGAAGCAGCTGTGGTTCCACCAGAGTTTATGGAAGAGACCAAAGAAAGGGGTCTATTGGCAAGTTGGTGCCCTCAAGAACAAGTTCTGAGCCACCCAGCCGTAGGAGGGTTCTTGACACACAGTGGTTGGAACTCTACTCTTGAGAGTTTGTGTGGTGGAGTGCCCATGATCTGTTGGCCCTTCTTTGCAGAGCAACAAACCAATTGTAGGTTCTGTTGCAAAGAGTGGGGCATAGGCATGGAGATAGAGGGTGATGTTAAAAGAAATTACGTAGAGGGGCTTGTGAGAAAGTTAATGGAGGGAGATGAGGGCAAAGAGATGAGGAAGAAAGCCTTGGAATGGAAGAAGTTGGCAAAGGAGGCCACCATTGGTCCAAATGGGTTATCTTTTGTGGGTTTGGACAAATTGGTTAACCAGGTGCTTCTATCTCCGAGGAATTAGAAATGTAGAATTGATTCAAAATCTATCTAGCTGTTACTTTGTATTTGTCCAACAAGTATACCTATTGAGCTTAATAATACTTCTCTCATGAAACCATTTTTCAGGTCTTAATTAAGATTGGTCCAACGTAAAATGAAGTCTAGGGCAAACGTAATTGACATCAATTACCACATTGATGCACGATACGAAAGTTTCATGGCCACGTTGTTGATCTGGAAATAATTGATGGGTGTGTGAAAAAAGGCCCTTTGTTACTATACCTAAAATACCTAAAGAGATTGACAACCATGTTATTCTAACTCACTTACACTAGCCCGCCTAAATTCCTGCATTGAATTTCATAAATGTGCATTCCTGGGTTAATATACCTAAGATTATGTTCTTTTTCCCCTCATCAAAGGGGAGCTCGATTTGGCTGCATCCATGTACTTTTCTCTATAGAGCTGAGCTATCTCAACTCTTTCAAATTAGGCAGGAGATGTTTGCCGCTCGATTTCCCCCCCTCCCTTTGCTCTATATCGATTGATCAAATGAGTTCTTTTGATAATATAAATACGCAAATATTTTATTAAAAATTATGAAAGAAGCGAGAACGTGCAAACAAATAAACAAACCTCAAAACTCTTCATGGAGAACACATACTGTCAAAACAAATAACAAACGAAGAAACTTTAGTGTATGCCAGACCCAAGTATAGTATATAGTATATACTCTCGACTGCCGTCCCAAGATTATAGCAAAATTATATACTGACAAACTTGCATTGCACCCATGAACAGTGTTTGAGAGAGAGAGAGAGAGAGAGAGAGCTGCAAATAGCCAAACTGCTTCATGCAAGAGAAAGACATGGAAACAGAGGCACCACATTTAAAAAAAAGTTAAAGGGGAATCCCATACAGGCATTTTAACGAACAGCTCACGTGCAAACATAAACAGCCAACCCTTAGAGCTAGCTATCGTGAAGATCAACACAATAAAAAATACACTTTATACCAAAGTACTTACCAACAGAAAAACGTTTAACCTTAAAGAGACCTTGTTCAGCGCAGTCTTAGCAATGCTACTCCCAGTCTGCAATGTCTGCTTCACAAGAAAACTCCATTTCTGATAGAAATAAAACAAGTAGTCTTAGCAATGTACCTACAGCCTCTTTAATATGTTTTAGTTTCTAATTTCTTTTCTTTCGGATGAAATCTTTGGGGATGTTTAACAGTGTTTCCGATTACTAAGGGCAGAAAAAAGGAGGGAAGGGCTTTGAAATGAAAATGGTAGCTTATGTCAATAGTTGGCCAAATAGTGGTAATTTTATGGGGATAAATTACATTTTCCAGTTACCCAAATTTTATTTTCGCCGGCAAATAATGTTTTAATATGAGAATGGCACAAAAATTTTCCCAATTTCAAAATTCGTTTCTACCATAACTCTTCAACAATTCATTAAATTAAAAATTTCAAGATATTTGACAAGTTCCAATACAACATGCTTATCAGGAATCTAATCAAGTCGCAAATATTATGGCTAAACGCGGTCATGCTTATTCAGTTATGTATGTTTGGTTTGGAAATTCTCCGATGGATATTTTGCATGTATGACGTTGTGATTTTATATAATAGTCTTCATATTTCAGCATCAATAACCTGTCCCTATCCCAACATAGCAAAGTATCTTCCAATCCGCTCGCCACTACTTTCTCAAAGGGCACCACATGAGCCAATCATGAGACCAGATTTTTGTTCTTTTCCTTGAGTGGAATCAAACTTGTAGCCATAATCCATTTCTCACTCTCCCCCGCTGCTTGAACTCAATTTTATCTTTTCTAGTCATCATAAATTTGCTCTGTTGGCCTAAGTAGGCAAATCTGTTAATGGCTTTTTTCAATGCCTTGACCTCAGAGAAGCCACACGCAGTATGCATGCCATTCCCAGCTCAAGGCCACATAAACCCAATGCTAAAACTAGCCAAACTCCTCCACTTCAAAGGCTTCCATATAACCTTTGTCAACACTGAGTTTATCCACAAACGCCTACTTAAATCCCAAGGCCCCAACTCTCTCAATGGCCTCCCTACTTTTCGTTTCGAAATGATCCCCGATGGCCTGCCTCCAGCTGATGCTAATGTTGCTGCCCAACATATGCCGTCCCTCTGCCAATCCATTAGGAAACACTGCTTACAGCCCTTCAGAGGCTTTCTTTCGAAGCTCAACTGTTCGCCGAATTCGCCTCCGGTTACTTGTGTAGTTTCTGATGGCATCATGAACTTCAGTCTCGATGCAGCCCAAGAACTCGGAATTCCGGGTGTTATTTTCTGGACAACCAGTGCTTGTGCCTTCATGGGCTACATTCAGTATGGACCTCTCATTCAAAAGGGTTTAGTTCCTCTTAAAGGTAACAATTAACAAAAAATGATTATGCAGATAAAAACCCAACTGTAAATTGTTTCTGTTTTTAGTTTTGAAAAAGAAAAACTTGTGCTTGATGTTTCACATAGAATTTTATCAATTAACTCACTAGTTTTTTTTTCTTTCTTAATTTGATTTGCAGATGCCAGTTACTTGACAAATGGGTATTTAGATACTGTGATAGATTGGATACCTGGAATGAAAAGTATCCGATTGAAGGACATCCCAAGCTTCATTAGAACAACAGACCCAAATGACCCGATTATGGATTTAATTATGGTTGATACAGAACGATCTAAAAGAGCTTCTGCCATTATTTTGAACACGTTTGATGCCTTAGAGCATGAAGTTTTAGATGCACTTTCGACTTTGCTACCACCTATTTACTGCATTGGACCCCTCTATCTACAACTTGATCATATCCCAGCAGATAACGAATTGAAGTCCATTGGATCAAACCTGTGGACAGAGGAAACAGAGTGTCTTCAATGGCTTGACTTTAAAGAACCCAATTCTGTTGTTTATGTCAATTTTGGAAGCAGCACAGTCATGACATCTGAGCAGCTAACTGAGTTTGCTTGGGGGCTTGCAAATAGCAAGAAGGCCTTTTTTTGGGTCATTAGGCCTGATCTTGTTGGTGAGGGGAAATCAGTTGTGGTTGCACCAGAGTTTGTGGAAGAGACCAAGGAAAGGGGTCTATTGGCAAGTTGGTGCCCTCAAGAACAAGTCTTGAGCCACCCGGCTATCGGAGGGTTCTTGACACACAATGGATGGAACTCTACTATTGAGAGTGTGGGAGGTGGGGTGCCCATGATCTGTTGGCCTTTCAATGCTGACCAACAAACCAATTGCAGGTTTTGTTGCAGTGAATGGGGCATAGGGTTGGAGATAGAGGGTGATGTTAAAAGATATTACATAGAGGGCCTTGTGAGAGAGTTGATGGAAGGAGAGGAAGGCAAAAAATTGAGGAAGAAAGCCTCGGAATGGAAGAAGTTGGCAAAGGAGGCTACTACTGATTCTAATGGATCATCCTTTTTGGATTTGGATCAAATGGTTAACAAGGTGCTTCTATCTCCCAGAAATTAGAATGGAGCAATTGTGTTAATTTTTTTGTTCTTGGTAGCTTTTTGATAAAGAACAACGCTTGGGTGTTGGGTTCCTTGAAGTTTTTGTTTGTAATTTGCTCTTATATTTTATTGGGTACATGCAAATTAATAAACAAAAATTCTATTGGAACCCAATGGTTTGCTAAATAGGCCCAATGTTTTTGGGGTATCCTAAGATCCAATTTTACCAATAAAAACTACATGATCAGATTACAATTGGGTTTATATATGGCACCATTACTATAAAATTTCGTGTCTATATTGATACGTTATACGTAGAGTTATAGGTTTAGAAATTTAGCATTCTAGTTTTCCTGTTTGAATGTCCACCCCTAACTGAAACTGGCCCCTCCATGGAACCACTTACTGAGGCTTGCTTTCAATCCCCTTCAGATTCCCCAATTTTTGAAACTATCCATCATTTGGGCCATGCATGAATGTGAAGTGAAGCACGAGTTGCTTTCACTTGTTTGTTTTCTTCTTTTACATAAAGGTAAAGAGTTCTTGTAGTCACGTCACGTAACAAGACAAAGTAAGAAAACTTTTTTGCGATGCAATCTCGTTGAGCCTGTCTTTTTTGACGAGCCACAAATACTAGAGAAATGCCTCAAAAGAAAGTTGCTATATAAACTTAGTGTCAACACATAATGTTGGCTTAAAATTTAATGTCAAACTTGATCCACTTTACGCTAGTAAAGACACTTTTGTCAAAAAAAAACCATATAAGGATATGTTGGTGGAGCATACATCCGAGAACTACAAACACTGAATAGGAGCGAATTTTTATAAACAAATCCATATAAAATAATACTGATTCTTGTTCCGACAACAAATATAAAATATAAACAAATCCATATAATAATATGCCGAACCTCCAAGAAATGCTTATGTACATTCATCTTTTGTAGGACCCAAATTGTTTGATGGTTAAGGCAATAAATAAAATCATATTCATGTGGGGGTCTGATACTTTTGGGTAGAAGAGGTGAGGCATTTAGCTCCAATAATTGGACTATGTGCTAAAGTTATTTTATTTGTGAATAAAAATTTTGTTATATTCTTTATTTTTATGAACATTTCTCCTCAACAAATTTCAGTTTCCAACATAATAATTGAAATAAACTATTACTAAATGCCTGATAACTTTTTAAATTACCTAACACCAGTTAATATATATTTATTTAGACTGAGAATGACAAATTTAAATATTTTTATCTTGTGTGCCAACGTCTTTTCAATTTCACCTCATATTAGATCCGAACTCACTACAAATATATATAATTACATAAATATATTTAGATAACTTTTCAAAGGAATTATGATAACTACCGGCCAGCAAACTATGATAAGTACAGTTTGTAAGAAAATAATTAAATATGGCACATTATTAAGAGATGTAGAAGGGTCAGGCATTTTGTTTTGTTTTTGTTTTTTTTTTTTTTTTTTTTTTTTTTTTCTTTTTGTACTATATATGCCTATGCCTTGCGTGGGCGTGTGCTCTCACACAGTTCACAACATGTGCTCTCAACACAGTTCACACATCCTTAGACTGAGGAGCACACTTATCAGGCATCTTAGACCCAAAAAAAAACACACACACACACGTGGATTTTTTATATTTTTTATATAATGTGGGAGGTAATCGTTTAATGTGAGTTCTACGTGCATTATTAATGGCCAGGAATTCCCTATCCCGCTTGGTAGCACAGCTCATTGACCTTTTTACCACTTTAAAACTCCCAGGTACGTACTCTTTGTCATTGATTAGCATCCCATTTTCCTGGTTTGTGTTTGATTTGGGAGAGACGGGGAGAGAGGATGAGTTTCAATTGCCTTGACCTCAGAGAAGCCACATGCAGTCTTCGTGCCATTCCCATCTCAAGGTCACATAAACCCTCTCATGCAATTAGCCAAACTCCTCCACTACAAAGGCTTCCACATAACCTTTGTGAACACAGAGTACAACCACAAACGCCTCCTTAAATCTCGAGGTCCCGACGCTCTTAACGGCCTCCCCACGTTTCGATTCGAAACCATTCCCGATGGCCTCCCTCCAACCGATGCCAATGCCACCCAAGACATACCATCCTTATGTGATTCCACTAGCAAACACTCCTTGCCTCACTTCAGAGATCTTCTCTCCAAGCTCAATTCTTCTCCCGATTCGCCACGTGTCACCTGCGTAATCACTGATGGTGTTATGAGTTTCACTCTTGATGCAGCTCAGGAAATTGGTGTTCCCGCAGTTTTTTTCTGGACACCTAGTGCTTGTGGTTTCATGGGCTACGTTCAGTTTCATCAACTCATAGAAAAAGGTCTCACTCCTTTTAAAGGTATTAATCAATCAATCGTCTGATTAAGAGTAAACTGCCGTTTTTCCCTCTGAACAAAACATAACAGACTTTGTTAATTTGATTTGCAGATGCCAGTTATTTTACAAACGGGCATTTAAATACTGAGCTAGATTGGGTACCAGGCATGAGGAACATCCGTTTGAAGGACTTCCCAACCTTCATGAGAACCACAGAGCCGGATGACATCATGCTGAATTTTCTGGTGGGTGAAACAGAGAGAACTAAGAAAGCTTCCGCCGTCATTCTGAACACATTTCATGACTTGGAACATGAAGTCATAGACGCACTTTCAACTTTGCTTCCGCCTGTTTACTCCATTGGACCCCTAAACCTACAACTCAAACAGATCCCAGCAGATAACGAGTTGAAGTCTATTGTTTCAAACCTATGGATGGAGGAGCCAGAGTGTCTTCAATGGCTCGACACCAAAGAACCCAACTCTGTGGTTTATGTCAACTTTGGAAGCATTGCAGTCACCACAAATGAGCAGCTGATTGAGTTTGCTTGGGGACTTGCAAATAGCCAAAAAAACTTTCTATGGGTGATTAGGCCAGACCTTGTTAGGGGAGAATCAGCTGTGGTTCCGGTAGAGTTTTTGGAAGAGACGAAAGACAGGTCTCTATTGGCACATTGGTGCCCTCAAGAACAAGTCCTGAGCCACCCAGCGGTAGGAGGGTTCTTGACGCACAGTGGATGGAATTCTACACTGGAAAGTTTGTGCGGTGGGGTGCCTCTGATCTGTTGGTCCTTCTGTGGAGAGCAGCCAACCAATTGTAGGTACAGCTGCAGAGAATGGGGCGTAGGGTTGGAGGTAGGGGATGATGTGATAAGAAATTATGTGGAGGAGCTGGTGAGAAAGTTGATGGAGGGAGAGGAGGGCAAAAAGATGAGGAAGAAAGCCTTGGAATGGAAGAAGTTGGCAGAGGAGGCTACTACTGGTCCAAATGGATCATCCTTTTTGGATTTGGAACAAATGGTTAACAAGGTGCTTCTATCTTCTAGAAATTAGAATGTATTAATTTTGTCACATGAACTTGTCCTTGGTACCACTTTCAAAACTCTATTTCCAGGAAAAAATTCTTGGGTGGTGTAGCTGAAGATTTATTTTCTTTCTATTCTGAATTTTTTTTTTTTTTTTTTTTTTTTTTGGTTTGTTGTATTTTGCTTTCTTTTTTGTTTGACTTTTATACAATTATTGAGTATTTTTTTGGATGGTGTGCAATGTTTCTTACATTAAGGGCACACTCGTATCACTCATTTCAACACAATGAAACTCGAGTTTCGCCCAGTGTTGTAGTGTTAATGTGTCATCGATTTCGTCAATCTTGTCCTCATGTTTTCACTTGGTGTGAGAATAGATCTGAAGTTGGTTTTCTCATTGAAGACAGCAGGTCTTTCTTTTCCTTTATATCTCGATTGTAAGATCTGGTTTGGTGTTTCGTCAGGCAATATTGCGGCCCATAGATTAGCTCGATTGTCACTGTCCTTAACTGAACACGCTGTTTGATATGGGGATTGTTTACTGATAGCAGAATTGATGATAATAAGGACGAAATTGACACACAAATGGAATTAAGCTGACAAAAGTTGATACTGATAAATTGTTTAGTCTATGTTGAAATCTGTTTGAACATACTTCAATTCTTCTTTCTAATGAATTTTATTGAGAGCTGTTATTGGAACTCTAAAAAAATTTCACGCACTACTCCCTTATAAAATCATAAGAGATAATTACAATGAATTAATGTATGATGTCTTCTTTGAAGTGTCAATAACAGTTTCCATTTTACATTTTTATTACAAGGCATTCTTCGTACTTAAATGAAAAAGGTGAATGTGCAAGGGGCTTGTAGTCAGTGGCGGAACCAGGATTTCAAATTAGAAAAACTTATTCACGAATTTTTTAAGTATGTGCTAAATTAATATGACACTAAACTACTCCCTTTGGCCTACTTCATAACATAATTTTATATTGATTAATAATATATCCATTCATTACAATCATAATTGTCCACAATTTCATATTTTATAATGGTTAAATACTAATCTCATCATCTAAAATATTATAGACTCAAAAATTAATCATTTATATTCCAACATAGAGAAGAAATACAAAAGGGGTTCACAAAATCTAATATTAAGGTACCCAACTCAAACATGAAAAAAGAGAGGGAAGTAAAAATTCACAAAGTTTAACTTAAACAAAAGATAAAGAGAAAGAAAGGTTAAAAATATAGGAATTTTTAGTGTAAATATCATAAACTAATCTAGAATGTAAAAGAGAGAAGTAAAAAAGAGATTAAGAAGTTTTATGGTTGTAGACAAAAAATACAAAATAAATACTATTCATTTTAGGATAAATATCTCCTAAACTAATCAAATATGTTAAATATTATACATCATACATAATACTATAATACAATAAATAAAAGATGTTGTGGGGGCATGGGACCACATTGGTCCTTTAATGGCTCCGCCCCTGCTTGTAGTTCAAGTGATTAAGAACAATTATACTTGCACCTGAGGTCCTAAGTTTGATTCCTCTCCCCTCAATAACGCTTATATAAAATAAAATAAAAAGTAAATGCATAAAACAATGCACATGTTCTTTCAAATGGAACTAACTAATGGGCATTGGCATAGACTCTTCGACATCTAGCCACAAGGATTTTCTAATGACTGGTGACTAGCATAGGCAAATGGAAAAAGAAAGATTTAATGAGATTCTAGGGTGGTCACGATGAAAAATGATATGGTTTTCTCAAATTTGAAATTTTTTAAGAGGCTGAAGTGACTAAGAATATTTGCCTCTATAAGCAAGGTCATGTATTTTATTCCCTCTTTTCAATATAACTAGTATGAACAACAATTTAAAACTTTAAAAATAGTAAACTGAACCAAAAAGTAATAACATCCATAACTAATAGCGACAAATAATGTTTGTTCTTCGTAAAATGTAACCTTAGGTACACAGGAGCATAGTTTGTTATTTTATTTTATTTTATAAATGACTGAATAATCATTTAAGGCTAGTTATCTTTGCACGAGTGTAAGTGACAAAAATGGGAGTGTGAAACTTCTTTTTCTTTTTCACATAGTAATTTCTTCTCTAAAACTTCTCCTTTCTTCTTTTTTTAAAGACTTTCTACATCTTAAAATTTATAAGAGCGGATGGCCCATCAAGAAATTATGAAAGTTGCCGGCCAGCATTTCTCTTCTGATTATGGCTGAACCTTGTGTGCGTTTTGGAGTCTACACGCATTTCACACATTTCACACTTGCCCATGCAACAATGTCTCCAATCTAACACACTAATCAGGCAGTCTTTGTGCGAGCATGTGTTCTGGACACCGTGGCGTTGGACTCATTTGGAAAGGTCGATCTCTGATATTATAATAATCATAACACGAGGAATGATTGGCACTCAATTTATCTTAAAAAACAGATAGAGAATCCGAAAAATGCATCAACGGTCAAGAAGCACTTGCCCGCACAGTGAAGCCCTTGACCCTTCACCGCTATAAAACTTCAAGTTCTTACACTTCTATAAGCATCCCATCATCTCCATTTCCCTTTAGCTCTTTTGTGTAGGATACCATACAGAGAAAATGAGTCCAGTTGCCTCCAAAGAGAAGCCACATGCAGTTTTTGTACCCTTCCCAGCTCAGGGTCACATAAACCCTATGCTGCAATTAGCCAAGCTCCTCAACTACAAAGGCTTCCACATAACCTTTGTGAACACAGAGTTCAACCACAAGCGCATGCTTGAATCCCAAGGTTCCCACGCTCTCGACGGCCTCCCTTCGTTTCAATTCAAAACCATTCCCGACGGCCTCCCTCCGGCTGATGCTGATGCCAGGCGCAACTTGCCTTTGGTGTGCGATTCCACTAGTAAAACCTGCTTGGCACCCTTCGAGGCGCTTTTGACCAAGCTCAACTCTTCACCCGATTCCCCTCCTGTGACTTGTATTGTTGCTGATGGTGTCACCAGCTTCACTCTTGATGCAGCAGAGCATTTCGGGATCCCAGAAGTGCTTTTCTGGACAACTAGTGCTTGTGGCTTGATGGGCTACGTTCAGTATTACCGTCTCATTGAGAAGGGCCTCACTCCTTTTAAAGGTACTATCAATTAATTGGGGATGGAAAAAAAAAAAAAAAAAAAAAAAAAAAAAAAAAAAAAAAAAAAACAAAACAATTTTAATTTTATTTTTTTTAAACTTATGAGTGTTAGCTAACTAGTTCCATTGATTTCTTAATTTGATCTGCAGATGCCAAGGATTTTGCAAATGGGTATTTGGATACAGAGATTGATTGGATCCCAGGCATGAAGGATATCAGATTGAAGGACATGCCTAGCTTTATTAGAACCACAGACCCAAACGACATCATGCTGCATTATATGGTGTCTGAAACAGAGCGATCCAAAAAGGCTTCTGCCATTATTTTGAACACATTTGATGCATTGGAGCAAGAAGTTGTGGATGCCCTTTCCACTTTGCTACCTCCTATTTACTCCATTGGACCCCTTCAGCTACCATACAGCGAGATTCCATCAGAATACAATGATTTGAAGGCAATCGGATCGAACCTGTGGGCAGAGAATACAGAGTGCCTTAACTGGCTGGACACCAAAGAGCCCAACTCTGTGGTTTATGTCAACTTTGGAAGCACCACAGTCATGACAAATGAGCAGCTGGTTGAGTTTTCTTGGGGACTTGCAAATAGCAAGAAGCCATTTTTGTGGATCATCAGGCCTGGCCTTGTTGCTGGTGAAACCGCTGTGGTGCCGCCTGAGTTTTTGGAGGAGACCAAAGAGAGGGGTATGTTGGCGAGTTGGTGCCCTCAAGAACAGGTTCTGCTCCACTCAGCCATTGGAGGGTTCTTGACTCACAGTGGCTGGAACTCTACCCTCGAGGCCTTGTGCGGCGGAGTGCCTCTCATCTGCTGGCCTTTCTTTGCAGAGCAGCAAACAAATGTTAGATACAGCTGCACACAGTGGGGCATAGGCATTGAGATAGACGGGGAAGTTAAAAGAGATTACATTGACGGTCTTGTGAGGACATTGATGGATGGAGAAGAGGGCAAAAAGATGAGGAAGAAAGCCCTTGAATGGAAGAAGTTGGCAGAGGAGGCCACTGCCCCAAAAGGGTCGTCTTACTTGGCTCTGGAAAATGTGGTTAGCAAAGTGCTTCTTTCCCCAAGAGATTAGAATTGATTCAATTCCATCTTGTTCTTTTTTTTTCTTTTTGGTGATTTAATCTGTATTTGGATCATCCAGTTCCTGCTAAAAAAATAAAATATGTACAGGCTTTTGAGAAATTCAATTGCCTATTAATCTAAATAAAGGGTAATATTTATGTTTTTAATTTGCAGTTTCATGTGTGTATAGTGGCTGAGATCAATGGTGGATTCATGATTCGAAATCCGGTTGGGCGAAACTTACATTAAAAATCCAACGTTATGAGTGAATCTCATTGAAAAACATAAAAATATACACCTAGTAGGGAGACGTAATGAGCATCACCCTCATATGCATCTCTATACATAAATAAAAGTTTAGCTATTCTTTTTCTTTAAAAAAATTTCCAACAAATTCTTTGTTTTTTTGGGATTCATATTGTGATCCGACATAACAAAAGATAACCTATTTAATCCAACATCCCAACAAAAAACCAAATAAAATCTCATAATAGCATCAATGCCTTTAATCAAACATTAACATACCAACAACAAATCAACATCTCAACAATACCAATATCAAATCAAACATCTCAACAAAATTCCAAAAATTAAAGATCTAATTAATTTCAACAAAGTCAACAAATTATAATTCATTCTTAAGTAAACCCCAAAATAGATTAGAACCAGGGGCGGAGGCACATAGGGACCAGTGCAGTCACTGGCCCCACTCAACTTTTTTTCTTTCCTTTAAAATGTAATATGTATTGATGTTATTGAATAATCTATATTAATTAATATGTTTATTTTATCACATGGGCCAGCAGCCAAATCCTGTTTTCCTTTCCACCAAGCGTAGGCCACTTTCCTTCCCTTTTTTCAAAGGTTTATGGCTCTTATTATTATATATTTACCCTTTAAAAAAAATTGATAAAATCCTAACCCATTTTTCTCCGTTCGTGGAGATACACAAGCAACAAAGCAAACTTTCTCAATGCACTGCCTGTGAGTTTTTCTCACAAACTCCATATTAAACTATCAAGTTTTAATTAGGTTAATTTATTCAATTAAAGTTGTTTTTAGTAGTTCTCTTTTTTTCTTTTTTTTCATAAAATTTTGATTTTTTTTTCTTTTTATTGATTTTAATAGATCTTCAATTTACGTATAAATGATTGCTTCGTTGCATATATTGAGAGAGACATTTTCAATAGTATAGATGACGAGGTTGTTATGCAACGATTTCAAAATATGAAAACTCGTCAAGAACAATGATGATTGTAATGAATACACAATATGATTTTTGATGTTTTGGTATGTCTTGTGAGTTCAAATTTTTTATTGTTTATTCTTTGTGAGATGCCCCCATACACATGAAATTCTGACTTCGCCACTGATTAGAACACATAACTTCCAAGCTAGTTAAAATATATGATAAATGTTGTCATATACAACATCTTAAAATTTGGAGGTATGAAATTAATAGTTTAATATAATAGTTTCCACTGAGACTGAGCTTAAATTCATTGCAGAAATATATATATATATATATAGATATACAGAGAGCTTCTATTGAGGGATCCTTCAAATAAGCTTATTTGAGGGACACCCCTTGTAAGCCCCACTATGGATTGTATTTCACTAATCCAAACCGTCTATTTTGTAGATACTCATTCAAAGATCATCTCTACAAAAAATCACTTGAATCCGATATCATTTGACCATTCAATTGAGTTATTGAAATTTTAGTACTTTCTTGAAGCACCGTGTTCATTGATTTTGTAAGACACAATTGGATGTCGAAACGATTTCCGATTTGTCTAATTTTTTATAAAGATGATCTATGAATAAAGACCTAAAAAAATATATGGTTTACATCATTGGAAAAAAAATTGTAGGGTACTCTAAAGGGCGTCCCTTAAATAAAATTATTTGAGGGATCCCTCAATAAAAGGGGACTATATATATATATATATATATATATATATATAGTTGTCTAATAATATAATATGGCTTTACGCACAAAGGTATATTCATTGCAGATGAACGGCTTCGTCAGACCATCAGTTAATATCTAATGTTTATTACGAATTAGTCCAACAGCCAATGCACATTGCATTGAATTCATGGCTCTCCAGACTCCAGTGTTGCATCACAATCTTATGCATGCAATCAGCGGCGCTTTGTAGGGATCCGCCTTGTTTGGTCTTACCTTAGTTTACACCTAGAACATCACGCCAATTTGATATATTATCACCTTCGGTTTTGATCATTATCCGAACTATAATATAATATCATGTTTGATTTAGATCTTAAACTAGTGGCATAAACAATAATTAAGCAAACATTTTACCATTGAAGATGGAGAAGTTTAATAATAAAAAGGAGGTGCATTATGCAATGAAACAAACACATGAGATAGTGATAATGACCAATACAGAAAATGTTAGTGTTAAAAAAAACAAAGATTAATATAGGTAGTTTGATTCGGTTTATGTAGTTTTCATGAATAATTGCTATTTGGTTCAGTTCGGTTTAAGATTAACTTTTTTAGTGTAAAAACTCAATCAAACCGTTTGTGTTTGCTTAATTTGGCTGGTTGTATAATTGAGACGTGTAGAATTTTGCCGATAATGGTATCAAGAAATAAAATCAAAATTTTCCAATTCAAGTTTTGGATCTAAATGGAGTTTTCTTCCATATATTTACTAAAATACAAACTGAGTCCACTTTTCTCTTTCAGACCTCACTAATTAATTCCATGTTTTTAGCACTAATTCTCACTTCAAAATACAATTATAAGTAGAAAGTCATGTTGATAAATGGAAAAAAAGAAGAACAACTCAAACAAATTTTGACCTCTCTCTCCTCCAAGGGGCATGTAGGAGGAGTCTCACGCAAAGGCCCACTTGTCTGGTGCGTGACGAGCACGCACTTGTATTTTTCTAATAATTTCCATCTTTCGACCAAAATATAATAATAATTTCCATGCAGCCCTTGTCTTTGTTTTCTGGCATACGTGTATTCACATTTTTTGTTACCATGAGAATTATTCAATCCTAACAATAATTATAGACAGCATTGGGGATTTCTCCATATATTTGTCAGCATCTTCCACTTACTTTTTGTAGTGATATGCTTGAAATCTGAACCACAAATGCAAATCCAACGCTTGCCATAATCCTCCTCATGCGTTCCATCTCATGCTTCCTCTTGTAGTGCGTTTGAGAGGCCCGAAATCTGGCTCCGTTTGGATGGAAGTAGTAGAAAGAAAAGATTAGATGGAATGTGTTTGAGATAACTAGCCGTAAATGTAGTATATTTGGAATGAGTTTCAAATGACTTTATGTGCAATAATTCATTTGTTTTCGTCATTTCATTCTTATTCAAATTTTAGCATACATATATCGTAATAATCTAAATAATAAAAAATTTAACCTTATAATTTCTTCAAACTCCCGGAATTTGAAATCACTCCATCCAAATGGACCGACCCTTAAAGGATTTGTTTGCTCTTAGGTGGTCCACTCCATGTTGGCTTTTCAATATTTAGCACGACAAATAGAAATGGATGCCTAATATGGCTCAAGGACTGGCATTTTCTTGGGAGCTGATGCGATGAAATAGGTCAATTTTTGCCGAGATTTGGAAGATCTGATTTGTACATTAAAGCCCTATCCATCTGCCGTATGAAACATACCATGACATTAGAAATCAGACATCTGTGGTGATACTGCATGCATCCCATGGTCCTTGGCAGGTTTTTGGATTAATATGCAGGTTGGCTAAGGTGACGTGCTCTCCCTATAATTGCACTATGAATACATGTGCTCTCATGAAAGCTCGATCGGTGCTGTACCTACTCCTTTTTTTTTTTTTTTTTTTTTTTTTTTTGTACACAAAAATATTAAGCACACAAAAAAAAAAAAAAAAAAAAAAGAGAGAGAGAGTCCCATGGCTGCAACAAACAAGGCAAGCCCAAAGACAGAAAGCCCAAAAGGACTCAGCCCAACTTATAATGCATAACAGACATCAGGCCAAACAAGTAACAGATGACATGTTTACTAATCCGTAATTGGATTAGGAGGAATTGAATTGAGGAGGAGTTGGATTGAGGAGAATTAGATTCCGAATTCTTATTGAAATTGTTTACTAAATCAAATGGATTGAGGTGAGTTAGATTCTGGATTCCTATTGAAGTTGTTAACTAAACCATATGGAATTGGGTATGAGTAGTTCTAATTACTAAAATGTCCTCGTTGTTGGGTTAAAGTATATGGAAAATTTGGAATTTTGAAAATTGTGTGAGGATATAATGGGTAAAAAAGATGAATTCCTAATGGGTTAGTTCTCCAAGAATTAGAATACCACGTCCCACCCAAGAATTGAATTCCTCCAAAATCAGGAATTCAATTCCTAATTTCGTGTGGGCCCCACTTACTTTTCAATTCCTTAATATGAAGTAAACACAGGAATCCTCTATAAGTGTAATTCAATTCCTGATTAGTAAACACACCATGAGTTCTTTGGCTGAATTTATAAAAAGCCGTATTGTTCCTCATATCTTACTTAGCAAATACACTAGTTGCCAATTGGTTTTTTTTTTTGTTCTCACTTTAAAATTAAGAAAGAGAAAATGAGTTTGGTTTTTGTGTCTCGTGAAAATAGGACCGTGTTTTTACTTTGATTTTGATTTTAAAATTTTTTTAATATGAAAAATTGTTAATTTACTATATTCTCCTTAGTTTTTACAACTATGCCTCATATTGTCTGCTAGGTTTCGCGTAGATTCTTTCGCCCATTCATGTTTATTAGCTTGCCCAGACTTGAACATTTTCACACGTTTCTCGCATTCTAGATCAGGAACATAATAATTGGTCGCTATCTGTGCATGATTGTTGCAGAATAGAAATAAAAGGAATGGTCCTGATTTAAAAATGTGGCAAAGTTGATAATGTACATGTCCAGTCCATGATCCACCATCAATTATTGACATTGTATGTCACTGCTATAAAAATGCTGGTACTCTTCACCATAGAATATCCTATTTTCCACAGGTTTTGTGTGTGATTTGAGAGAAACGAGAGAATGGGTTCTGTTGCCTTGACAAAGAAGCCACATGCAGTTTGCATACCCTACCCAGCTCAAGGTCACATAACCCCAATGCTGAAATTAGCTAAGCTCCTCCACTACAAAGGTTTTCATATAACCTTTGTGAACACAGAGTTCAACCACAGACGCCTCCTTAAATCTCGAGGTCCCAACTCTCTCGACGGCCTCCCCTCCTTTCAATTCGAGACCATTCCTGATGGCCTCCCTCCATCTGATGACAACGCCACCCAAGACATACCATCCCTATGCCTTTCCACTAGTAAAAATTGCTTAGCACCCTTCAGAGACCTTTTATCAAAGCTTAACTCTTTACCCCATTCCCCTCCAGTTACTTGCTTAGTTTCTGATGGTGGCATGACATTCTCACTTGATGCAGCCCAAGAATTTGGCATTCCCTGTGTTCTTTTCGAAACAATGAGTGCTTGTGGCTCGTTGGGTTACCTTCAGTATCTCCCTCTGATGGAAAAGGGTTTAATTCCTCTTAAAGGTATTATTATACTGACAAAAACCTTCACTTGTCAAACAATATTTATGTTATTAGAATGTGAATCTGAATAGTAATCAAGTTGACTCTTGTATACTATATATTCAATCTAACAACGTACGCATTTGTCTAATATATAAAAGAATATTTCAATCTTCAAAAATAATCAATTAAAAAAAAGAAGAGGAATTTACTTCAAATTGCTCACTGGTCATTTGGGGACACTACATAATAAAATTGTTTTTTTTTTTCTTTTTTGGTTAGAATGTTTGACTCAGTAGACCTATTGGATTTGCAGATGCCAGCTATTTGACAAATGGGTATTTAGATACTGTAATAGATTGGATACCAGGCATGAGACATATTCGTTTGAGGGACTTGCCAACCTTCGTCAGAACCACAGATCCAAATGACATCATGTTGAAATATCTTGTGAGTGAGTTCGAACGAGCCCGGAAAGCTTCAGCAATCATTTTCAACACATTTGACGCCTTAGAGCTTGAAGTTCTGGATGCACTTTCGACTTTGCTACCACCTATTTACTGCATTGGACCCCTTCAACTACAGGTTAGTCAGATTCCACCAGATTATAACAATTTGAAGTCGATTGAATCAAATCTATGGAGAGAAGAAACAGAGTGCCTTGAATGGCTTGACTCAAAAGAACCAAATTCTGTGGTTTATGTCAACTTTGGAAGCATCACAGTCATGACATCTGAGCAACTAATTGAGTTTGTTTGGGGACTTGCAAATAGCAACAAGGCCTTTTTATGGGTTATAAGGCCTGATCTTGTTCGTGGAGAATCCGCTGTGGTTCCACCGGAGTTTTTGGAAGAGACCAAAGAAAGGGGTCTATTCGCAAGTTGGTGCCCTCAAGAACATGTCCTGAGCCACCCAGCTGTAGGAGGGTTCTTGACACACAGTGGATGGAACTCTTCCCTTGAAAGTTTGTGTGGTGGAGTGCCCATGATCTGTTGGCCCTTCTTTGCAGAGCAACAAACCAATTGCAGGTTCTGTTGCAAAGAATGGGGCGTAGGCATAGAGATAGAGGGTGATGTTAAAAGAAACTACATAGAGGACCTTGTGAGAACATTAACGGAGGGAGAGAAGGGCAAAGAGATGAGGAAGAAAGCCATGGAATGGAAGAAGTTGGCAGAGGAGGCCGCTACTGGTCCAAATGGGTTATCATTCTTGGCTTTGGACAACATGATTAACCGGGTTCTTCTTTCTCCAAGAAATCTGAATTAACTGGAATCTAACTAGTTGTTTCAGTCCATACTTTGAATTTTTATGTGCTTTTGTGTGGTTTTGGAAATTCTTGTGTCATGAGAAGTTCCTTTTTGCTTTTTAGTTTGTTTTATTTTATGTGCTGGCTTTGCAAGTTGGGGTATCTAATAATAATGCTTCACGTACTCTTGTAGTTCTAAAATGGAACATTTGATCAATATACATATCAATGTTGTGATTTCGAATTTTGATTCCATGTCACAAACAAACCATCAATAAGGCAAGAAACTATATCAAGCAAGGTACATCAATTATGTGATTTCAACTTTTGATTTTATGTTAGCTCAATGGGTTGAGTGTTTACACTTGAATTTGAAGTCCTGCATTCCAATCCTCCAATATATAAAATTTTAAAAATAAATTCAAAAGAAGTTCTTCTGGTATCCGAAATTCCTGTCTACAATAGTAGCTTAGAGTATTATTAATTTTTATTAGGCCATTACCCGAGTCTCTATTGTCCCCTTTTGAGTTTTTACTTTTCGTGAGTTTTTACCCGGTTTAAAGAATTTAGCATTTTCCCGTTTAATACTCATATTAAACGAGTACGTGTTTTTCAACAATACTTCTGTTTTTCGTACACATCTTAAAAACTCAGTAAAATACACATTTAAAAAAAATCAACATACAATACACATATCGTACACATACTTATGTATTTTTCATGTTTCATACATGTTTCAATAAGACACACAAAATTCACGTATTATACACATAATTCTCACAAATTATTGAATATAAATAATATATATTATAATATATAAATAAATTATATTAAAATATAATATAGTGGCCTTACTTTTAAGTTGTAATTTGCCAAAATTTTGCCGAATAAAACACGTGCATATTTTATAAATATTTTTCTCTGTTTTGTATTTTACTAACTATGAATGAATGTGAGAGGCTAGTCGCTAGGTAGGTACTCCTATACTACTTACTGTTTTTACACGTGAAAGACAAAGCGCTAAAAAAAAAAAAAAAAAAAAAAAAAACGAACGGCTATACTCGGTTTTTCAAATTTGTTTTTAAAAAAAGGTACAGCCGAGCGTTTATACTCGGGTTTTTAAACAATAGCATAGCCATGCGGCTATACTCGGGTCTGTCTAATTTTTCAAACTCGGTTCTGTCTAATTTTTCAAAAAATAGTATAGTCGGTCGGCGGTACTCTTTAAATACCTTTTTTTTGTTTTCTATTATCTCCCTTTGAGTTTTTACCTTTCGTGACCCTTTAGTTTTTGGCAAAATCTAAATCTCACTTTTGTACCTTGGGATACAATGGAAAAAAGAAAACAGATGTTGGCTGGCTTCGGCCCAGCACCTGCCGCTCATCATCCACCCAAGTTCCCTCACTAAAGCTTCCATTTTCACAAAAGTTCCAGTGTATGCCTGAGAAAGCACAACACTTAAAGTCATGCACATGGGATGAGGAAATTTGAGAGTGTTAAGGAATTCTAAAATGTTCGAAAATTTCTAACTCTCTTGAAAGTAAGTGTTTCTCACTAATATATTATCAATTTATGGATCCTAAACTAATTAAGTAGAAAAGAAACCTTTACCCTCGCCAACATGATAGGTTCTTCACAACATGAATATTAGTCTTCACAACATGAATATTAATCTTCACAAAAGGGGTTTGTATTGACTCTTTTGGTACCATATATACTAAAAATCACTACTTTGATATATTAGGCACCAAAAATGCCAATACAAACCCGTTTTGTAGACCAATAAACACGCCCATTGTTTTTCTCAGTAGTGTAACGTGACTCGTGAGAGCTAGACACATACATAGTAAGTTCTTATTATTATAAACATTTACTCTAAGAAATAGCAAGAGGTCGGCCCGGAAGGGAGTCCCATAAGGCGACCTCCTAGGGTCTCGCATCAAGGAGGGCTTGAAAGTTGAAACAAACTATTTATCACAATAAAAACAAGTTTATTGTGCAGCGCTAAACCATTGTGTGCAGGCTACAGCGCAGTTGATGTTTGTTTCCTAACTTTAGGTGGCCAAGTTTAATTCCCATGCTGCCTTTCTAAGTCTTTTTTCAGTTAAAATAGTTCAAGTTTTACCCTTTTCTTATTTTAAAAATCTTTACAGTGCAGATAAGTTGCCTATTTTTCAGAATTTCCCTTAGAAATATGATCTCTAAATTACTTGACACTACAATTTTCTACTGAAAGGAAAATATCATGGAAATAGTCAACTGATTTGTGTATCAAACTCATAGAATTTTTCATTCAAATCTTCATCATCGATTCTTCATCATAAAAAGTTCAAGAGGGGAACACAAAATTTTCATATGCCTTAAGAGGTTGTGTCACTTGACATGCCTTTAAACAACGATGGTGTGGTACTAGTATCCTCATCAAGATCCCTGACTTCATCAAAAGAATTAGGTGGAAAAGGTCTATGGCCATGGCCAAAAGCCTTGATATGGTCTTTGAGTGATCTCTTGTGCTTAAAATCCGAACCACAAATGCAAAGCCAGCGCTTGCCACAATTCTTCTCATGTGTTCTCCAGTCTCCTTTCACTGCCAGCAGCTTCCCACACTTGCGACACATGAAGGGCTTCATGCCATGCTTCCTCTTGTAGTGTGTTTGAAGGGTCCGAAAGTCCTTTAGAGGCTTTGCTCTTGGGTGGTCTATGTTGTTTTTGCAACCTTCTGCACAGCAATAGCATGGGATGCTTAACATGGCTCGAGGCTGTGTTCCTTTCAGTGACTCTGGCCCTCTTCGATACTGCGACCCATGCCCCCACATGTGCATCTTCCATGGGAATGATGACATGACAGTGAAAATCACAGGAATAATGAAATCAATTAATAAGAACATGAAAGGAAACTTCTAAAGTTCAGGTAGTAAATTTTTCCAACGTTGTTCATCAAACCAAAGCATGGCTAGAGGGTTTTGAATGCTAAACTGAAGTCCGTTTGGTTGGCTCGAAAGGGTTTTCGTTTTAAAATCAAGGAATAATGGTCTTAAACCAAAACCCTCCAAGCCAACCAAATAGGCTTCAGTTTAATTACCGAATTGTGAAAGGGATTCATATATTGAACATTTGTGTGTGTATGTATCTTATATATGTGAAATTTTGTACCAAATATTCGAAAGAGACTTAGATTATAATTTAGAAAACTTGTAACCGTACCTGCAGATTATTGTAGCGGTTAAATGTTTTGAAGCAGACATGGCAAGAAAAATGAGTGAAGCCAATGAGTATTTGTTCTGGAGTTGGAATCCAATATTTTTGTGCTGTCACATTGTTTTCATCTTCCTTCTCATTCAAATAGTTCACAGAGCCATCTGAATATTCTGGAAGGCCAATGTGCAGGGCCACAGTGACTTCATCCTCTTTATGATCTTCATTGCATGCTTTAGGGTTTTCATCATGGGAATTAGGCACCTGATGCTCAGGTGAACGAAGTAGGCAGCTTATCAGTGGTAGAGGTTCAAGATGAGCATTTGGGGTCTCACAATTTGGAAAAAGATTGAGGGTCTCAACATGATCATTGGCAGAAAAGAAGGGGGAGGAGCTAGATGAAAATTCGGAGGGCTCCATATATTATAAGAGCGCTAATTATTAAAACTACATAGAATGAATGGTGTGCAACATAATTGATTTAGGATCAAGGCATTTATAATGAGATCATAGCTTGAAATGAATGCATGGTAATCATGAGAGAGAGAGAGAGAGAGAGAGAGAGAGAGAGAGAGAGAGAAGGGTTGAGGGTTGAGGGGTTGGCTGGAGAATATTGCAGTTGAGTGAAAAGAACCATTGTTGAGGGGGTCATAACTATGTGCTGTCTGCACTGTGTGTATCTTTGGGGAAAGGAAGGAAATAACCTTAAATTCTGTGGCCCATGTCATCTGAATTTAGCAACATTTGCACCACAGAGGGTTGAAAATCTAAGGCAATTTGTATCATCATGCACTCTCTCTCTCTCTCTCTCTCTCTCTCTCTCTCTCTCTGTGCAAATTTACATACCCAACAGTCAACTCACACCAGACACACACACAGAAGAGCAGAGGGAGAGAGTTGCAGGGTGAATCATTAATTTCTAGTTATTTAGGATGTGCATGTGGACATTTCAATCAATATTCATTACGTGCAAGTTTTACTTAACCTAGCTATATAGTTTTATTAGTCGTTCATCCTAGCTACCTTTATTTTCTGAAAGCTGACATGCTATCTTTCAATTAATTACCATTTAACACAGCAGTAAAGCCAGTAGTACTAGTTCTAGAGCTTAGAGAAGAATGAATGCATGCGGTTTTCTTTACATTCGATACTGAACTAGCCATGTGATAGCTAGCAAAAGCAATATACTTTGATCAACATCATCAAGCCATTATGTGATCATTGTGTAGACTGTGAGACGTAGGAGGCAAATTATTCACTGAATAAAGTTTTCAAAAAACAAAAACATCAACTAAAGAGTTTGAGGGCTATTGGATCAACAGGCCCATGGTCCAAAAGAAACGGGCCAAAAAACTTTAGCACTGGGCCAAAATTCAAGCTCAAACCTTGATCACCTCCTAAGGGCAGCTCCAGCGCAAGGGGCAAAGGCAGCCAAAAGGCAACCCCAGGCCCAAAAACCCCCTCCAGCACGCAAGGTCCAGCCCATGCAAGGGGTGGGACCCACCAACCTGGGCAAGAATTGCCTGGGCTGTTGCCCGAAGGCCATTAACACAATGTTGACGTCATAATGACATCAGCAACCAAAATTTTATTTAAAAAAAGTTGAAAAAAATATCAAAATTTTCAGAAATTTTTTATATATAAATACCTAGCCATATTCTTTACTTCCCACACCAAAAACTTTATACAAATTCATCTCCTCATATCTCATGTGAATAGTAATTGCCCTTGCCATTGCCCTAGCCCATAAGAGTGGAAACAAAAAAGACAAGGGATGCCACTATTCACGTGAATAGTGACAAACCTTGTCTTGCATTTGCCTTACCATTGCCCTTTGGGGTGGTGGTGCTCTAATAGAAGAGTTTACTCAACTCAATAAGGGCTAAGCCGAAGCCCAATTGTGGGCCAAACGAGGTGAGTGAAGTGTATTTCAAAGTTTTAACTTTAGGCAAATCACGCTCCTTTTAAGTTTGACAAATGAGGGTTGATTGATACATGGAACTTCTTTCAATATTGAAAAGAGAAACATCACTAAACTAAGAGCAAACTCTTATGCAAATAAGGTTCTTAAGAGAGCAAATCTTGTACCATAACATGAAAGAGACCCCTCATCCTTAGTTTTGTGTATGTGTATATTTAGTCATGAAGATTCCGAAATAGGCAAAGGTTGAGAATTGATCACTTGTCACAAGTGTGGGGTTAGATGAACGCGTAGAGGTATAAACCTCGTGTATTCTTTTCTTCTTCTTCTTCTTCTTCTCTCTCTCTACATGAGGCTACACAATGCACATAAACTTATGTCAACCTTCTTATAATTTAAACACCAAAAATATTATACTCCCCGAATTTGTATATGTACATATGTTAAAGTGTACACTTAGAAATAAATGAGGTTTATAATCAGGGTCGACCTTGACTTTTGGGTGGCCCAAAGCCCAAAGCCATAAATTAAATTAGGCTCTTTCCCTTAGTTAATTGATTGACTATTTTTGAGAAGGAGCGGAGGTCCTCAACATGCTTACCTTAGAGCATCTCCAGGAGACTCTCTATTCTCTCATCCCTAGCTATTTTGGCAAAAAAGAAGGAAAAACAACACTCCAACAACATCACTACCTCTTTCGCCATTTTGGAGAACACGATTTTGGCTCGCCACATCTAGCAAGGATGAGAGAGAAATTCAAGGCTCGCCATCACGTTGCAACAGTAAAAAATTCAAACTCAAAACTTCAAAGTCTTCATCGTCTTCTCTCTGTCAAGTCTCTCTCACCTTGTTTCTATGTTTCTCTACCTCTCTTTGAACTATGAGTGGTGTTTCCATGTGAGATTTGAAAATTCCTTTTTAACTACTTGAAATTTGTATATGGATTTTTGGGTTTAAAATTTGTATATGGGTTTCTGGGTTTTTGCTTGGAAGTGTTTGAAATTACTTGATTTGCCAAGTTTTGAATAACTACAACCATTTCAAGTTAGGCAAGGTTCAGATTAATGCATTTTTATGGTTTGTGTTGATTGAACTTAATTATGCCTGCAAATTGTTTGATGGGTGGCTTCACAAAGCTTCTCATTAGTTTTTGTTAGGAGGTGTTTCTCTACAAAAAATATATTTTAAGAATAATCTTAACTGTGGTATTTAATGTCATGAGGCTATATATGTAGATGGATTATGTAGATAATACATATTCAACATTTGGTTACACAACTGCAACCCAAAATGAATGTGACAATGACATGCCTCAAGTGATTGTTCCAACTGGACCAACCACCAAGAAACCACAAAGAGCTAAGAATTTTTTTTCTGAACAAGACAGGGTTACTAATTTACAATCAAATTTAGTCATTATGTATATTTATTATTGCAAATAAATGAGAAAATTTTGAAATTTCTTACCTGATGTGTATGATGATTTGTGTTTTTGACACTGTAAATGACTTGTGTTTTTGACATTGTAAATAACTTGTGTTTTTGACATTGTAAATGACTTGTATTTTTACAAACTGTTCGATTGAGTATTAAAATACTGTGTAGATCTTAAAAGCAAAAGAAATGTATCAACAACTCATGGGATCAGCATTTGTGTATAAACATTGTTGGCATCTATTGAAGGATCAACATAAATGGATTACTGAAACTAGCAAGAAAAAATCCAAGACTAGTAAACTAGCAGCTGGAAAAGTAGTTATGCTAAATGTTTAAATTTTAAGAAATCATATAATATTTGAGGTTAGCTAAAATAGAGAGCATTGCTGGAGGAAGCACATTTTAAGAGGAAGCACATTTTAAGTAGTTTGCTATAATGACTTCTTAGCTATTTTAGTTAGAATTTGACTAAAATTTGGAGACTCTCCTAGAGATGCTCTTATTACTTCATCACTCAGGCTCTAATTACACATAAAATGGTATTGAGAGACTCTTACAGTTCAAATCCTATAAACAGGCTTCAAAAAATTACACAAACCCAAAAACATTTATCCATTTTACAGACTTCAAAAAATTTCCCAACTTATTAACATTAATAATTTAAAGAATTCATAAATCTGATTTGTTTTTTAAACTTCCATGCTCCTCTCCTCTTGGTCACTTTCAGTTTCAAAGACAAAGACTAGAACTTTTTTTTATATTAAAAAAAAACGTGTGAGCTTTTTAGTGAGAGATCAAATCAAAGCACAAAGATAAGAAGACTGAGAGATTCATCAATATATATATATATATATATAAACAGTTCCCTTCACTGAGGGATCCCTCAAATAAAATTTGGAGACTTTAGGGTACCCTTCTCTTTTTTTTTCCCAACGATCCAAACCATCTATTTTTCAAGTCTTCATTCATATATCATCCTTGCAAAAAATGAGACAAATTGAAAATCATTAAGGCATCTAATTGAAACCAACAAAATCAATGAAACAATGCTTCAAGAAAGTACTTAATTTTCAATAATTTAATTGAATGGTCAAATGATATTAGATTCAAGTTTTGTAGAGTTTGATTGAGATATCTATAAAAGAGACGGTTTGGATTAATGAAATACAATACGGAGTGAGTCATACAATCCCTCAACGAAAGGTCTCTGTATATATAAATTTTGGAGCCCTGGCCATCGCCCTTTGTGCCTAGGCCCAAGGCCGGCCCTATTCATAGCCGATTTAGATTGGAATGAATTACATACTATCATGTCATTTGGTAAGCGTAGCAATGCTCTGTGAACATCGATGCATATGGTAACAAATGGTGCATTCGTTTGGAAGAAGCCACTATATGAAGATCCACTACATAACATTTTGAATTGCACATTTTTGCTTAATTGCGTAAGACGTGTTGTCTCAAGTTCAACAAAATTTCTTCATACATTTATTGGAGAAATGATACACTTTAAAAATGAACAAAGTAATAAATTAATATAGAAAAGGAATAGACCAAAAAAAAAGCATGAGTTGGTTGATTAGTTGATAATCTTTTTCTTGCCACATAATAGCTGTGTTGAACACAAGAAATCTTGAAGCAGTAGTCACCTATTTCGACCCAAAAAATATTATGAATGGCTGCCAAACAGAAAATAATGATCGACTGATAAAGAGAACATGACCTTTTAATTATAAAGTTTATACAAATGAAATTTTTTTCATGAAATCATGTATGTATCAACGAGTCCTTTTAGGCGTCTGGAGTACTTTCTGAAGTGACAACTCCAACTTCTGTATCTGTGGACGCATGTTGTGGATTCTGTGAATCTGAGACCAAGAACAACAGTACAGATTTCCACATGAGCACATGCTCTACATATAGCAGCAATTTAGAAAGAAATTTTAAGACCACAGTTGTTTGCCCTAATATATAAGAATAATGCACCCATTGAAAGACAATTTCATATATGACCAAATCAATGGCGATGATTAATAGTCTGAAATATAAAGCAATGCTACAAACACCGTGATAAACTTGATTTAAAATTTTGAATCTCAACGAATGTTCAATACTTTATTTGTTCTGGTGGGCACATTTTAAACTTTATTTGTTTCTAGCAACTAAGATATTGTCATATCATTTACCACATTATTCGGTAGCTAAAATTTTAGAAAGAAAAAACTAATTACTCGGAACATGTCAATGATAAACAAATCTTTAAGTACGAAATAGTTGAAGACATAGAATTTTTATTTTATTTTATAGAAGTTGAAAGACTAAGGAAAGGAAAGAGAAGATCATGGAAATTATATATCTTCTGGTGCTAGAAGGACAAACTGTACTATATGTCAATATTAGCACGGACGGTCCATATTTTCAGCATGACACATCATGGATTGTAACGCAGGATTGAGACATCGTTCGACAAAAATTTGTATTTAAGTGCTTTTAAAGAGTGGGGTTAATGTCAGACCAAGAGTGGGGTTTATGAAAACTTAAGATTCTGACCAAAAAGAAAATGACTATCAAAATTGTTGCAGGCATGACCACTCAAAACCACAGGTATCCACAACCATTTTCTCAACATATTAATCACTTGTCTCATGCCAAACAATATAGAAAATGGTCTGTAAAATATATATGAGACCTAAGTAATCAAGCAGCATATACATAGAGCAATTTTTTTTTCTCATCTTATGTTATCAAACTGTTAATCAGTATAACTCGAAACTCAATTAGTTGTGTTTTATCATAAATTTATAATGTTATTTTTCATTCTTTGAAATCAATATCACACCCCCCACCCCAACATTTCCAACAGATAATAAACTCGTGTGAAATAAGGGTAGCATTGTTTTGATCCTTCCCCATTTTTCTTCTTCCCTTTAGTATATGTATACTATATGAAGTGCGATAATAAGAAAAAATGATAAAATTTTAGATTATGACCCCTCAAACATTGAATTATGGCTATGCCCCAAGCTACCCGTTCCACACAAGTGTTAATCCTCCAAACGACCACTTGACTACAAATATCTTGAGAATGAAGCATGATTTTGACTGTTGAGGTTGAAGCCACATGCAGCACTGTTAATTTACACAAATTCTGCTTCTGCTTCTCTGTCATGACTTCCCATTTGACCCTTTGGGTCATCACACAAGCCATGCAGACAGCTCACTCACATGGGTTGGCCTTGCCCTTGTAGCCCCACTAGGTCCATGTTAGACAAATCCCTAGGGAACCCCCCAAAAAAAAACACACACATATATATGCATGTGGAACTACTACCTAGCTACAAAGTTTTAATAATTATTTTCCATTGAATTTTAAATTATATATACTTCACATATAAATACTAAATACCAAATACCAAATAAAATAAAACAGTGATAAAAAATAAAGTAGAGAAATTAATTAATTGATTAAGGTAGTTAATTACCAGGTGAAGGAGAGGTAAAATTGGGAGGATGTTGCCTTGAGGTGGGGGGTTGTTGTAGGAGTGGAGGAGCAGGATTTGGATAGGAGGAGGAGGGCTCCATCTGCGTAGGATAGTAGAGATAGGAAGGAGGAGGCATACGTTGCGCCGGGGGTGAAGAAAACGTTGCCCTTGGAGATTGAAAAGAATAGCCATGATAATAATATGGAGTGCCCATGGGTGAAGATGGTGATGATCCATAAACTTGATGAGAGTAGTACTGGGGCTGCTGTTGAACTTGTGGGTTGTACATTGCCTGCTGCAATACATTGCAACCATTCATTAATATTTTCAACCAATTGTTGCATGTGTTTCTATTATTGTACATGCATGAGAGAGAGGAGAGAGAGAGAGAGAGAGAGAGAGAGAGAGACTTACTTGATGGTACCCATAATCTGCAGGAGTGTACGTAGGGTAGCTGCAAATCAATATTAAATGAGATTGACGAGTACGGATGAGCAGAAAATAACTTGATAGCTGAAGATTTATTTCCAACAAAATAAATTCATCCTATGGGTGAGAAATTTTTTTCTTCCTATAATTTCATTCTGGAAAACAAAAGGCTTATAGTTCAAGTGATTAAGAACATATATCCCTGCATTCGAGAGGTCTTAGATTTAATTCCCTCCTCCTCAATATCGCTTGTATCATAACAAAATAATAATAATAATTTGATTCTTAAAGTGTTTCGCACTGATCATATTATGAGATGTAGGAAGCACCACCCTAGAGTTGACCGATGAAGACAAAGATTGACCATGTGTTTCTTTTTAAGCAATATCACTATAATCTATACACGTCATCATCTCCCAAATGTAGCTCCATTAATCTTTATAATTTCCTTAAAACAATTACAATTTTCAGCAATTAATAATATAATATTAATGCTGTTTTTTATAGATCATTTTGGTCAATATATCCATCAATGTATCATAATATATGTACATCAAGAGAACATGGCATCCCACCTTCTCTACTAAGGTCAATTTACATGATTTATATTTGCTATTTCCAGGTTGATACCAACTGTACCGAAGAAATATTTATTTGTATGTAGCATAAAAAACGACACCACGTCTATCTAGCTACTCACTTTTTTTAATTCATTGCATATGCATGGACCATTTCTCTTTAACCCTCCAAAAAAAAAGTATTAATTATTATAAAAATAATAATAATGCAACATTTCTTACCTGTAAGGTGGATATATAATAGGGGCTGGTGGCGGCAGCGGTGGAGGTAATGGCGGCCCTCCGCCATACGATTGTGCAGCCTGTGGTGCACTTCCCTGGTATGGACCGGAGGCTTGATTTCTTCCTGTATAAACCATGAAAATGCACAGTTTTAGCAAAGTTATACAACGATGCGAGAGAGAGAGAGAGAGAGAGAGAGAGAGGATAATTGAATTCAGGACCTCAAATGCGGGATGAAATATGTAATGTACCTCTCGGGGGTGAAGGCCGAGGACGTCCTAACGAAGCAATGTTACAATTTGCTCTTCTTCCATCGATCACAGGGTTTGGATTAGCACAAGCCCTCCTTGCCGATTCCGACTCACGAAATGTCACCTAGTCATAAAATTAGAACACAAGAGTAAGCCAAACAAGAAGACAAAATAAAAATAACCCATCGATCTTTGATTAAAATATCAAAGACTTACAAATCCATAGCCTTTAGATTTTCCAGTGTTCTTATCAGCAATAATGACAGCCTCAAGAATCTCCCCAAACTGCTGAAAGTATCTACGCATTTCATCAGTTGGTGTCTCCCAAGCGAGCCCTCCAACAAACACTTTCGTAAACGTTGTGTCCCCAAACTGTGATCGATAATGAGGATAAGCCATGGCATCTAAATCATCAAAATCACAAACTGGTTTCTTGGTAACTCATACACAAACGCAGTTGTTGATCACAGAGAAGAAATATTGGCTAAGCAGAGGCCTCTTAATTTCTTCCACCTCATGTTGTTGTTGTTGATCTTCTTTGCTTGCTCTATGTCTATATGCTCCTCCATCTCCATAATTATTATTCCATCTCCTTTTTTCTTTTTTTTTACAGAGAGAAAATCATTGAATACACAGAAATTTGAAAAGGGTTATTGCATTAGTTTCAAATGTTGCTGTTGGTGTTGGTATTGCTGTCAAATATTTGATGAGTAGTTTGAAACAGAGGAGTTGGTTTGGTTGATTGAGTGAGAGAGAGAGAGAGAGATAAAGCACCCGACAGCTGCAAACCCTGATTTGCTGGCTATGAATTAGAAGAGGGGAGGAGGGTGGCTTTGTAATAGCGAATGACAGCTCTGCGTGACTAATGCACTTCAAGGTCTGTCCTCCCTGTCTCTGCATTAATATACCCTCCCACCCTCCAATCCTCTCTCTAATTTACTTGTTTTATCTGTATCGTCGTAACACCATCACATATTATATTATCACTTATATTATAACACTCTATATATTTATTTTATTAGTATTATACCTTAGAGTGATAATTATTATATCATAATTTCGATGAATTTGTAATACCACATAATAGTATTGCTGTAACAAATACAAAATATTTTGATCTTCGCCCCTGGTGTTCTTTTTTTTTATAGTTTTTAATCTTAATCATTTGTCGCAAAGAAAGTTGTATTAATGTAGACCCAAAAAGCATAATATGTCATGATCTGTAATTAGTTAGTTGTTTTGTTTACACAATTAATACAGGGTGCGTGTAGGTGTGGGTATCAGATGCCCCAACATTTGTACTCATTGCGGGTCTGCTAACTAGGCCAGTAAGATGGACCATTCGATCATCATCGAGTTGCCCTTTGTATCGAAAAATGATTCAGTGGATGTGATTGCTTTTGGATAATTAGATATAACAATAACACAACTAAATTTATTCACCAAATAATGGGTCATACGTGGAGCCAAGTTCACATCAAAGTTAATCACCCGTGTTTTTGCGATTCATAAATCATATTCTGAGTCGAAGTCGATTGGGTCGATGGCAACACCTATCAAGATGTGGTTGGTCAGTCGGATTGGTGGCCACATCTAATCAAGATGTAACCGGTCTAGATCGTAGCCCCACTTTGATACCATATTAAATTTCAAAGAGATGAATCAGTGGCCCACTACTAGCAATATAAATATTGTCCCCAATTTAACCACTTACAAAACCCAGTAGATGTAGGGTTTTACCACAAAAGGCCTTGCTGTTATTAGGAGTGAAACCACTTATTATAAGTTATAATTTATTTTATCAAATTTTCGATGTGAGACTTTATATTCTTCAACAAATACATATTAATATATCTTATTAATTATAAATGAAATTGAAAGTACATACAAATTTAAATTAATCTAACGCTGCCGTGTTATTTGATGAATAAAGTTAATGCACAAATTTAGAATCTCTAACAGTTCTCTTAACTAAATAAAGAAAAGTTGGTTGCTCTTGTAATGCTGCTGAGCACTAACCAGTGGGTTTAATTAGTTATTTGAATTTGTTTAATGCGTTTTGATTTGTGGCTGCAATGGACCACAATTCTTGGTATGTGAATTGACAATTGGTTTGCCCAAAAGATCACCAATGTTATTTTATAATTTCTGCACTTGTTGTTCTGCCTCATGTTACATTAGCTGGTTATGGTCAAAAGAACAGCTAATTTTGGCTTAATTTATTAGATTAAGATTTAATCTTTTTTTTTTACTCAACTGCTTCCAGATGCTAATCAGATATTCCCACATGACCCCATGTTCCTAACTGTCTAATCATAAGCTGTTTACAAAGCCAACTTCCAAACAAGAAAAAGAAGTCAAAGAAAACTGTAGTTAGGATTACATAAACCAATGGTTTCGGTCTTTCGGATAAAAAATCATGTGCATTGCAAGCTTTGGGCGGCAGCCAAGGACAATCAAAATCTAAACTGGTACATTGTTGTTTAATTTTATATGACCATCTGTATCGAATCATTCCCAATCCTTGGTCAATAATCATTAATTAACTAAAAGGGTTCGTGCTCTTAATTGAATTATTCTATGTTAATGGAAGACCATTATCTTGTCCACAAGCTAATGACCATGCGAGCCATAAAGTCTCTATTGAAGGATCACATGTTCTTCATTGTCATGTTTGAAAACTTAAAATCGAATGAGTATATATCGAGTAATGTTCTCTTGTCATATTTATGTTGTCACACATACAATTATTTTGCCCATATTTATAATATGAGTCACACGCTAAACTTATCAATTGTTCGTAATCATAGTATGATAATTTAAGTATCTTATATATGTTTATGTTGACAAGCCTTATATTAAGATAACATTTATGATTTTATATAACTATGTAGGGTAATACTATCACTGCCATACTTATGTTACCAAACCATAAACATGGCTACATATTCCAGCAAAACCAAACATTATCAATGGTTTAGAATCTTACTCCAACAACATAAGTATATTATGATACAACACGTTGATAAGAAAACGATTGAATATAATTATGTAGTGTAACATTATCTCACCACGCTTATTATGTTTCTAACAAAATATTTATATTGTCATACTGTAAATCTTAATTCACCAATTTAAAAAGAATCAACCTCATCAATTATCCATATTACAATCCAACTGTTCCCTTGTCAGTAGTATATGCGGGAGAACATGCATTTCCCTAATTAAGTATGTATTGTATTCATATAACTCTCAAATGACTTTTGATGGTGAGGCCCATGAGCAGAGAGAGCAGCGGAGTGCACACACGCACGCACAATGAGAGAGAGAGAGAGAGAGAGAGAGGCAGAAGGATTGATAATCTAGCTTGTTGCCAGCGTTAGGGACGAGGAGGAGACAGCTATGAGTTGAGCACCTCTCTCTAGTTTTTATGATACAAACTGTACAGGTCCGTGAACTGGCACTTTGTCAGTCCTCTCCACGTGGGCTCCTATCATTCTTTGACAACAATGAGCTGGATTTCCATCTATCTACCCCCTCTCTCTCTTCTCTCTCTTCTCTCTCTCTCTCTCATAATATTTTTGGGTGACCCTCCTTTGCCTGCACCAATCAATGGCTATTTAAAGCTGCCTCCACTCTCAGTCTCCACTGTGGTGGAGTCCCTCAGCTCTTATGTGCACAACCCTAATTTGCACATTTCTGCAGAAAAAGAGCATTGCCCTTCTCTTTCTCTATGGCACTCTTTCCTCAGCTGAAGACCACCCTTTTCTCAGTAATACCAGTGAGGCTTTCCTTCATGTTCATGGCATGATTGAAAAGCTGAACTCTTTGAGCCTTTAACCTTTTTTTATCTTCTTTCGTTTTACCCTTTTGAGGATCTTTTCTAGGTATGCACCTAGACTTAACATTTGCAAGTTGCTCACCAACGAACAATGGCTATAGCACTACTCTTAAATCATATATGAACATGCAACGCTAATGACCTATGAATTCTTACACCTTTTTTACTTTACTAGGTTTAGAAACTTCAAACAAGATGTTAAATTGTTAATGTAGACTTGTACAAAATGTACATATGTTCATAAGAGCATTTGTTAGAAGCGTTTTTATTAAAAGAACATAAAAAATATATATATATATTAAAAATTCAAGTGGAAATGTTTCCCTTTTTCAGAAACCGCTTTTATGACTCATAAATTTAAAATTTTCTACCCAACACAGTTGAAAGTGATTTTGGCCATTTCAAAAGCAAGTTCTTATTTCGAAATATTAAGTTCATTTGGCTAGAGCATCTTCACAAATAGTAAATTTGGTTCAATGTGATTAATGGTCATGTATGATGTTATGAAATCTTGACACATCTCATAGCTAAGTGTTCGAACGACAATGTCCAAAACACTGTCTACGTAGGTCATTAGAGCCCACAAAACCATCGGTCAAGTCGGCCTTAATGCCTCGTTGCATGTAATTTTTCTTCTGACTAACGAACTTAATAGGAGCATAAAAGTCTGGTTAGGCGATGAACTAACTATAACAATGGGCCCAACGCTACGTTATTGTGAGGACTTAACGTTGTGACCCAATTAATTTCAAGACTTTGTTAGGATGCAAACTCACTCTACCATTCTCAATTATACGTACTTCAAATAAATTAAAAGTCCGTAGATATGGATTAAGCCAGTTTATCAAGGTATTGTGTTCGTCATTTTGCACTCGAATTCAATTTCCTTTCTTTGTAGATTAGGCTAATTTATAGTAGTTAACAATCTCTTTTGTGGATAAATTATTGTATGATGCTGCAATATAGTCATGTGATATAACTCGTCCACATGTTACACAATATGAGTGGATAACATGTGGATGAGTTATCATGTGGTCGTGCTCCAGTACCCCTCTTTTTGGTTCTAAGGAGGTTTAGGATCCTTTTAATTGTGATTTAATAACGATCTTAAAATTCTTTTAATTTCTGAATTATATCAGTATTTTATTATCAAGTTAATTTTTTGGGTCAAAAGAAATTTATTTGATAAAAACATCCCAATATGCCCATCAATATAGGAGTAATAGAACCAAGAATCCTATAGTGAGGGCCTTATATATGTTCCTTAGGTGAGATCTTATCTTTAAGTCGTTGGATCAAATTGATTAGCCTGATTCAACGATTAAAAGATAAGATCTCATCTAAAGGCCATATACAAGGCACTCATTATAGAATGACTTGAGATAGAACCCCATCCAAACAGAAGGCTATGGCATCTAGTACATAGGATGATAAAAATAATGTATCAATTGACATTTTACTGAAAGAAAAGAAAAAAATAATTTGAGGAAACTTTGTTTACACCCCATTTTTTACTTTGGATATTTCCATTTTATGAACTCAGTTTTGGTATCAACGTTATATGTCGTCCTCGTCGACCCATATTTTGGATTGGGTTCATACCAGCTAACAGAAAAGCAGTGGGTTTTTCTTGGAGAGAGAGTTTCTAGCCCCATTAGCCAACTTTATGGGCTGACTTTGGTGCTTTTCATTTAAGTTCGTTGGGCTAAAAGGGCTTATATGCTGAAATCGAGATGAGTGTAGATTGAACTGTTAAAGTGAATAACTAGAACTTTTCGGAGAGAATTCAACATCGAGGGGTGGTGGCGCAGTTGGCTAGCGCGTAGGTCTCATAGCTTCTGAGTTATCCTGAGGTCGAGAGTTCGAGCCTCTCTCACCCCAAATGTTTTTCAATTTTTTGCTAATTTCAAATCATCATACTTGTTTTTAACTAATATTAATGTCAAACAGAATTTAAATCTGGAAGCATGGGAGAAGTCATTGCAGACCCTGAACCTAAAAGCACTACTAGAAAAGGGGGCATAAAGTTAATAACAACACCCATAACTACCATAATCACATAATTTATGACCAACACCCTTTGATCACGGGTTGTCTGTAACACTGGCGAAGCCAGGATTTCATGTGTGTGGGGGCCTTTTACAAATTATAAAAAATCAAAAATTCGAACTCATAATACATACAAAAAATAGTGTGTATATATATCACATATGTCAAGAATTATATTGCTTATTGGTTGCAATCATAATTGTTCTCGATAAATGGATAAACAAATACATTCTAAACAAGAAAAATTGCAAGAGATAGACAAAGAGTAGCAATTTAGCAAATATCTTTAAAGCTTTTTCCTCCATTAAATCCAATAGAAAGAAAAAAAAAATCAAAATTTCCCAAATTAAAAACAACCTTAGGCCCCTTTATGCATTCATATCATACATGAAAAAAATATTGACTAAGTATGAAAAATGGTTTTTCGGAATAATCATTTTCTCAAGATAATTTTTGGCGGATTTTCTTCCTTACACATGAAATAAGAAAACTTGATTTTATGGGATTTTAGTATGAAGTATATATTGACTTAATGAGCCATCATTTTTAGCCTAAATCGTATTTTACACTAAAACGGATTTTTCATATTTTGATTTGGTGGGAATTTGATTTTCTAGTATTTTTATTTGAATCCAAATAGGGGGTACTTCCTTATTTACATTGTAAACTTAAGTAAATGGAGTAATATAAAAATAAATGAAAGTCAAAGGACAAAGAAATTTACTTAAATGTTGAAAATGGAAATAAGGTAATCTATACACCTGGAGTGCATCACCACTAGCTGAGCAAGGGCGCAATTTGAATTACCTTCTTGTGCCTTAATAAGTCCGCCACAATACATGTGGGTACATATCAAAACGTAAAGTATTTGAAATAATATACATATATAAATACATAATAGTATATTACTTTTAAAATATAAAAAACCTTGAGTGGGGGCCCGGGACCACACTGGTCCCAGTGTGGCTCCGCCCCTGGTCTGTAACTAACATGAATATAGGTCACAGTCTATCAGTGACTTATAAAGAATGCATTTTTGGTGGATCGTTCATACCATAATACAATGATCACATTGGTCCTTAATTTATCTGTTAATTTTGCCCTTTCCTTCTCATTCATAATAATAATAATAACATTGGCAAGGCGCAGGTGGTTGGTGCAAATACAATTAGGTTATTATATCTGTCCCACTCTCAGTCTCAACCGAATGATTATTCTCTTTGAGATGCCATGGAAGTCTAGTAGGCAATTTATTATACTCATCTCAACCCCCAACTGATCAAACAAAACTTGGTGAGGCTAATCACGGGCTGTTTTGTTAAATAATTATAATTATAATTTGGTTGATGCGTTTTGTTGAAATGTCTCAAGTTTGGGATGAACAAGAAACAAAAAAAGGGAAGAAAATAGTGATGTTAAATTAATTGTGTTTGTTTTGTAGTGATGGCATGAAACTGTATGATGGACCTACAAGAAAATAAAAGACTAGAACAATCAAGCAGCTACGTAGGGTATCGGAAAAGGATTTCTGATTCATATTTAACATGCAATATGCGTGAACTTTTTAGCTTTGGGAAATCGCTTTTGATCCTACAGTATTTCTGTCTTCCAGTTTGTCTGTAATGGAGCTTGGCTTGGCTCACGCACAAGATTCAGGAACTCATCCAAAGAACGATACTCTGCAGACTGCAGTGCTTCGTTTGGTTGACAGGAAAAAAAATTCTTAACACCTATAATATTGTTTGGTAATTTTCCTACAATTATTTTATCTAGGTTAAAATTTTATTTATTTATTTACTTTTAAATTCCTCAATAACAATTTTGTCTCAATATCGACAGTTGCATCCATTTTTGAATATATAGAATGTTGACGTTTGTTAGCTGAAAATTGGTTAGGTAATCAATGCAGAAAAGATTTGGTTTGAGTTGGAATTTCAAGCAAGCACGACAAACAAGTACTAGCTAGGTAGAGTAACGTGACTCTGGCTTACAAGATCATGCCCCTTATCAATGAACTTGGGGGGCATGGGTGGTCCAGCTTTTTGGATACAATTTTAAACTGGATATAAGAATTCCATACCAAACTAACAAGTGAAGATAACACAATCAACCGCTACATTATTGTGCAAGTGCGGTTAGGCGAGTTGAGTACAGGTAGTGTGCCCGTCCTTTAACACTCGAATTCGATTCCCTTCCTCGTACATTAGAGTAGTTAAAATATCACATTAACAAAAAAATAACGGCTACATCATTGTATATAATATACCAATTTGACGCGCCTATGCAATGTATTAAATTCATTCATATTATAATATACGTAGATGCAATAATAAAACATGAAGGTCATTTAAAATATATAAAAATTTGATTGTATATGCTCTATAATTTGGTGAATTCGATAGACATGTTAGGTGATGCAATAATCTTCAGCATATGTTATATAAAGATATATTTACTCGCACTTTGATTGTCTACCCAAAAAATAATAATACAAACCTTAACCAGATACATGTGCTACTTGAGGATGACTAACTAACAAGTCGGGTTAGTCTCTATTCATGATTAAATAGACAAGACATATTGAGATTGATTAATACTCGATAGTTCCTTAATAAACATAATTTGACGTGACATGATTGCTACCCTTTGCTCAAAAACAATTTATGCTACCAATCTCAACGTGAGCAGCATCACTCACGTAGCATTCACAAGGCAAAGAAACTTGTAGGCGGTCAATGAAAGAATGGTATTGACATTGCATGGTTTAATTTGTGGTGGCAAAAAATTCCGTCTAATATGATCCCAATCCAATATGTCCTTTTGTCCGTTTATCTTGGATGATTAGATGCTATATAGGTGGATCCAAATGTGATTGATACCATGCAGTGCTGATTCGATTGTTGACATCTAATGAGTCGTATCGTAACTTGGGCGGATTTCTGTGATGAGAAATGGTTTGTATTTGTATTTGTATTGTACACCAAGAAAAAATCCTGCGAATTTTCTTCTACTTCGTCTCTCAACTGTATCTTCTAAATCGATTGAAGGGTAGAGGAAAGCAAGATTCCAATTTTTGTCCATATGTGTAGCATAAAGTGTTCCACAGTTGAAATTAGCGTCCGTTTAATAATAGTTTCAATTTTTTTTAATTTTTTTTTAAAGGATAGTGAGAATAAAATGATAAATGTGAGAAGAAGAATATCTACGTGAAATAGTACATAGAACGAAAACTAAAATATTTCTCTTTCTTGTTTATTGAGTTATTGTTCTTCTACCTTTCGTTCCTCCATCTCCTTTTCATGCTTCCGTTATTCTCTCATCCTTTTTATATCATTTTCTATGTTCTGGGAAAAACGAAAGTGTTATCAAGCGATTGAGTTCTTCATTATCCAATCAAATTTATTTATCAAAGTGGTTTGTATCTTAAAATAGTTTTATTTAGAGATATTTAGTTATATATCCATTCTTAGCAGTAGTGATATAGATAAACCCCACACCATTTAATTTCTATAAACAAATATAAAAAAAACTCAAAAATGACAGCTGGCCCTATTAAATTTAATTTCGATTATTAAATTACTTTGATGCCCTTTTGAGTGTTTTGAGTTTTTTTTTATGGGGTTTTGGGGTTAGGCTTATTTTAAGAAATCGATGGCAGTTTTGTAATTTATAGAAAGTTCGAAGCCTCTTTGTTATGTTGTAAATGGAATTTGGATATGTTTCTAGAATTCATTTCATATAAGATTTTTTTTATAATTAGGACCCCTATTTTGGGTATAATAGTAAATCTCCCTTTTATTTATAATGCAAATCTTTTTGTATTTTTAGATCATGGAATCAAGAGAAGTCAACCTCGCTATATATGAGCAAGAAGTGAGGTGGAGAGGTGACATGACCAAATTGAAGCTGAGCATGGAGCTATGTCTTCATCATCCATATCACCAAGATGGGCAATCAAAGTGCCCTCATTTAAATACATCACATGCAGTGGGGCTTAAGCTTATCCAACATGACATATTGCCATGGTTGGCATTCGGCCATGGCCGTGATTAATTTTGTGCGGTTCATTTCTTATGGCTCTCAAAGTGAGACACTCGAAACTTTTCTGGGGTTTTAGTCTACTTTTTATAAGGAAAGGGAATCTAAGTATACAAACGAGACATTGCCTGCTGTCAAAGGCATCATATAGTCGACATGAAAATGACCAAGTATTGATAAGCTTGTGTTGGGGTGATGGGGTGGGCTCCTTTAATGAATTGCCTACTAATAATTAGAAGTAGGTAAAATGGAATTTTAATCAGAGTGGTGTTGGGTTTTTAATGGAACATGAAAAATAAGTTGGGTTTGGGTGGAAAGAATTATCTTTAGATATTGTAAAATAAGATAAGTGATGTGAGGCCTAGGTTGGGGCATGTCTAATCAAATTTCAGTTTGGGTGGCTTGTGTTGGACTTTTGTCAGGATATAATCATATGCCCATGTTTAAACTATAGTGGTTAAATTTAATTAAAAGTGAAAGCATATAGACTTGACATGTCCTCCATGCCCTCCGGGCCTGAATGATAATGAACCGACCATCCTTGAGGTGTTCTCAAATCCTAACTTTTAACGGAAGCTACAATTGAAAATATATCAAACCCATGTGTTAAATTAATCTTCAAGCAAGTAAGTTTTAGTTTTGAACTGATTAATTTGACCAGTAAAATTAATTATGTCCTTTCATAAAATAAATAATAATGATCAAACCAAATGGCTGGCATGCTGCTAGTGCTTTACAGATGGGCAGATATAGGCGATCCCCAGAGAATCTTCCCCAGTGGGATGGGACATAAACATCAAATCAAATATCTTGTTAACACAATAATTAATTACCCTTCAAAACGACACTCACAAATATACAAAATACCGCGTTTTGAGCACTTTCGAAGATTTATATGTTAATCTTATCATGAAATCATGGCCCTCTTGACGTATAACGTAACACTCACTGACCACACTAATCATCACTTTAAAATATATATATAATGAAAATAAATTACAAATAATATTAATATATCAATTGGGAGATTATCTAATAAGTATTTAAGTTAATGATTTGTTACATATTTCTAATTTCGGCCGGTTGGATTGCATTTATTAGATATGTTAGTAGATTTAATATGCAACATGCATGCAATATAAAGTTCAATATTAAAAATATGTAACCAATCCTTAACATAAAATACTTATTGAAAAATCTACATATACAAACTTGGTTTTACAAATTTACAAGTAAATGCATGGTGGATGGTTGACTTTTTATTTTTACTTTTATTTTTTGGTAGACGACCATGGTAATTACCCTAAGGTTGGTCCACCATTTGGCTGATTATTTTGTCATTACTGCTACTATAGCCATAATTACAGTAAAATCGTTTTTTTCTGTGTTTTTTTTTGTTTGTTTCAATGTAAACATTAGCTGTGATGGGGTTCTGCCTACTACTTAAGTCAAAAGGTTGATGTGAATTTGCTAATGTGGAAACACACCGACCTCACGTGATGTGTTTTGACCAAAGCACAGCAGCCCATCCAGTCCAATCCAAAAAATCTTTTCAAAATGTCATTAATTAAAAATATTGAGGTCAAACATTAGGATTGGTAATTAACCATAAATTTGTGTATGATTAACACCTTTATCAATGCTATTAATTATGACCCCTACAAGTCTACAAGATATACACTTTGTTTTTGTTTGGACATAAGTTTTTATTTTTATTTTATTATAGGAAACATGTTACTTCATTTAAGCAGAAAATATATTATAGTACATCGTCATCATCATGAAAATATATTTTTTGTATTTTGAATGCATTTATTATTACATGGAAAATATTATATAAACTAGTGTAAATGTGCGTTTAAACTTCAAAGTTAAGGTAGTTTTGTTGTCCCTGAATTGAATTACACAATCCAATTATAAATATTTTTCATATAGTTTGGTGGTATCTCTTTTAATATGAATTCATGAGTAATATTGTATGTGTCATCCCACTTCATTTTTTCATCATTTAGAATAAATAAATTCACGTAGACATGAACTTAGTCAAGTTGACTAGAACGAATGTGCTTCTCACTCTGAATTCGAGTTCGAATCCCCTAATATGAAAAAATAATTTAATAAAAACTTGTCAAAAAATTTTGACGTAATTTTAAGAAAAAATGACTCATTCAAGTAAGGAGTTAAATGTTTTCCATTAACATGTATGGAACGAACAAAAAACCCACCAAATCTCTATGAATGGAGGGGGGCACAATCCAAAAACGTTGAGTATAAAATGATGAGTAATTTTCAGTGGGAACAAAGAAACCCCACCATGGCAGAGGGAAGGCCGCAGACTTGGACAAGTTTACTACTAAGCTAGAACTAGACAATCATGCAATATGGATTTCAATTAATAATATTGAACACATTGTATAGATTTTGGTACGGACGCATTTTAGGCAAGCATGGTGCTGCTTTCTGCTTGGAATATTTACATGGGAAGACAAGGGCCCCATTTCTGCCATGCCATGAGGATTGAGGATTGAGGATTGAGGATTGAGGATTGAGCAAGGTGGCCACTGGCCAGCTTATAATCGTCGTATTGTATACATTGTTTGTCTTTTTTTTTCTTCCTTTTTTATTGCATCAAAATTACTGAATCATGACATCAGCATATAATAATGTTAAATTTAAATACAGTATAAAAGAAAGTACCCAAAAAATTACTGAATCATTTTGTTTTCTTATACAACCTGTACGATGTTATATTGGGAAGTGATTGTTTAAATTAGAGGGGATGAAGATTTTTTATGCACACATAACTAAGATGCCATGAAAGTTTAAACTTAAATTTTTTTGCATGCAAGTCAATACTCTTTATAACTAACTAGACCTCGTTGGCGTATAAAACAAAAATAAATATTGACGACTGGATGCAACTTTGAACAGATATTGATATTTCTCCAACTTTATCAAGAAACGAAGAGCATCCAATTCCCCTCAAGCTATCATAATCTAGATGTCAATGTCAAACCCATATAAATAAATATTTAAACGTAACGCTTCTTGTTTTTTTTCTTTCTATTCACCATTTGATTATAAGCTAAAGAGCTCAAAGTGCTCTTCCTTTTTTGTTTTGAATTTCTTTCTTCCAATTCAACAATACGACTTTCTTGACAAAAGAGTTGTTGGCAAAAAGTAAAAATGATGCCACACAAATTCAATTCGTATAGGACAAAAAACCAAGAAACGAAAGAGAAACTTGTGATCCTAGTTAGGAAAGGGGGTATTTCTTTTTCTTTCTTTCTATTGGGTTCATAACTTACAATAGCTACATAAAATTTTAACCCATTAGATAACATGGTGATATGATATGGTATAACAAATGTAGCATAGATATATAAAATTTGGTAAATAATTTTGACCGCAATCAGATAATTAAATTTCTTATACAGTTGATAATCTTAAAATAGACGGTTCTGACGATTAAGACTCACACACATGACGATTAGAAAATGTTCATATGAAAATTCTCATATACCACAATGTAAAAAAATCACTATAAATGGTTCACAACCTGTGAATAATTCCAAGCAACCCTAATAACCTAGTCCGTCATGGACAGGATAGGGACGCCGACTCGCAGTAAATCCCTCAGTCCGTGACAAAGAAACAAAACGCGTCCTGTGCTATTTACGCTTACCTGACAACGCTTTCATTTACTGGTTTTTGTTGTTTTTTGGCCTAAGCGTTTTTTAAACCCCCGTGGCTCATCAGTCCCTTCACTTCCGTGTTTTCGCTCCACCGCCACCACAAACAAACAAAACGCACAGCGCCAACGCCCGCTCACACTTGTGACTCGGGGCAGTGATTCTCTGCGTTACGCACACATCTGTCATATCCCACCTGTCCACCTTTGCCCAACACGTCATCGCTCCAGTCCCACCGACACAGAGAAACGCGGCAAAGCTGGCCCCACCCCTCACCTTCTGTTTTTTTCTTTTTACTTCCGAAATTGACTCCCTTGGATATTAATATTTTCCGAAATTTGCATGTGTTCCCAGTCAGCCCCTCCACATATTTAAAAGAAGAAAAAACAAAAAGCCCATTAATTTATTTCAAGGGTTCAATCTCCTCTGGCAAGGTCCACAAGAGCACCCAATCCCGTGCCGCCACGTCACGGAACTGAAATGTGATTGGCTCATCAGAACCCAATTGGAGGAAGCGAAATTACCAATATCACCTTGAGGATGTGGTGGAATGTGGATTTTTCTTTGAAAGAGTGCAGAGAAGAGAAGAGAAGAATTGCCCCATTTGTAGAGGGATTCCCTTTCCCTGATTCTCTGACCCAAATCATCCATTCTCACACCCAAGGCCGCACAAAACGTATCATTACCTGTCAAAGGGGGCTCACCCAATTAATTAATTAATTAATTAATTAGTTAATTAGTTAATTATTTATTTCTTACTTTATTATTCTTCATTTGTATTTATTTATTTACTGCTATGATTATGATTCTTATCTAAATCTATGTTAAAGCAGTATTCGTCCTTTTAGCTTTTGGATGCTTGTACACCTTAAACCCTGCCATAATTAACGTTGAAAATCTGTCTTCAACTACGCCATTTTTAACCCCACAAAAGCATTTCACTGCATAAACCCAAGACTTGAACAGGGTAATTAAGATGCACTTTTTTATATAGGGCAAAGTTAAAGGGAAAAGAGATTTTCTCACATACACTGTCAACGTGTCATGAAGGTTCAGACATGAGACCACTGGTTTGCAAATTAAGATTTTTTTTTACTAGATTAGATCTCGTTGACGCATTTGTTTCTATTTAGTATGCATTATTGAAGTTTAAGTTCTGGAAAAAATAAAATGAATCTTTTTTTAACAAGTGATAATCTACTTTAAACTAATCTAAATTACATAGAGGGATTTGAACTCATATGTAGAATGGGGAATACATCCGCTCTAACCAATTTAACTAAATTCATGTATGCAAAATACAATGAAAGTTTGTTTCTCTATGCTGGTGTACAATATTAAATGAGTGGAGCTAGTGAGAACTGAAGCAAGTGCACAGGTTGGTATGAGTTATAAGATTGTTTAGAGGTATTAGATAAATATTTGAGGGGGCTAGTGTCCGGCAAATCAGCGGCAAGTCAAAGTTTATTTTGTAAATCCATAAAACAATCTTATTACACTAAGGGTCACAGACTGCTCAGATCTACCTTTGCACATAGCCTACTACATGGACATGTGCCACAGAGGAGGTCAGCTAGCAAATTCCTCCCTTTGCTTTATAGAAAGAGAAATTCAATTCTTTGGAAGATTGAGTGGGGACTCCTCCCAAAAAGCCCATCCATTCCCTAGTCTTGAAACATTTTGAGGGCAAGGCTTTTTTTGGTAAAAAAAAACATTTCTTTAATTTGAAAATTAGCTGTGTTTTCTCACAAGAATTTTAAAAAGTGAAATCATATCTGTTTAATGTCTAAAAGTTGATTCAACAAGTAAAAATCACGCAACAATTTAAATTTACTCACCAAAATCATAAATCGTATACTTTATAACGGCAATCCGAAAGAAAACACACTTGTCACGCACTCATAAAATTTCGATGCTAATATTACATGTATGTAAAACAGGAAGATAAACCCTTTAAATTTGTCCCAAACTTTTCGCATACCGAACATCTCTCAAGTCCAAAGAGAAAGACTAGTGATGCCAAACTGTAGAGCGAAAATAGGGGGAAGGAGAGGTCTCTTTCGTGGAAGACCATGTTGCCACACTCTCTTTCCACCATAATTGAATGTGGAATTGTGGGAATTGGGGTTTTATTTGTGACATAAAATAATAAAGTGAGAATTTACAGCGGCGGTGCACTTCTGCATGGTAAGAAGACATAGCGTGTTCACTATGCATATAATATCATATAACCCAGCATTTATTATGAACGATTATATAAAATAAATTACTATTTATACTTCCTCTCTACAGTCGTGTATATTTCTTTTTCATATTACACATCATACATAGTATTCAATTTTCACGAGCTCTGTCGTGATTGGATCGGTACAAAATCTCCTCACTCTCTCAACTCTCTCTCTCTCTCTCTCTCTATAAGCTAAAGCATTGAGCAAAGTGGGAGGAAGAGACCCAAGTGAGATGTAATCGGAGTCTCACTGTAGAACAAGCGTTTGTGGCATAAGCAGACCAAGACAAGCAAGTCTAGCTATGGATTCATACTGATGTCCAAGAATTTCTTGGCTTTTCTTACTGTTTATTCCCTTTATCCATCACCACTCCTCTGCTCTTCCCCTAATTAAAAAGGTACTATTTTGCTTCTGCTACTGCTTCTGACTTTTGCTACATTTGGCTCTATTGCAGTTTAAGTAACCACTATTTTTGGTTAACTTGTGGATTGATCTCAAATGGGTTTTGCTCAACTTGTTTTTCTGGGTCTTTAGAAGTGAATTTTGAATAGAAATGAGCTTGCCCTTTTGTTACCAGTTCATTTGGGAACTGAAAGTGATCCAAAATTTTAAGTTTTTTTGGTAAGGGAACTGATCCAAATCTTTAGTTATACCGAAATGCATATGCTTTACTGTCCCTTTATTTCTGTAAATCTTAATTGCACTTTGTCTTCCTTTCTGGGTTTATTCTTTTCAATTGATTCTTAGTAAAGCATCTCCCTTTACTTTTTTATTTGATTGAATGTTGATAGGGTCTCTTGGTGCTGGGTTAATGGATCTAGTTAGGAAATGATCATGCTCAAGGATACCATTTTATCCTTTCCTCTACTTAAGCTTGTTGGGTAGAAATCAATCCTGGGTTTTATCGAATCTTTATGTTCAGCTCTTTTGAATGAAGTTTCGGCCTCACCAGAAAAAAGAAAGCTTTTTTATTTTTTTATTTTTAATGAAGGATTATTCTCGTTTTGAAATTTTCTTAGGATTTAAGTAAGAACGTCTTTGGGTTTCTGTCCTTTTTTCACGTTTCAGCTTGTTTCTCTTTTGTTTGAGCTTTTCCTGGATTTCTTTTGCTTGTATACAGATTATTTTTATTTATTTTTATTTATTGAACAGATTCTTGCTCCCTGGTCTCTGTCAATTGAAATTAAGAATGTCCAGACCTCTGCATCGAGGTTCATCTGGGGCAGCGGGGGAACGGATCTCCGGGAGTAGCAATGATTTTTGGGACTCCCAAATGAAAGATAAAACAGATAAAGAAGATTTGGAAAGAAGAGCTTCTTCTGATAACAACAGTATTGCATTTAGGTTTCCTATTCGAGTACTTTTCCCAGACAATTCTCCTTCCAAACATGGAAATACTGGAAACGGCTTTGCATCTGATCCTTTAATAGCCAGTACTCCTAGAAGTCGGCACAAGTTAGCGCTGCTACTGTTGAAGTTAAGTTTAGTATTGATTGTTATTCTTGCTCTTACTGGATCCTTTTGGTGGACAATCTCCATCTCAACGACTTCAAGAGGTCGCGTATACCATGGTTATCGGCGACTCCAACAGCAACTTGTTTCCGACCTGTGGCATATTGGAGAGCTTTCTCTTGGTTCTTCAAGGTTGAGAGACTTGGAATTCTGTCCTCAGGAGTTTGAAAATCATGTTCCCTGCTTCAATGTTTCGGAGAATCTTGCCTTAGGTCTTTCTGATGGCAACGAATATGACCGGCATTGTGAGTATGGAATGAGGCAAAATTGTTTAGTTCTTCCACCTGTGAAGTACAAAATTCCTCTTAGGTGGCCTACTGGTAGAGATGTCATCTGGGTGGCAAATGTGAAAATAACTGCGCAGGAGGTACTTTCTTCTGGAAGCTTGACCAAGAGGTGAGCTACATTTCTCTTATTAGCTAACTGTGTTATAATTCTATTAACCTGTCCTGATCTTGCTTTAATTTTGGATTTCCATGTACATCAGGATGATGATGTTGGAAGAAGAGCAAATTTCATTCCGTTCAGCCTCATTGATGTTTGATGGTGTTGAAGACTACTCTCATCAAATTGCAGAAATGATAGGGCTGAGAAATGAATCTAACTTTATACAAGCTGGGGTAAGTAGATTGCAATTGTTGGAACCGACCCCAAATGTTAATGGCAACATTCTTAACTCGTTTCTTTTTCTTGGTTGTCTTCCCTCTTGTGTAGTTTATTGCACTTATAACAGGTCTCTTTAGAATTTTAGCCAATTGAGGTTGGCAACTTTTTTTTAGAGCATTTAATTATATTGAACAAGCAGGGGTCCTAGCCTAACCCCCAGTCCAAATGAAAGGTTTTTCAGTTTAAGATAACGAATCAACACTCTTTTATTGGGTAGTTATAGTTACATGTTGATAAATATGTCAAATATCACCTTTGGCATGAAAACTGCAGCTCAGGTAATAAGCTGTCTGACCTGTTTCAAGGCATTTATGTTTTACATTGCTAACTCCAAAAGAGAGTGAAAGTACTTTAAAACTCCGTAGGGTACTCTACCAAGTGTCTCTGGTGACTTTGGTGCCATTATGTGTGTACATGTGCATACATACATACATACCACATAAATACAGATATACAGATATACGTCATATCCGTTGGTTTCTCTTGCATGATTGATCATTTACAGAAAGTCTTATATGATTCTGATTATTACGAAGACGATATAGCATAATATGGTTATATTATGATCACTTGTAGTATATTTTCTCTTTGATGTACTGCAACATGAATTTGTGCCATATGAATTGTATTATATAAACACTTTTGATGAATGAAAGTGTCAACTTTAATTCTGCAGGTGAGAACTATCTTGGATATAGGATGTGGTTATGGTAGTTTTGGAGCGCATCTCTTTTCCAGTCAGATCCTAACTATGTGCATTGCAAACTATGAGGCTTCAGGAAGCCAAGTTCAGCTAACTCTTGAAAGGGGTCTTCCTGCGATGATTGGTTCTTTTACTTCGAAACAGTTGCCATATCCATCTCTCTCTTTTGATATGTTGCATTGTGCACGATGTGGCATTGATTGGGACCAACGAGGTAATCAGTCAGAAGTTAATTATCACAAAGTGGTTCTTCTTTCTAGACTTCCATATATGCACAAGTAATTGTGTATCTGCAAATACTCTGCATTATGTTGTGTTTGTTGTAAACTTATCCTGAAACCTATGTACATTTCGAGAACTGAAAGAAAACTATGTATCACAAATGTATAAAACCAAAAAATATCAATTTCTCTATTTTAAAGAATTTCCAGAAATATTAGTAGATCTTCATTCTTTAGAATATTTAGAATAATAGTTTATGGGTTACAAAGTTTTCCTGGGTGTGGTTGTATATTTTGTGAAGTATTATCTGACCATTAATATGGTAATTGGAAAAAGAAAGTTTAAATAAGAGAAAAAAGTTGATGTGATGCTCAAACCTTAGTTTGCAGAATCTTAGAATCTGGACTGTGAATTTGAGCACCTTGGTTTTGCTTTTGTGATTTTCTGGATTTGGATGGGTCCACGTTTAGTGTATGTTAATCATCTGTATAAAATGTTATGACGTACAGATGGGATCCTCTTGATTGAAGTTGATAGAGTTTTGAAGCCCGGTGGATACTTTGTCTGGACATCACCAATTACAAATGCTGAGACGTTTCGTCGTAACAAAGTGAATCAGAAAAGGTGGAACCTTGTGCATGATTTTGCAGAAAATCTCTGCTGGGAGATGTTATCACAACAAGATGAAACAGTTGTATGGAAAAAGACCAGTAAAAGGAATTGTTATAGTTCGCGGTAAGGAAACTAACATGGTTTTTCTTCTCAACTTGGGATCATATGTGTTTGGTCTTTAGTGCACGAAAATAAGAGCTGATACTGATTTATATTACAATCTGCTTATTCTTTAGGAAGCCTGGTTCAGGTCCCTCTATATGCAGCAAAGGCCATGATGTTGAATCTCCATATTATCGACCACTCCGAGCCTGTATTGGGGGAACACAAAGCCGCCGATGGATTCCTATTGAAGAGAGGACAACCTGGCCTTCAAGGGCTAATCCAAACAAGAGTGAACTTGCAATATATGGTACTTCTTGTGTTCTTGATACAGCTTAGAGTGGAAAAATAAATGCGTTATTTGCTTAGCCTCTGACTTATCTATGTATCTCTTTACTTTATTTTTGGTGAAAATCATATGCTTTATGTATGTGTTATAATTTTCATTCAGGATTGCACCCAGAAGAACTCTCTGAGGATGCCGAGACCTGGAAAATGGCAGTCCGTAATTATTGGTCTCTTCTGTCACCATTGATATTCTCAGATCATCCAAAGAGACCCGGCGATGAGGATCCTTCACCACCCTATAACATGCTTAGAAACGTGCTTGACATGAATGCTCATTTTGGTGGTTTTAATTCTGCATTATTGGAAGCTGGAAAATCCGTGTGGGTCATGAATGTGGTCCCGTCAAATGGACCCAATTATTTGCCCTTGATCCTTGACAGGGGATTTGTCGGTGTTCTGCATGATTGGTAAAACTACTTTTGTCTTTGCATCCTCCTTTCCTTGCATCATGTTGTCTTACAGTTACCATTTATGTACTAACATCTTGTTTGACTTGGAATCTCAAACTTAACCAAATTTCATCTGCAAAAAGTACCATATCAACTTAATTTGTTTTGCTTGCTATCCCAAGTCTTGTCGCTATTGGATTTTTGTATTTTTTAACTTAAACATTCATGAAGGAGAGAAAGTAGATTCGTACCCTAACTAGGGATTTTTTTGGCCTTCATGTTTAGTAGTCAGCTGGTGCTCCTTCCCTTGGTTGATCAATGGGGTAAACCAAACAGGAATTTTGAATTATAAAAATGACCTCAAGCTTCTTAAATTAGGCTGACTTTACGGATCTGATGGTTGAATTCTTGATGGGGGAATTCATACTTCATTTTACTTGGTTAGCTGCCAAATTAGAAAACTCTGGTTAAAATTTCATTGGGCAGGACAGTATTAGAACAGCCTTGCCATTTGGAATAATTCAGCTCTAGAACAATTTAGTAACTTGGGTAAATAACTTGAAGAAATAAGTAGCAATGCATGCTAAGGGATCTCATCATACATTTGGTTTGTGAAAGGATACTTGTAACTATTGAATTTATAGTTTGTTTTAATACTACTTTTTCTCTTTTTCAGGTGTGAACCCTTTCCAACATACCCAAGAACCTATGATCTGGTGCATGCAGCAGGACTTCTTTCCCTTGAAGTTGATCATCAGCGCAGATGTACCATTCTGGATCTATTCACTGAGATTGATCGATTGCTTCGTCCAGAGGTACGCACACATACTAAACGGTTCTATTTTATCTAAATGTTCAGAAGAACTAGTCAGACATGCACTAATTAATTTCTGGATGTTAATTATTATGCAAGATTACAGAGCATATTATAATTTTCAATTTAAAAATCAATTTACTATCGGAGCATTCTGTTGTGCCCAGAATATGTTATTTGTTGCATTGAATGGCTTTTTGCATGCAAGATTGAATTGGTTGCCATGCAAGTTTGTACGTCACAGTTATATTATCGGTATTTTTTCCATTTAAAGAAGATGTAAGTTTTCAAAAAATTTAAGTTTGTGGCAAGGACCATGTGGGTGGTCTTTTGTACATCCATAAAAATCATGTGTCTACTGCATATATGGTACTGTGTAACTGTTCCACTTTTAATGACTCAAGGAAGAAAAATAAAACTCTCATTTGGTTTTGGCTATGTTTTGGTGATACTAATACTGGCTGTTGGTTTTGTCTGTGTTTTAGTTAAGTGCGGTTTCTTTTCCACGCTGGCTGTTTGCCCTTAGAACAAGGAGCTGATAAGTAAATTGTAGACTCATAGAGGAAATGCTTTTTAAGCCTTTTATAGACACATCAGTTCTTATAGATGGATAGATGTCTAGTAACATGTCAGGATGCAACTGGTCAGAACACATGGACAAGCGTATGATAATCATATTTTCCTTTAGTGATGGATGAAGCCTTTAACCACTATGCTTCTTGTTTGTTTCATTATGTTAGTTATGATTCTGATGTTGATGGTTATTGCAGGGTTGGGTGATAATCCATGACAAAGCTGCTCTTGTCGAATCAGCAAGAGCTCTGACAACAGGGCTGAAGTGGGATGCGCGTGTGGTAGAAATCGAAAGCAACAGCGATGAGAAACTACTCATATGCCAAAAGCCTTTCTTCAAGAAACAAGCAAACTAATAAGGAGTTTCCAAAGGGAGCCTGAGATATGGTGGTATATCACTTCATTCATATTCATTTACTTATTTTAATCAATCATCATAAAGCTCTGCCGTTGAAAGGAGGGAATCAAAAATTTTGGACAGAAGAAACCAAAGAAAACATGGGAGAAAAGAAATCAAAATTCAGTCTTGTAAAAGCGACACAACTCCTGTGGAGCCGTAAGGCTGCCATAGGACATAGGTCATGTAATTATTATGGTATTGAGGTCCGGAGCAAGTGAGAGAGAAGTGTAGGATTAGATTTTTAATCTTCCATGTAATTTCTCATTGTAACTATACAACCACATGATTAAGATTGTGAAGATCATTACAGAATAAACAAATGCAGTCAGTTTCTTATAGTGTAAAAACATGCTTGGCAATGCATTTATGTCAAGCACCATCAAAAGTTGATTATATTTTGCATTTGCAATATTACATGATCCATTTCAAATGTGAAGCTTGTAATTCGGCCTTTTCTTGGGAAACAAAGTTCGCAAGCATGCTTTGGATTTGTCCATGTGAAGCAGCAAATGGCATTAGCTCTCTCAGCACGGAGGGTTGTTTTTTCTCTTCTGAGCTTATTCGAGACATACACCCATGAGCCACTCTTGGGCCAATTGGTTCACTAGCTCTCTCATAAAATTGCTCATAAAGTGTTAGTATTTAAATGTTACAAAAGAAAATTATGATTTCTTTTAGAAACACTAAAGATTGGATTAAGAGGTAAGGGCAAGGGGCTTGTAGCACGAGTGGTTAAGAGCGTTTACTATTGTATCTGCACTATCGCTTGTTTTAAAAAAATTGGATAAAAAGGGCCCCTATGTTGGTTAAAAAAAACTTCGAACAAATAGAGAAAATGGCAGATGGGAGAAATATTGGGCGACAATAGAGGGCTTTGGTGGTGATGCATATGCACAAATAATTCATTTTTTTTGTACACGTGTTAAATTATGATTGGCAAGTAAGTAGGAATGTGATTTATTCCATCTAAAATTTATTTCCCTCCATATTTTCTTTTCAAAAATCTCATTCTTAATTGGGTTAAATTATAGGTAAACCTAAAAATTGGAAAGAGAGGTTGAGAAATTGTTGAAGTATCAGGTCATTTTGCTGAAATTTAAATTTCACTTCAGTTTGGGCAGAGCACTGCAAATTTCATGGCTTGGTGGCGCCACCTCGTTTCCAAAACCCCGACGGCCACACCCCCACCTCTTCTCCCAAACCCTAACCCTTACCCTAATCGCCTGCAGCTCTCCCTCCTCCTCCTCCAAACCTCTCCATTCTCCACCTCCTTCCTCATCACCAAAACCCCCAAAAAATTCAAAAAAAAGCGCAAGAAAGACGAAAGCCCTCGAACGAAGCTCGTCCAGACCCAACCCAACCTCATCCCCCACTTCGAGCACATCGTCGAGCGCGATGCCCACTTCCGGTTCCTCACAAAATCCAGAGACTTCCTCTCCAAGCAGCCCCACCGCGTCCTCCGCCTCGACGACGCCGGCAAGCTCCACCGAGAACTCGGCTTCCCTCGCGGCCGGAAAATCGCCCGATCCCTCCAGCGCCACCCCGTTCTGTTCCAAACCTACCGCCATGTCGACAACAAAATGTGGATCGGCTTCACCGAGTTCATGGAAGATTTGCTCGAACAGGAACGAGTCATTGTCGACTCAATGGAATCGGACCGAGTTATCAAGGTTCGTAAATTGCTTATGATGTCCGCGAACAAGCGTATCCCTTTGAGTAAAATCTACCATTGCAGGTCCTTATTTGGAATCCCAGAAGATTTTCGGGACCGGGTTTCGAAGTACCCTAATTATTTTCGAACTGTGGTTGAGGAAGGTGGGAAGAGAATGCTTGAATTGGTGAATTGGGATCCGTTGTTGGCGGTGAGCACTTTGGAGAGGGAGTTTATGGTTGACGAGGAGAAAGTGAAGAGGGCTTTTAGGTTTCCAGTGAAGCATGGGAAGGATTTGGGTTTGGAAAAAGAGGATGAGAGGAAATTGAACTTATTGAACTCGCTTCCTCTGGTTTCGCCGTATTCGGATGGGTCAAGATTGGACCTTTGGACTCTGGAAGCGGAGAAGTACAGAGTGGGAGTGTTGCATGAGTTTTTGAGCTTGACATTGGAGAAGAGGGCTTCTATACACCATGTTGTGGAGTTCAAGGAGGAGTTTAGTTTGACCAAGCATACTTATCAGATGCTTTTTAAGCAGCCCAGAACGTTTTATCTCGCGGGGACAGAGATGAATTGGGTTGTTTTCTTGAAAGATGCTTATGACCAAAATGGGGTTTTGATTGAGAAGGATCCGCAGGTGGTTTTCAATGAGAAGCTGTACAAGTATGCTGAAATGAAGGAAATGGAACGGGGTTGTGTTGATCAATGGAAATGACAAGAGGGTTTGGACAATTTAAGCGAGTTCTTTGCTTGTGCTTCAAGGAATGTTGTGTTATAGCTTGAGGAAGCTTGGACCTAGAAGGAATTTGGTGCATCAGAGGTATCTTGGTTGGTCCTTGACATAACTGTATCTTGTGTTGCAAGGTTTTTCGAGTCATAAGAAATCATAACATGTGATGTATATAAAGCTTGGTGGTACCTTGTGGAAATTTGGATTATTTATCAACGATATGTCATTTACTTGGTAATTTTGTGGATGAAGGTGTGCAAAAATAAACCTCAGAGCTTTGAGTTGCAGCAGGAGTTTTCATGTCTTGTTGGTCAACTGGTGCCACGGTGATGGTGATCATTTAAGAAAATGAACTGGGAATTTTGTGAACAGGGGCATTCTGATTCTACTACGAAGCAAGGATTTACTTGGAGAGCAAATTTTGTTTTGTATTCTTTTGTAACTAGATTTCAGGTACTTAATGATTGGTGAAAATGAGCTCCAAAGTTCTGTTCTGATCCTTTGAGCGTGAACCTTGTTGAGTATCCTTATGATCGTATAAAAAAAAAAAAAAAAAAAAAAGAAGGAGGGGACGGAAGTTTGGTAAAGTTTGGTAAAGTTGTTAAGCACTTGTTCCTCTAAAATAAGAAATTAACTTTAATATTTTGTTTGTTACTTTGTCTACAGAAACCAGTGCGTTCTTAGAAAATCTTTATGGGGCCAGCCACGATGAATCTTGTAGTGTGCCTTTTTCTTTAGTGACATCCTATGCTATAAACACCAAGTGGTAGCAATGAACCAAAATTTTAGTACACAGCTCTCTCTCTCTCTCTCTCTCTCTCTCTCTCTCTCTCTCTGTGGACCACTCAGGGCCATAAAGATTTGAAACAGGAGAAGATAAAGCTTGAAGATTTTGGTTTTGTTTGCAAGCATTATGATGTTTACCCGCATATGCCTTTCCACGTCAAGTTTTTGTCACAAGATTTCTCTTTAGGGCGTAACATAATATGGCTGGCCTAAATGGTCATCTTCCATGTCGAAGTATCCCAAGCCTTGCTCTGTTTTTCTCTTTCTTTTTTCCATATTTAATTTGGAATCATAGAGTAGACACAAGCCTCCAGCTAACCTTCGCCCTTGCCGCCTAGAAATTGAACTACTTGAATTGCTCTCACAATGTGAAATAACAGTCGGGAATTTCGCGACTTGCTTGCATCATTATAAGGGAAAACCCCTTTTGGGGGTGAATGGCCGATGCCTGGTATCACAGTACATGACACAATGTCGATGAACAATTTACTAAATCATCATTTTCCAAATTCGTTTAGCTGCTTTGGATGTGCATTTTGTAGTAGGTTTAGGTTGCAACATCAACATGGGTTTCTTGTCTTATGTTCTCTAATGATTTCTTTTTTCTTTTGCCTAGTAATGAATAGTAACAGCCAATTTGGTTTCACCAAAATAGAAATTAGCAAATATAGCAAAAATGCAGCCTGCATATATATATATATATATATATATATATAAAATAACCGATGGAAAACTGACATGAAAACCACCAGGTCTTTGTAGCCCTACAGACTTTGAAGAGACTCTGAAAACAGAGAAGGGAGAGACACCCCCTACAGATTGTATCAAAATTTTGGGAAGGCCCCCTAACATGGAAAAAGCATCTAATGGGATGAAGAGGGGAGTGCAGCTATGGATATGCTCTTGGACTTGCGTATGTTTTTCTGTACATCGCTTGCACCGCCCTTGTGCCCACGGATGGGAAGTGATGAAGTTTTTCTTGGTGATATGGTATTAGGCTTTTTTAATGAGGCACGTTTTTGGTTAAGCCTCTTGCCATCTTTTCTACGAGGGCTCCATCCTTTGTTCCCTAATGCAGCTTTGGCTACACTGTTTGTGAGTACCTCTCTTGCTCTTTGCGGTTTGATGGACTGCTTGTTCAGGTACACTAGCTTCGGGAGGAAACCGCAAACTGCCTTGCGCAGCTGCTCATCACCGATGTTGTTCTGGATTGGATTCCCTAACAGATTCAGAGCCTGCAGTGAGTTGTAGTTAGCCACCAGCTGTCCCATTGCCTTTGTTGTTGTTATCTTGTTGAAGCTCAGGTCCAGAACTGTTAACTTCAGTAGCCTATGTAGACCCTCGACATCACTGATCTTGTTCCCAGTGAGATAGAGCTCCTTGATTAGAGTGCAGCTTGATAACCCTGGCACCATTAAGATCCACAGTGAATCAGTGACCATTTGGAATAGTACATTTTATTTGGGAAAGCTTGTTTTCTAAGATTAATTAGATGGTTGAAAAGTTAGAATGATAAAAGCTTACCACGTCCAATTCTAGAAATGCGGTTGTAACTGAGATCAAGTACACGCAATCGAGTTAAGTCTCTTAGTCCTTCAATGGTGCTGATCTTGTTCTTCGACAAGTTGAGCGTGTGAAGGCTCTTCGGCAGCGATCCTGGAGTGATGTGGGCTGCAAATTGAGAACAATTGCCAAGAAGCTTAATACCGTTAACCAATATGCAAGTATTAACTTCTATGGTTTATTTGTTTTCTGCTATAGCAACATACCTAGGAAGTTGTTTGACAAGTTGATAGATCGAAGACTGCCAAAGCATGAAATGTTGGGGATAGCTTTCAATCCCATACCAGATATGTGAGCCACAGTTGTAGAAGAATTTAGAGTCTGGATCACAGTATTAGCGTGTAAAGTATCCTCTTCAAGACCTCGACTAAAGTAAGTTGCGCTTTTCGATCTAGTAGTCTCAGGACTCACCGGAGATAGAGGAGTCTCAGGAGTGGGCGGGGTCGGTGGGGTGATGAGTCCCTCGTAGTCATATTCATTATTTTCCGAGGGTTGCATTTTGAGATCTTTCACCCACTCTTGCACTCTTGTAGATGAGGATGTATCTGCTGAGAAAGCAACCCACTGGTTCTGAGGCCATAAAGCAGAGCCTCCAATGTTAAAACCATCCCAGCTCTTGTTGTCATCTGCAATATTCTTCCCCTTGTTCAATGATTCTACAGTATATGACAGAGGTGATTCCATCTTGACAAACTGCATAGCCTGGTTTGGTTCGAGTGTATCCGAAGAGTACCCTCCTTGCTTGTTCAAAGAAATGGGGCTAGGCTTTTTTTGTTTTGCAGTCCTTGTTTTGTGCAGGTTCCTGTGGCTCCAAAGGAACAACTTCCACCACAACTTTCTACTTCTAGAAGGAAGAACTTGGCTGGAAGAATGCTTCTTCAGCATCACTTTATCAGCAGTGAAGTGGGTTAACACAGAACCAGGGCTGCCAGGATCAACATACTTCGTCACACGGTCTGCCAATTCATGTAATTCTTCAAAATACTGACTCTTCGAAGCAGGCAACCTAGATGACATCTTCTTAACCACATCCTTATGATGAGTTTCCAAATTAGAGCATGACCTGGTAAGCTTTGGTGATGCCCAAAACTCTGCCTTCCCTATGCCCGGATCACTAAGATGCCCGCTTTGAATCCTATCAACACCCCTATCACCTGAATCAGATTCAGATAAATCCATCTTCCCTAATGGAGTCACTTCACCTGAATTGGCTTCAGGGGTTTGCAGATGAGAGCAATCATTACAACAGTTTTCCCTCTCTAAGGGGTTCCCTTCATGCTCATCTTCCCCTTCATAGAATGCTGCTTCAACAAACTCAATAGGACTGTAAGGGCTCCTTGCCTTGCCACTAGGGGTAGTGTACTTCTTCTCAACACCATAAGGTATCAAGACTCCTAAAGTTGCTGGCTTCAAGGTCCCATCAATCTCCAAATGTTTCACAGGCTGTTGTTGAAGCCTGACTTGCAGGGTTCTAATTGCCTTGTCCACTTCAACAGGTCTTGCAGATTCATAATCTCTCTAAAATTAAACAGAAAAAGCAAAAAGAGGACGGAAATTGAGCGGATCACAATTCACAAAGTTCAACAAAAACTCACATTACAATAAAGAAACGAACTATATTGAGAGAGAGTCTCACCTGAACCTTCTTCTTCCGCCTAACTATCACAGAGAAGCAACTGAATTTTGTCATTTTTGATACAATAAATTCTGAATCCTAAAAAATACACCGAAACCCGAAAACACTTGTATTTCAGTCTGGTTTTGCCTGCTGTTTTCTTCAAAACTGAGCTCACATTCAAATTCCAAAAGTCTGGTTGTTGAGGCTTTACACTGATGTTAGTTGGACCAAGTGTTAACCATAATCAACAGGAAGGCACCAAATCAGTGACTGAGGCCACCCGAAACAGGGTTGATGACCAGAAAACTGAGGGCCAACACCTGCTCCGGCGCGAGAAAACTTTTCTGAATTGTCGGCCAGAGTTGTATATGCTGCAGCTCCTCTCTGGAAGCTTTGGGAAAATGTGTTTGTTCAAAAACCTTCTCTGTTCACAAAACAACAATAAATAATCGAACCCATTAGAAATACTTCCAAATCATTTTAAAAACCAACATTAGCTTTCTTTGAATCAAACACATCAACCCAATTCAGAGACAAATCCCGCATCCCCAGAAAACCACCAAGACATGAATGAACTTTATTGCAGAAAACAACCACCACCATACCAATTAGCATACAAAAACTTTTAGAAGCAACACGTGAAGATTGATACGTATTATGTTCATTTTGTGGCAAAAAAAATTGGCCAAAAGAAAGACACAATCTTTACATATGTTACAGAGTTTTTTTACCTGCCAGAATTGCTTTAGTTTCCCAAAGCAACCGGTTACGAGCCTCTTTCTCGATCACAACGACCAACTTCACAATGTGAAAGAGAGAGGGAGGGTGGCGGTGGTGATGGACGAGCGCATTTACTCTCCACACCCCCCACTGGACGAAAGTTTTCTGTCTCTCGTCCTTTCTCCTGGTGCCTTTCAGGCGTTGAAGCTTCTTTTTGAATGAGAAGAAAGAAAGGTCTTGGGCTCCTTCCAACCTGAAAAAACGGCTTGAAACTCTCGTTTGAGTGGTGGTTATGGTTGTGGACTAATTAAGCCACAGCCTAGAAAACACTAGAAATAGGCAAAGAGGAGAAGGAGAGATTTAGAAGATATAGAAGAGCCGCACAAGAAAAGGACATACGCGCATGTTACACGGTTTCTGTAGCATGTAACCCTGCCAATATAATATCCAGACCAGAATAACCTGCCATAATAAAACCAATATACTATAGAATTAAATAAATATATTTTTCACCTTACCTTCTATGTCATCACCTTACTTATTGCCACAATAATGTGGTAGAATATCTTCTTAAATTTTCACCATTTAATATGATTCTTTTTTCATCGGGACCGTCTCGTGATGTTACCGATCCACATATGTTATAACTTATAATATGTGAATACTAAAACATATTAGCAATCCGCATATTATAGCATGAAGTACAATCATGTTGCATATCCTTATTATAACACGGTGGTGATTGATAACACACCTACATAGAAATCAACATAGACTTCCCTTCCTTCCCACATTATTAAATGAGTAACCTAACATGCACTGCGAAACATGAATCATGAAGAAAAATATATAACACGCTGTATGTTCTAATTCAACGTTGTGTCATCATTGAAGGTTTTAAAATTCTCTTCATTAGGTACATTATTTGCATGTACAAAATTATAATTGTATTGTAATAGTATAGGATACTACTTCGAAGTGCTAATGACACTTACCAAATTTTCTAAACAATAACAATTATAAGGTTGAAATCTAATTCAATCTAAAACTGAATTTGCATTTAAACAAAATATCTGGTTACAATCTAACTTTACATAAGCATTTGACTCGAGCGCATACTTCATTCACTAGTATGTAACCAAATTTGTATGGACAGTATTGATCTGGTGGTTCAATTCAATTAATTTTAACTACTTGGTAGGGACAGATGATTAATCTTGAGCTGTTTAGTATCTGGACGCAATCGTTGGGGTCCAGGAATCAGTCAGATGAGGGTCTTCGTATGTGATTAGGACACCCAATTTTGTTTGCTGGTTGTAGTTTAATGCATTATAGGCATGTCCCATGTTGCCAATCAACTCACCTACTTTCACATCACACATATAATAATAACAATAATCTAATAATAAGGCCAAAATGCGGGTTCGTACGCAACACCGGCCAGGTCCGTTGATTCCTTTTGTGTGAACATTATTTCACCTCCTTCAGTCGCTCTTTACGTGTTCCACCTTCATTGCCCTTCTTATTTGATCCGGTCGCTATTCAATTTTGCTAATATCAGTTGTTCAAGCGGCACTGTTAATATCAGTCGTTCAGGCGGCGGATGAGGAACTAGCAGCCATACATTAAGAGCTATAGAACTTTCTCAGTGATAAAGCTCCAGTGCGTGCACCCTGCAAATTAAATCATGGGCCTGCCTTTTCTGGTGGTGGCAGACAGAAGATTTGCAAGTATCTTTCCCATTTTAGAAGATGTCTGAAAAAAAATAAAAACAAGTAAATTTCATTTTCTATATCTTTTTTACAAACTAACTGACAGCATTAATATCTGTTTCTAGCTACCTTTATCTATATATATAAAGCAAAAGGCAGAGAATGATGAAACATTTAAAATGCTAAAAAATACCCTTGATTAATGCAAACATTAAGAATTGAAATTATTAATTAAATGAGGATAATATGTTAAATTCACACTTTTTCATATTTAAAAAAATTAAAATTAAAAGAAAAAAAAATCAGATAATGGATCATATGTTTATTAAACACAACTACCCATTATCTTTTTTAATTTTAAAATAAATTAAAAAATTATACTCTCGCAAGCGCGAAAGCGCGTGCAGAGAGGCTAATTAGTTTATAATATTTATCAATTGGGTTGAGATCTTTTGATCGTGTGAGCTAATTGAAACTGAGTTTTCATGACCATGACAGGCACATGAAGCATGCCCCTACTCTCAAGCTATCATGTAATTGCTACAACATTTTCTCATTTTCTTGGTTGTAATTGCTACAGCCATCACATCTCCAAAAATCAAATATATTGCCCCAGTGTGAATGGTTGATGGGGTTATCTACCTAACTTACTTACTTGCTTGCTACTACTTTATATCAATTAGTAGCATAGTAGTAAGTGAAAAGTGAGTCGTGATATTGTCATCTCTTCGGATTGAACATTACTCGACTCATTTTCCTTTTATTTATAAATTAAAATATAAAATAACTTTATTTTTATACAAACGATAATCTAAACTACTTTAATTTACAGTTACAACTTTTAAGCAACCAAAGTATTTGACCTTTTGATTTTTGATTTTTTTGTTGCTAAAACCTAAATTTATTTTGAATTTTTTAGGTGTACTTGATAATGTTGCAGTGTACCTTTTTCATCCTTAAAAAAACTTTTGATGAACTTTTGAGTTAAATGGGGCCAAAGCCCAAACAAAATGGAGCTCTGGAAGGCCCAGCAACAAGGTGCTGCTCTGAAAGCAGGGGAAGGAGCATCAAAACTGAAAGCCCCAAATATTGTTTCTGGAACTGCCACTGATTTCCATAATGGTCTATGCAGCTTGGAAGAGATAAATAAAACCTTTATTGCCTTGATTCCAAAGGTTCAATCCCCTGATAGCACGGGCGGAACTAGGTAGAGGGCTACCATGGGCTCTAGCCCAGGTAGTCTTTTTATAAAATTAAAATATATTACATATTTTAATGTTATTCATCCCATAAAAACTTAGTAGCCCACTCAAATGTAGTTTTGTAACCCATTGTCTACTCAATTTTTGTAGGCATATAATCATATTATATTTAATTTGTTTGCTCAATTAATAAAATAATCTATTAATAAACACTCATGATTTTAACTCTCAACCTTTTACTATTTTATCTCAATCTGTACTTTAATATATTTCTAGAAAAACTATAGAAACAGTAAGTACCCAAACAAAAATTGGTCCTTAGATTTTAAGCTAAACAATTTTAGCTAGCCCACCCATTGAAAAATTCCTGGTTCCGCCCTTGCCTGATAGCATGGGTCAGTTCCGTCCTATAAGTCTATGTAATAGCTCTTACAAGATTTTAGTCAAAGTCATTGCTAATAGGCTAAAGAAGATTCTGCCAGAACTTATTTCGGACTCGCAGAATGCGTTTGTGCATGGGAGACAAATTCAGGATAACCTCATTTTGGCTCACGAGGCCTTTCATTATTTAAAGATGAAGAAGAAAGGAAGATGCTTCGAGACTGGTATCAAAGTGGATATGAACAAGGCATATGATAGGATTGAATGGGATTTCATGGAGGCGTTAATGAGGAGAATGAGGTTTAATTCTAGATGGATTAATCTGGTTTTGGGCTGCGTTCGATCCGTATCTTTCTCCATCATTTTAAATGGTAAGTCGGGTGGTTTTTTTCGCCCATCTAGAGGGCTTAAATGGGGAGACCCTCTTTCTCCGTACCTTTTCTTGCTGGTCAGTGAAGCTCTTTCTCTCAATTTATCGAAGTTGATTAAGGATGGTAACATCTAGGGCATTAAACTTGCTAGGCGGAGTCCTACTCTCTCACACCTTTTTTTCGCTAATGATTCACTTTTCTTCTTAAAGGCGGATGTTTTGAACTGTCAAAGATTTATGCAGGTTCTTGATATGTATTGCCTAGCTTCAGGCCAGTGTGTCAATTTTGAAAAGTCCAATATGGTGTTCAGTCCTAATACCCCCAGTTCTTTAAGGGTTCAGCTATGTGAAATGTTTGGTTTCAATGGAGTGGATAATGCTGGCACCTACCTAGGTCTACCTACGATCTGAGGTAGGTTTAAAAGGGCAGCCTTGGCCTATATTAAAGATAGAGTTGGAAGGAAAATTGAGGGTTGGAAACAGAGCTCTCTCTCCTTGGCTGGGAAGGAAATTCTCCTTAAAGCAGTTGCAACAGCTATACCGACGTACCCTATGTCATGCTTCAAATTCCTAGCTTCGGTGTGTAGTGATATAAATGGGGAGATGGCACGTTTCTGGTGGAAAAATGGAGAAGAAGGATCAAAGATTCATTGGAAGGCTTGGGAGAGCTTATGTAAATCAAAGGACGAGGGAGGCTTGGGTTTCAGACATTTCTCTTCTTTCAACATTGCCTTAGTAGCTAAACAAAGTTAGAGAATCCTCCAAAATCCAAATGCAAGCTGGGTGAGAATTTTGAAAGCTCGTTATTACCCGGATTGTGATTTCCTTAAGGCCGAAAAAGGTTCGCGTGCCTCCTGGGCGTGGTTTAGCCTTCTTGAAGGAAGGGATGCTTTGATCAAAGACTCTCGCTGCCAGATTTTTTATCGGAAAAATACGAATATTTGGAAAGACATTTGGCTTCCTCCTCCCCATGATGGGATTATCAACGTTAGGCAAATTGTTCTCCCATCAGCCCCTCAGCAAGTTTATGAGATTATGGAAAAGGAGACACATTCTTGGAAGCTAGAGTTGATTAAGCCGTATGTACAACCTCACACTTTGGAGATTATTCGATGTTGTACAATTGCGAATACTGAGAGACAAGACAGAGTGGTGTGGCCCTGGACAACTAATGGTGCCTACTCAGTCAAATCAGGATACAGAAGAATTCATTCCCGGTGTTCATATCTAATCCATGCAACAGGTTCGACATCCCACTCAATTCCAAAAGAGGTCTGGGTGTGTATATGGAAGATTGAATCTTTGCCAAAAATTAAAATGTTCCTCTGGAGGGTACTATCTAATGCTATCTCTACCTGTTGGAATCTCTATAAAAGAAAAATTCTTGACTCCCCGGTGTGTCCAATTTGTGGGATGGAGGATGAAACAATTGAGCACCTTTTGTTCTTATGTCCCTGGACTAATGTTGTGTGGTTTGGCTCCCCTTTGAACTACAAAGTTGATATAAGGGGTTTCTCTTCTGTTGACAAATGGCTTAAGGGAGTAATTAATTTTCAAGGTGTAAGCAAGCGGGAATTTCAGTTTCTGCTTACTAGTATTAGCTTCATTTGCTAGGAGATATGGAAGACTAGATGCAATTTTATCTTTAAGAGCAACCACATTGATCCCCGGCTCACTATTGATCGAGCAATGCAAAATTGTAGGGAGTTTTTAGATGCTAAGGTCAAATCTCATGTACCTTTTGGGGATGCTTCAGTTGTTCCAAACATTCTTGCCTAAGGATGGAGGCCTCCAATGTCTAATTATGTGAAAATTAATTCTGATGGAGCATGGAAAAAGGACTCGCATTTGGCAGGTCTGGGTGTAGTTGCTAGAGATGCTATCAGATCCTTTTGTGGTGGTTTGGCTACTTCGTTCCATTGCAACTTGGCTCTGGTTGCAGAGGCTGCTGCTGGCCTATGTGCTCTCAAGTTTGCTCTTAATCATAATTTCACCGACATTATCCTTGAGACATATTCGAAGATTTTGGTGGAAGGAGTTAAAGGTGGAGGAAAAAATGGTGTTTGGGCTATTCAACCACTTCTGGATGAGTTTAAGAAGATCTCTGTTTGTTTTAGATCGGTTCTTTGGAGCTGGGTGCCAAGGAATTTGAACCGCGTAGCACACAAGGCTGCAGCGATTGGAATCAAAGCGGAGCAACTGGAAAGTTGGGCTGTCAGGCCACCTCTGTCTCTTGTGGGAGTTTTACTATCTGATGGCCTCCCTTGTCCTCCAGGGAGGTTTTCATAAATTATTGTTGCTTTAGTTTTGCTCTTTTGTGACTTAGGCTATTTGTCTCGGCTCTCTGCTTGGAGCTTAGTTTAGCCTCTGTCTTGGTTGTTGTGTTTTGTTGGCGCTCTTTTGGCGTTTTGTTAATGAAGATCTTATTCAGACCAATAAAAAATAAAAAATTAAAACACTTCGATTTTAAATTAGTCCAAAAACTGGACACAAGTTGATACACCTTGAAATCCTTATCTAATAAGAATGTGTCTTACTATCGGCTCATAAGCAAAGGGTGCTCAAAACCTCATATATCATTCCAACACAAACTATCTTTCCAACGTGGGGACATTGGGTCCTAACAAAATTCCTAATAACTATAAATTATCAACGGGAATTGGGGGGGGGGGGGGGGGGGCGGGGCCATTGAATGTAAAGCCATACAAACTAGAACTAAATACACCTTATCATCTTGCATTTCCTTTGCCTTCTCTTGCAGCTTGCTATATGGAACACCAACAACGTACGTATACATGAAGTTAGTTAAGGCAATGTGTCCACCTGCTTGCACCTGTGCCATTTAGAAGATTATTGTTGTGTAATTCCGTTAAAAAGGTAGAAGAGTTATGTCATTGTTCTTAAATTGTAACAATTTGAAAATTACAACAGTTAAGTTGTAATAAATGAAAATAGAGAGGTTAAAGTGGAACTTCACCAAAACTCAAACCATCACTGTTGCCACATGATTAATTAATACACGTGTCAGCAACTTAGTCTGCTCCCACAGAAGGCCAAACTACACTGCGCAGCATTCAATCACAACAGGAGTCCCGAAACGGCTCGTCGTCTACATCACCATCTTCCACTTTGGTTTCTTCTCCCCCAAATCTCTCTCCTATCTCTCTCTCTGTTGCTCACTCTTCAATGCCATGGCCTCCGCCACCGTCGTCGACCACCACAACCCTGACCCTAACCCCAATCACCTCCACCTCGACTCCCTCCCGCTCATCGACCTCCGCCTCCTCTCCCAATCCGATCTCTACTCCCTCTCCCTCACTTCCTCTTCCTCCCTATCCAATCCCACCCGCCGGTTCGACGACGACGTTTTGATTCCCAAGATTGATCGTTCCGTCTTCAACGAATCCGCCGGCAGTCGCAAGCAGACCTACTCGCGCCTCCGCCTCGCTCCACGCAACTCCCAATTCCCAATCCCCAATCCCAAATCTCAACCCACCCCCTTTTCCCATTCCCAATCCCGAGACCCAGAAACCTGCCAGATTATCTCTCTCTTGAAACAACTCTTCCCCTCCTCCGAGAAAGCCGAAAACGACGACGTACTCGTCTCTGTCCCCGTCCACCTCGCACAAGACGACTCCATTCCCGGACCCTCCGTGCAAAACGCCCTCGTCGGCCTCAGCGCCGATGTCGGTACGAAGCGGAAGCGAGGCCGGCCACGTAAAGATGCCAATGCCGTTATGGCTTATCCGATGGTGAAAGCTGACGTTTCGATTGAAAGGCATGGCGGTGGCGATACGACACCTGGCATTGTCGTTCAGAGCAGTGACGGCAAGAGGAAGCGAGGCCGGCCGCGTAAAGACGAGAACCGAGTGGTTTCGGTGTCTGAGCGTGAGAGAAAATCGAACGTCAAGGAATCGAGTGTCACGGAAGAGAGAGTGAAGGTGGAGGAGGCGGAGATGGTGATGGTGAACGAAAACGGCGTCGTATTGGATTTGGCTGCGTTGGGGAATGCGGACGATTCATTTAGCGAGGCGTTGAGGAGGAGGACTGATGGGTTGGAGACGGAAGCGCAGTTGCTAGGGTTTCTGGGAGGGTTGGAGGGAGGATGGTCGAGTGCGAGGAAGAAGAGGAAGATTGTGCAGGCAAGTGAGCTCCTTGACGCGTTGCCGAGGCAGTGGAAGGTTATGCTCTCTCTCAAGAGAAATGGAGGCCATGTTTGTCTCTTCTGTAGACGATACATAAGGTACTTCTCTCATTGTCAATGCTCGTGTCTGTGTGTGTTGTTTGTATACAACTGTTGTATTGAGTTTGACATTATGAGAGTTAATTGCTCATTTGTATACAACTGTGATAATCTCACTGTTTGACAATATTTTTTCGGGTCATATAAGTTGAAATTCATTTGCCTGAATAATGGAAAGAAAGAAAATTTCTCAAACATGTGGACGGGTTACTCTTTTGTAATAAACTCACCTTTGATTCTGTTTGTTAATTTTAGGGTCTGCATAACTCTAGAGTAAACTGATCTTTAGATGTTGTTAGGTTTGATACCTTTTATTTGTTGTCTTTTATGGGTGATAGGTGGGAGAGTTTGTTCAATTTTGTCTGTACTTGTTATTCTCGGAATTATTTTGTTCTTTATAATTGCATTAAGTATCTCGTAGCAAAAAAATATCAAGAACTATTTTGGGATTGCTTACTTTGTGATTTTTTTAGCATATAGTGGCCAGAGGGATGTGAACCTACTGTTAATATTATTTGATACCATTCTTGCAAATTTAAGTTGAATTGTTGTGTGGTTCTTATACTAGTTTCCCTTATTTGGTATTATTCAGCCCTAATGGGCAGCAGTTTGTGTCGTGCAAGGAAGTTTCTTCGTATTTGCTCTCTTATTTTGGAGTCGGAAACACGTCAAAACCTGGTCATCCGGATGGCAACATTCCACTTTCTAATAAATTGGTTTCTGGAGATGTAAGTTACGGTACACCATCTTTTTGTTTTGTTTTGTTTTTTTTTGGGTTGGTTTTGTTAGTTTTTTGTTTCATTCATGTTATTGATTCGGGGAATCCAACAGGATACTAATATTACCTTTGAAGATGAGAGCAAAGCTGATGAGCTTGCTACCTGCTCACTAATGCCTATTTCTTCTGTATCAACTGGTCATGAGAAGCAGGCAACCTTCTTGCATTCAGAAAATTCACGAGAAATTCAAGCAGGAGAGATAATGGGTATGCCTAAGAAATTTGACCCTGTAAAAACTGGTGTTCTGCAGACGTCCTTGAAGATTCATGAATCAGTTCAGATAGACAGGGAAGCAACTTTGGATGCAGTAGCCAATTATGATTTGAGTTCTGATTTTCCTTTCGCCAAAGTAAACAAAGATATCAAAAATTGTCTTGGAACATACAAGCGTGAATCTATTTCATTGTCTTGTGAGGAACAAGCCATGAAGGCTAACAAAAGTGGAAAAGATCTGGGGTTCTTTGAGCAGGGTAGTGCATTTAATTTGACAAATGATAAGTTGGCGAAGGCAGATGAGGCTACTGATGCTGGTCTTAGCTGTGGTGAAACAAATGTTTTCGACTGCTTTCCTGATGGAATAAATGATGGTTTCAAGGCTTCTGTGAATTCAGTTGATGTTACCAAAGTGGACACTGATACTGCTTTAAATGGTATGGGAAAAGAATGTAGGACTGAGAATATTGACAATAACCAATTAAGTAGCACAGTAGAAAATACAAAAATTGATGATGCAGATGATTTTGGGAATGGCAGGTCTATATCTGGTATTAGTGAGAGTCACTTTGGACCTAAGGATGTTTGTATTAATGCCAAGAAGCAAAGTACTTCTGAAGCCTGCTCGCTTGTTCCTTCAATTTTGGTAGAGTCTCGGCGGGAAAGAGGTTTATGTAGTACATCTAGTGATGAGAAAACATGTGATGTCGGAAATAATTTCTATAGTGAATCATTCCACACATCTTGTGAGCCTAAGTGTGATGATATTGATATATCTGGGAATGATGACAAGACTATCAGTTTTGGCAGCGGCCGTGCTGTGCCAGATGTGGATGCGATGGAGATCAGCGAGCATGTTATAACTACTGGAAAATGTTCAAATGTTCCAGCTCAGGATGGAAAAAGTTGTATCCCTTTAAGTAATGCAAAGAATCCTACTTGCTCACTGGACGAACTTTGTCAGGAAAAGAGTTCTCAAAGAAATGTGTCTACTCCATTTGTTAAACAGGACATAGGTTCTGCTAAAACTGGTATGGTTTGTCCATCTGGCAGTGCAAGCAGCTATGCTCTAGTAAACAATGTGAATAACACATCCTCAAGCTCAATGGAAGAATTGAAAAAGGAGGAGGTTAAAAGGTCTTGGAACAATGAGGTATTGCTTGCTTTTGACAGCAGTCTTGGTGGACCAGGTGCCAATTCTGTGAAAAGCACCGGGCATGAAAGAAGTTCAGAAGGACCTTCCTGTGTTCGTTCAGAGAATAGCCAAACATTTTCCACTGGAAATAATAGCTCAGTGTTGGAGGATAAGCTGATTGCAGGTTCTGTTAATGGTTTAATATGCCCAAATGGTAGTGAGCAAACCCCTGGTTTTGAAAATAGTCTAAACAGGGTTTATAGCAGCATAACTTGGGAGCAGCCTAATACAGAGAATGCAGAGAGCTCTAGAAACAATGATCCCATGACTGGTTTTCTAAATCATTCCCAACCTAGTGGGGATGTCATGGCTGAAATGATGTGGAGAATTGATGAGCAAAATGTCCGGCAGAGTGGACTCGCTGATACATCATCTGAACTTATGCAATCATCTGGCTGCCATCCGAACTTTGATATGTTATCAGGGAAGGTATGCTGTACATATAGAATCTGTGTAAGGGGCTGTGTTATGTGTCCCTGCTCCAGTTATTGGAATATACTATTCAACTTTTTCATATTTATGCACAATTTTAGATTTGTTCAGAGCATACAATGAGTGCCCTTGGTAGTCTATCCGTCCCCTTCCGTAAATTATTTCAATTTTTCTGTACAATTAAAACTGCAAAGAATCTGATCTCGTCTTTTAATAGAAATATTTTTGTACTACATTTTCTATCAATGAACAGGGTGCAGATGGAGCTTTAAGTGTAAATGAAAAGTTTGACAACATATCAAGTTTGGAAGGACTGAAACCAGGTAGAATAGAGCAGTTGGAGTATAATTTCCAGACAGCGCAAGCAAGCTCCCATTCCAAGGAATCAAAAGTGTTGTCATATGATGGAGAGATGGAACAAGGTTTCAGTTCATCTGCTTGGCTTGAAAAGGAATCCCTGCCTTCAATGCCAAATATAGCAAACAGGCCTGAGACTAACATCTGTGTCTGGTGCGGAAATGAGTTTTATCATGAGGTTTATGAAGCTGGGGCACAATCTGGTTCTGTGGGTTTGATGTGTGCAGCCTGCCAGGCCAAGTTCTCAAGTCAATTCAATTATTTGTAGTCATCCATTCGTGCTGTTGCTCCCAATGAGGATTTGCTTGTTATTTACCCATCATCCTAGCAGGAACTATAATTTTGTCGAGGTAATTATCATATCGAACCACTAAATGGATGCTTTGTTAAAAAAAAAAAGATTCAACATCGTTTTTGGCCTTTAATATATCTGAGCAAAAATATGGTATAAATAAATATCACAAGGCTCTTGGAGCACCCATATATGCATTTTACTGCTGATACCTCATATTTGCAAGCCATTTAGAGGAAGCATTGTTGTGAATGTTGAGTTTAATGAATGTCTGATATATGCTGGGCCAGTACACCCGTGTATAGGCCAATTATCTTTTTTTTTATAATCTTTTCTACTTTCTTTTTTATCAATGGGTGAGAGTGAATTTTAGCTTGGGACCTCTTCCAACATTGTGGGAAGAGAAATACCACTAGACCCCAAACTAGTTGGTCCCCTTCCTATATTTCTGGACTAGTTTGGGATTGTTCCATTATGCTATTATGTAGATAATGTCTATGAGAATGATTGTGGATTATTCTGATATCTTATATATCTTTCAGGCATTGATGGAACTGTTTAGAAGACCACGTTAGTTCGTTGATAGATCTATGTTGTTATACAAGAGGCAGATTTTGTGGTTCTGGTATGGAGCTCTATGCCAATTCTTGCCAGAGGTTTACTTGCTGCAGCAATTTATATTTAACTTTGTCTCCCTTCGGGTCTAAATGACTGTTTCATAATTGACATTGATTTAGGCCCTTTTCCTTTTCCTTTCTGGTGGATGACCTTTTTTATGTCCTCCTCACAAGAAAGAAACTGAATGTCCAATTAGGGTTCTGGACTGACTTGTGCATAACAACTTGGATAGCATTTTTTTGCTCCGAATATAAGCCTCTCAAAACAAATTGTTACTGTCAGTTGCTTGCATAATGTCATTTGTTTTACCAATCCAATCTTGTACTTGGCCAAATGACAAACATTGAAGCTATGACTAATGCAAGTAAGTTGTAATGTGTTATTGCAATTTTGCCTTTTTCCCTTTTTCAGGGCATTCATGATAGGGTTCCATATCCATATTTTTTTTTTTTCATTTGTGCTTATGCAAAACCACAAACCCGTGTACTTTTCTCGAAACACAAACTGGTGCATTGGAAAGTATTCGGGGGCATGGGATGCCAGTAAATAAGAATGGTGTTCATTTTGTGCTTTATGACAGGCATGGCACAGCCTTTCTTTCAATTTATGGATCTGTTTGCTGCACGGGCAGCAGTCGAAGAAGAAGAGGCGGCGACGTGTTGATAGGAGCAAAGGTTTGCGTTTTGTGACTTCAATTCTGTGCTAAATGCATGGTGACCTTGACGCCCATTTTGAAGAATGTTTTGATGGTTGGTTAAAAATGCATGGTGGTCTTGTCAGTTCCTGAATCCTGATTGCTGTAATTTTGTTAAGTACATAGATTACGATATCAGCTTTCGAATACTGCATTGTTTTGGCTGATGATTTTTGTTTTAAAAAATAATAGAAATTAGACATGCTTTTTCTTTTAGCAATTTGCTCTCTTATCTCATCAATTTTTTCTCCTTTTAAATTTGGTTTGTGGTTTGTCGAGTTCATGTAGTTTGTCGTTTTCGCGTTTTAAATTTGTTAATTCTGTGTTTTCTTCAAATGTGTAGATGCACGGCAATTGCCTCAAAGTTGAGCCAACGAGAAGCTTCCATGATTTTCACATATGTACTTCTGATTTCTTATTAGTCACGTCCCAAAAAAAGACAAAGCAAAAAGAGAAAAGAAAAAGCAAAAAAGAAATAGTAGTTTACGTTATCATCAACATTGATACTGCCAGCGATGTCTCCGCGTGAAGTGCTTTGTTAGCAACCATTTTATTAACAACACTTAAAATTTAGTTTTATTAAAATAAAAGGCTTAATATCACAAAACATCCTAAGGTTTACAAAACTATCAGATTGCATTCTTAATTTTTTTTGTATCATTCGTAATCTTCTAGGTTAGTACGTGTGATCATAAATAGTCTCTGCCGTTAGGTTATGTTAAAAACTCTGTTAGTTTGCTAACGTGACATATATATATATATATATCACAAAACATTTTTGAGGTTCACGCACTTATCACAAATGGTCCATACAAAATTTTTTAATTTAAAAAAATATATTTTATTGTAAATACATGTGACAATATACTATTAGAGATGCGGGCTCCACATATATACCACATCAACAAATTAATGGAGTTTTTAAAAAATAATTTAAAATTCATAAAACTTAAAAAATTTTAAAACCAAGGGTTTGTGGTTCATAAATGATCCTCAAGGTTAAAATCTTATATAAATGGTTTTTTTCATTTTTAAATTTTATGAATTTTAAATTATTTTTAAAAACCTTCATTAGTTTATTGATGTGGCATATATGTGAAGTTCACATCTTCAAAAATATAGTGTCATGTGTATTTTAAATACAATATATATTTGTTAAATTTAAAAAAGAAATCAAAATTTTATGAATTTCAAATTAAAAAATTAAAAAAATTTGCAGGGACCATTTGTGATAGGTGCGTGAACTTCATGGATGTTTTGTGATATACATATATGCCACGTTAGCAAACTAATGGAGTTTTTGACGGAATCTAACGACATGGACCTTTTGTTATAACACATATTAACCTTGAGGACCATGAATGACCAAAAAAATAAAATTAAAGATGCAATCTCATAGTTTCGTAAACCTTATGGACATTTTGTGATCCAAAATAAAATCTCCTTAAAACCCCAATTAATCCTTACATAATTATATCGGACTTTTCCTAGGAAAAAAACAATCTCAACTAAAAAAACCTTTTATTTATTTTAACCAAATATATCCTCAAGTAACACGTTTCGGCGCCATAGAGAAAACCTTTTCTTCATAATAAAAAAAAATATATGTATGCCATTTTTTTAAGAAAAAAATTAAGTCATAGAAAAAACAATTTTTTGATTCCCCTAAGAGAATTTTAAATACAAATTTCTTTTTCTTGAATAAAAAAACATATCGTCATCATGGAAAAAAGAGTTTTTGATTCCCCTAAAAGAAATTAAAATACAATTATATATATTTCAAAAAGTATATAATTTTTAATAAGATGGGCGTGGAAGGAAGACCAGTTGACAAACGAGTTGGCAAATACAGAGATGCGAGTGTGACCCAAGAACTCACCGATATCTCCAAGTCTCGGTCCTCTGCTCTCCTCTCCTCTCCACCCCATAACCAAAACCAAACCCCCCCCCCTTTCCACAAATCCAAAAAAGAAAAAAAAAGAAAAAAGAAAAAAGAACCGATTTTTCTCCATTAGCAATAATCTAATCTTAATACAATCCAATCCACTTATCGAGCAAGCCTCGACGCCAAAATGCGCCGGGCTTTCTTCCCTGCGCCCCCTCTCTCTTCCTCAGCCGCCGTTGCGCTGTTGCAGAGCAGCTCCGTTTTTTAGCTTCTTTGTTTCTATTATTTTTCTTTTTTCTTTTTTGATTTTTCGTTTTGGCGTTTGGGCTGGGTTGAATCTTAAATGGGGATTAGGGTTTGGCAAACTGGGATCGTGATATTGGTATTATGGGTCCGGCTAATTTCTGCCACCGAACCCACCTCTTGCCCGACGGAGTCCGTTACCGATGCGATCTTTGGCTTCCGGTATTCCAGTTGTCCCGCTAACGGCGGTGCCAGATCCGTTGATTCCATCGGTGTTATCGTGGTACGAATCTTTTCCCCTTTTTTGTTTTTTGCTGTTAATTTATTGAAATTTATGTTTTGGTGGTTTATACAAAGAGTTAATTTTTTATTTTTTAATGTTAAATTTATTGAGAATTATATTGTTGGTATGTATCTGGGTTTGCTATTAATTTTTTATTTATTTGAACTTTTATAGAAGCTAAGCTTTTCAGTATGTGCATTGACCTTGCGATTAGGGTTGTATCGTCATTGTAAAAGATTAAATGGGGCATACCCATTTCTTAAATAATGCTCCAACAGAGCTGCCTGCCACTATCTGAGATGGGTTCATTCAAAGATTGCTGTTTCCAAGAGGATTATTGCAGGTTTTTGAGGTTTGCTACATTTTGTATTGAAAATGCTTTGGTGGCTTCTGATTATTTACTTGGACAAACAAGAACAATACATCTCTCAAGCAGTCACTTGATGACCAGAATCCCGCAACCATTTTCTCCTATAAATGCTTTAATTATCACATTTAGTTTAGTGCCTTGAAGTCTTTTTGTAAAAATTATCTTTAGGGGCGAGGTAATAGAATCTGTATTGATTCCATAGTAGAATGAATCTGATGCATAAGTGTCCTGCCATTCCTTTTTTTATCTTAATTCCTTGGATTAATCTAGTGCTGAGATGACTCAGGAAGCACTTTTAACTTAGCATTTCGAACTATATTTCTTTTGTTTTTTTTTTGGGCTGTGACCTTTGAAATTGTTTTTCACTTTTATATATATTTGTTGTTCTAATTTTATTATGTATTGTTACTTTGAAGGGAGATGAGGTTTCATTACAAAGGGCATTAAATATGGTTCACAAGAATACTCATGAATATGTGGCAGTGCTATTCTATGCATCATGGTGCCCTTTCTCGAGGATGTTTAAACCAACGTTTTCCATCCTAGCTTCTTTGTATCCATCCATCCCGCATTTTGCATTTGAAGAATCTGCTATCAGGCCAAGGTTTGTAAATATCTTATGATATAGATATTGTATGTATTGTGAACGTTTTGTTATTAGCAATTGAGAACTTAACTAATTAATTCTTTGCAGTATACTCTCTAAGTATGGAGTTCATGGATTTCCTACTATTTTCATTTTGAATTCTACTATGCGTGTTCGGTATCAAGGCTCCCGGACTCCTGGTTCTCTTATTGCTTTCTACAGTGATATTACTGGTAAGGATTTTCTTTCTGTTGTATGTTTATATTTTGAACTTTATGAGAACCATCTTTAGTATTGCATAACATGTTGGTCTCTTTTCTGGTGTTTTGCATCAGCATCCAAAATCATGTTTTCTCAATACAAGATTTGCCATTCTTTAATCTCTCTTTGTATTTTTATTATGAAAAACTGTTTTTCCTGTGGAATGAATATTTACTGACCATAGTAAATGGGTGTAGGCATCAAGACTGTATCGCTGGACCAATTGTCCCTGGAAAAGATCGGATACCCACTAAATCATGAGAAGCATGATAGCACTGAGCAAGAAAGCTGCCCTTTTTCATGGGCTAGATCTCCAGAGAACATGCTTCGGCAAGAAACATATTTAGCTCTGGCCTCTGCTTTTGTGCTTCTGAGATTGCTTTACTTCTTTTTCCCTGCTCTACTTTCGTTTGCTCAAAGCGCATGGAGACGGAATATCCGACACATGAGATTGGGGAGCTTGTTGGAGCAACCGTTGGCCTTTCTGAAGCGAGCAGTACAGTTATTTAATTCTCTAAAAGAGCCTTGCAAAAGGAGTAATTTGCAGGAAGGAGCAATGAACGCCAGGGTTTGGGCTTCCAAGTCACTTGCCACAGTTTCCATTGGGGATGCAAGCACCAGCAGGGGGTACAGCAGTGACTGAATACCGTTGACGGTTATCTGAACAGGTTTTGATGATCCTATGAACGGCGAGGCAGCAGAATGTGTTGTGCTAGAAACTTTCGGTAATCATCTCAACACCCTTGATTAGGGTGTCGTGCGACAGAGGTGAAACATGTCGTTGTATCTTGTTGCTGTAGCGGTTCAGTCCGTGCTTGTCTATATGCTTTATAGGTTACAATATGTTTATCATTCAAATTGCTGAATTTGGACAGCAGTTTTTGAATAGGTTTAATAATATTAGTAACCCTTTCATGTGCCACTCAAATGTGCTTATGTTCACTGTTTGTCAAACGATTGGCTGTGGCTTGTAGCTTAGAAATTTCTGATAATTCCTAATGGAGATGGAAATCCTGTGTTGTGACCCTGTAATGGATTATTGGTCTTGATTGTGTTGGGATTAATTGGAAGTTGTATTTTCATCGGTCTACAAAATAGCATCCTCCATGAAATTTCATTGTCCACTCAAATTGCTTCAGAACTAAATTATAGAAGCTGCTCAGAATAGTTGGTAGCGCATCAATTATATGATTAGCTCAGGAGTGGCACTGGCAGCATTCAGAAATCACATGCAATTTATGTACCCAGACTCCATTATTAGAAAAAGCAAAAAAGCATTCATCACTTCCTTCTGTCAAATTCTGGCACTGGCAGCATTCAGAAATCACATGCAATTTATGTATTCTTCCGGTCAGATTCGAGTGAAACTAGGGTCTGTGGGATGATGTCTTCTTCTCGGTGGCTTATGGGTTTGATGTTGAGTGTTGATTATTTCATATTTAAGTTTAGCAAAAGTTTTTAACTCTCTTTTCTTTCTCACTCCTCAAAAGTTCAACTCACGCCTTAATTAAAAGAATGAATGCACAACTCGCTCAAGCTCTTGACTTCATCTTTTCAATTCCATGACAATGGATGTACCCAAATGCTAACATGAAGGACCCGTTGGAGTACAAAAAATAAATATAGAAATAGATTAACAAAAAGAAGGTAGCATGGATTATGTAAGCTGCTGCCCTATCAGTTCCTACAAGAAGCCAACTGAAGGCATTTCTTGACATTATCAGCTTCGCTTAGAGAGTAGAGAAAAAGCCATATCGAGCAAGATGGAACCATCAAACTATAACTCCATACATCCAGACCGGGGTTGGGAATGTCACTAGTCATCTGCATCTGCCGTGCCAACTTCTTTATTTACAATCTGCCAGGGCAAATGTTCCTTTAGAACAACATACAAACAAATACAGAACATTGCATAATCAAGACCTTTTTTTTTTGGGTGAAAAAATCTAATCAAACAAATTTCACTTGCCATAGAGTAAGACTTCTCCCGAGCTAATTTATTAGAGCAATCTAACAGTGATGGAGATAAGTAGCAGCATCCTTCAAAAGGATCCACCAAAGGCATGAAAATGAAGGCTCTACGGGAAAAACCATAATATGACATATGCTTGATGATGTCGGGGTTTCCTGTTTGGGACCTTACTTAATTTGGTTGGGTCCATTATAGACTGTTCTTATGTGCGCTGTACTGCAGCCGTGCAACAGCAACCCAAGAGTTCCTTTTCAATGTTTTTCTTCTGATGCACCCGGAAGTTGGTCTTTAATATCTTTTGCTGCTGCCCTTTTATGCTTATATCATAGGGTTGCACTCTTTTCTTTCGGTGTATGGATGAACTTACAAAATGTTCTAGTAGCAAATGCATCTTCTCTCTGGCTGAGGCCTTCAGGAGTAATTCCTAGAAAGCTACGAGAGTGATTCAAGTAGATTATACCATCTTCTTGTAATCTCTTCTAGTTCCTTATATTTTGTGTTGTTCTTTACTCCCAAAAGTTTACAGCAATCATATATCCTCAAAATAATAATTAGCATTCCCTCATTGTCCTACATCAAACAGTTTGTATAACTTATTCCTATTCTCAGACCACTTCCTCGCCTATATCAATATCCACCATGGTTCCACTTTAATCTCCATATCCTAGAAGATAGGCAGCTACACCAAGAACACAAATCTTCTTGCATTTTATTTTTCACTCCTGTCTATTTCCTTTATGTACTGGCTGCAGTCAACTCTAATAAAACCCGTTGAACTCAAGGATAGTGAACCAATGTGCAGATTGTCAACTTTCCTTAATGTTGGCTCCTTGTTTTATTTTCTTTTACCATCTTCATTAATCTAGATTGCTGATTTCACATCTCCCTCTACAGCACTGCCTTGCACAAACTTTCAAGTTTTGTTTCTCAGTGTTCATAATTTCAATTAGTTGAGTGGAGACACCAAAGATTTGTGCCTTCAATAACCTTATGAATTGACGCAAAGAGTCCAATTGAGTTCATCAATTTGACAATAGTGCAAGTTGGAATACATAAATTTTCCAAAAAATATCTATTGCCTTGTTTGAGATGAGATATCTACAAACTTCAAATAGAACTTACTTATAGCTACACAAGATACATAATGATGAACAAATTATAGAAACATTATGTATCTCTAAATGATACCTGTGCTATGTACGCTTTAATGCTGTCACTAACTGGCGCGTCTAAAGCTCTCTCAGCAAGCTCATAGAACAAAGTATGACCTTCAGGTCCACTTACTTTGTCTTTCTGCAAATATCTAAAATAAAGAGTACTTAAGATAGATACCTACATCAATAATATTGTGACATTCAAACGAAACTGCAAATTAACAATCCATAGTAGACAGGTCAAACCTTTGCTGGACAAGTGTCTCCAGTGCTTGTTTTATGTTTCCTAGGGCTGGATGGCTTTCATTTTTTTCATCCAATCCCATCCGTCTCAAATGACGCCAAAGATCCTCTGCAGTTCCAGCAAGAGCATAAGAGTAGGTTCTCTCACAATATGACACAATTTAACAAAAAAAGGAACAATTTCCTCATTGATTTTTAGCAATTTTTAAGACAACAGAAGATGATGTTTGATCTGTCACATTTTGCTAGACAAAATCATTATATGAAAAGATGTAGTATGGCCCAGTATGCAGTTCATCAAAGAATTTCCCTAACAAATAAGTTGTTTTCCGACCGAACTATTATCCCAACTATCCTGGCATCTTCCCATTCTACTAACTTGTAAGCATATAATTATAAAACAAACCATGAAGCAGTCATACCTTCAGTGGTTTTACCACCAGAAATATGTACAACACTTAGTACGACAAAAGTGAAACCAGTGAGAGGAGCCGTACGATCATCCTCAACATACTTCTTATACACATCCGAAGGAAGTTTACTCAAAATGACGTAGGATTTTGCCTCTGCAACACCTGAATAACGTGTTCAAAAAATTCGTCAAAACCCCAACCCTCAAAGTTACCACTGAACGATGTGGACTATACACTATGCACAATTCAAAATTGAGGTTGCACAAAAGGGGCCATATCACCCAAATCGTCCATTATATATTACTTTGGCCAACATTGGCTCATATGGTATCCCACATGGATCCCACATAAATCGAGTACACAACCGAGATTGGTAAATCACAACCATCAATTATTTTGCAGAAAATAATAGGTAACACGAAAAAATCACAACTTTGAGCTTAACTAATTACTAACTTAATTAATAAGAATCTTACTCTGTTGGGAAAAGCGTCCCTGATTAGTGGAAGAGGGACGAGACCTTTGAAGCTCCCTCATTTCGTAGCCAAATATGGTGGAAAGCTTCTGTATAGCCTCGTTGATGACGAGCGTGGGAAGATTTCGCTGACGATAGTTTTTGGTGAGCAGCTGAGTGAGCTCTTCCCTCTTTATTGGACAGCCCGAGTTGTGGTGCGTCTTGAACAGCACGTAGCGGATTACTTCTGCTACAAGCTTGTCCTTTTCCTGAGAAAAAAAACACCCACAACAAAAGATTGAAGCTTTTTGCAGAAATCTTTGTCTCAGAGGCTGAGATTGAGATTGAGAGTGTGGGATTTGTGTGCTTACCTCTTTGGAGATATCGAATTGAGACAGGTCATCAACCGGCTGTGCCATGATCGAGAAAATTTGGGGAATTCTTTCTTCAATCTAAAACCCTAATCCCCTCACTGCCCTCTCTCCTTTTGGGGGGGGGAAGAATTTCTGGCGGGAAAATCTGTGCCCTCACCGATGAGCGAGTATGGTTGAGTAGTGCGAAAGGTTTTCTTTTAGCGGGTTCCGTTTGGAAGGAAGGGCGTAGCTGAGGTTGGGCCTGGTGGCTGGGCTGAGCCTGTTTTCTTTTCCAACAATTATCTTTCTTGAGATTTGAATTCATAATCTCCTTGAAGAAAGTGGATTTGAATTCATAATGATATGAGTTTTTTTTTAAGCTCCAACTTCAGCAAAAGTTTAATAACTCAACTTTAGCAAAAGAAAAGGGTACCGTCGATATTTTATGTTTTGAATGTCAACTTTTTTTAATGTCACTTGTAAAATATCGGATTGTACCCCTTTGCATCCAAGATACATAGGTTTGATTTCCGTCTATTGCAATATCACTTGTTAAAAAAAAAAAAAAAAAAAAAAAAAAAAAAAGAATAAGCATAATCAGCATTTTATTTCATATCGTGTACCACCATTTTTAATAGAGATGGAGCCCACCAATACAATGAGGTCCATCCCTATTAGAGAGATGGTACAGAATGTGGTATAAAAATGTAATAAACTTAGCATTTTCCTTAAAAAAATAACCGTAATTGAAGATTGGAAGGAAGTTGACGACATGTAAAGTTGTATTGTAACCATACAAAGTGGAGCCCGCTTGTAATGCACCACTCACCAATCTCAGTCTGAGCCTCTCTCTCAATCAAACAACCATGTGTGATTCAGTGGTTGTCGTCCCGGTCAACATCGCACCCAACCACGTTAACCCATGTGATCCTCGTTCGGACCTAATTCCATCTTCATAAATTCCATACCCATTTCACACCATTGATCCTACTCCCTGTAACCTCCACTAACCATATCCAACGGTCGCTTGGACCCTCCTTCTCAGAACAGAGCATATCAATACCAGTTTCCAAGTTGCCAAAACCAAGTTCTAGACAGAACACACAGAGAGAGAGAGAGAGAGAGGCTATGGACACTGAGAGAAAAAAACATGTTTACCTGGCGAAGCTTGCTGAGCAAGCCGAGAGATATGATGGTATGCTCTTCTTGCACGGACCTCCATTCTTTCACTATTTTTTCCCTTTTCTAAGAATTTATGTGTCTTATAAGAAACAAAAATAATAATATCATCTTTTTGGCTATGTATATATAATATTATTAATTTTGGGTAAGTTGTATTTAGTGTTGGGAATTCATTTTTAATATTTCATGCACCAAAAGAGCGATTTATGAGTTAGCAGATGTATGGATTAAATACTGTAATATTGGGTTGTTTCTTTTTATTTTGATTGATGGTGATTGATCCTATTGAAAGGGGAGGAAATGAAAATAAGTGATATACTAATAAATGGTTAGGTGTTCCCAGCAAGAGCCAAAAAAATCCCAGTTGTTTACAAGCATAACTGATTATGTGAAACAAGAATGATTGTGAAATATATCATCTTACAAGCAAACCCCAATTCTTCACCTGTTCATTTTAGTCTCAATGGGAAACCACTTATTTGGTTTGTGTGGCATATGTAATTATCTGAGAATTAATGGAAACGGTTTATTTTAAATTTGTTTAGCATTTAAATGGATCTCAAGTTGAATATAAGGGTCTGTTTGGAAGTGCTTCTGAAATGGCTAAAAGCGCTTTCTGACAACTAAAAACGCTTCTGACAGTGTTTGGCAGAAAAGTTTAGAAACGCCTCTGGGTCATGGAAGCGCTTTTTGGAGAAACACCTGCTATGTGTTTCTAGCACTCCTAAGTGCATTTCCATGAAGCAATTGAATTTTTTATGAAAATTCAAGATTTTTATAATAAAAAGGCTTTTGTTAAAAGCGTTTATGAGCAGAAGTATTTCTTGAAGAAGCAATCCCAAAACGAGCCTTAGTATTAGTCTTATCATTCTTGCAGTAACTTTCTGAAATGCTGCTGCTGCTTTGAGTTTTGAAGTCGTTTGCGGTGCAAATAGTTTTTACATTGGCGGTTTCATTTCTACTATATGTGTTTAATTAGTTGAAGTCAAGATGGAACTCTTATCACTTGGTATAAAGTAGACAGCTTATGTATTGTTTAGGATATTAGCCCACAATCAATTGCATATATGTGTAATGCATCAATTTTCTTGTTTTCTTGTTTCAGAGGTGGTTGAAGCAATGAAGAAAGTTTCCAAGTTGGATGTGGAACTGACTGTGGAGGAGCGGAATTTGGTGTCGGTTGGGTATAAGAATGTCATTGGGGCAAGACGGGCGTCATGGCGGATATTGTCTTCCATTGAACAAAAGGAGGAGGCCAAGGGAAGTGAACAAAATGCTATGAGGATAAAGGAGTACAGGCAGAGGGTTGAAGATGAGCTTGCAAAAATTTGCCATGACATTTTAACAGTTATTGATTACCACCTCCTTCCATCTGCATCAACAGAGGAATCTACGGTTTTTTACCAGAAGATGTGAGAGCTACTTTTCTGTTCCTCTTCTGTTGAATTAAAATATTCAGTTAAAACAAACCATGGAACTATGATTACTTGGAAACTTTAAAAGCTTAAGAAGTTATGCAAGCTGATAGCATATTTTCTTTAGCTTAGAGAGAGAGTTGAATTATTTTTTACATAGTTCATACAGCCAAAAGGACCATGATTGCTTTTTTCTTATTCAACTTGTTTTCACCCTAGTAGATATCATAAAACAGGGGTATTTGCTTTGGGTGCTTCTATTTGGTTATGAATTTCTTACCTTTGATGACTTTTTTGTGTGTGTTAGGTTAGGAGGGATCTTCACTTCAAAGCCCATTCCTTTTGACATACGTACCTTGTTACCATGCAAGTTGATGTTATGTGAGAGAGAGAAAGAGGTTTGAGTGGTGATCCTTCTTGTTCCCCGTGACAGGAAAGGAGATTACTATCGATATTTGGCTGAATTTAAAGCTGGTGATGATCGTAAAGAAGCGGCTGATCAGTCGCTTAAAGCCTATGAGGTATTCAGCTTCCTAGCTGGAGGCAATTTTCTCTCTATCATGTCACTTTCTCTTTTTTTTTTTTTTTTTTTTTTTTTTTTTTTTCTTTCTTTTCTATATTCTGATATTAAGAATGAGATTGTAATGAAACTGACATATGCGCGGTAGGTTGCCAACGATACTGCTGACTCTGAGTTGCCCGCAACCCATCCAGTTAGACTTGGCCTGGCTCTAAACTTCTCTGTTTTTTACTATGAAATTCTCGACTCCCCTGAGAGGTTTGCTCTCTCTCTCTCTCTCTCTCTCTCTCTCTCTCTCCGTTCCTGTTATTTGTACGTTCTTTAATGCTTACTCTTACTGTAGTGAGTCACCACTTTTGTGTTTCATTTGCAACTTTGCACCATGCAGGGCCTGTCATTTAGCTAAGCAGGCATTTGATGAGGCAATTGCTGAACTTGACAGCCTCAATGAAGAATCCTACAAGGACAGCACCCTTATTATGCAGCTTCTCAAGGATAATCTCACATTGTGGACCTCAGATCTGCCAGAGGAAGGAGGTAATTTTATGAATAATTTTCTTTCCTTCTGCATTGTCTTGAATCTCGGGTCAACTTGATGATATATCTTCAATTATGGGTGTTGTAGATTTATAATTGAGATACTAGATATGGATTTTAGCTTAACTTTGGTTTAGTTGCACCTTCTCATATAACAAGGATATTTATGCAAGTTTACAAAATTTTGTGAAATGTGATGTGTGAGTTCAGTTATCCGAATTTAATTGTCATTGATAGGGCACATCATGCATATCTCTGTAGCAAATCTCCCTGATCGTAGCTTAGGTCTTTCCTTCGGGTGAATTCGAAGATGTTAGCTTGTTATGCACTTCATACCATGGTGTTCTCCTGCTTAGAATTTAGGAACTGCTTTTAAACACTGTCTAAAGTATGAGACTTCCATGAATGTCGAGTCTAAAGTTGCACATGTTGAAAATGTCAGATTGGGTTTACTAGTGCCTTCTCTTGACAATGTGATCTGAATTGATAAGCTGAGTTTTCCTCGGGCTGAGACTCATCTGTATTATCTGTCTATTAAGAATTTCTGGATATATATATATATATATATATCTAAATTGACAGTGTAACATTCTTTTTTGTTGTTGCTTGTAGTTCAAGAAATACTTCCCCGTCGGATTATGTTCTCTGCCTTAAAACAATTTTTTGTTCTTGCTTTGTATTGGAACAGATTAGAATTTGTTCTAAGTTCATGCATATAATTCATAATTGCTGATTCTTTCATTGAATTGTCAGGTGAACAATCTAAAGTTGAGGAACCCCCTTCAAAGGTAAGACAGAAGAATATTATTATGCCATAAGAAAACTGCAGTGTTATTTTCTAACACTGATTTTCTGGTTTTGTTTTCTAAATTGCTTCATTTCTTTCTTCAGTTAATCACTAATTAGTTTTCAATTTGCAGAGTTAGATGGGATAAGGGAGAGTAATTATTTGGGACTGGCTTCGTGTCGATGGAGCAACATAGGGCGCATGACTCATTGGATTACCAAGTTTGTAGTACAAGGAAAGTGACTCTAGGGTTGTATGTATTGTCTATTTAATCATGGCGCTTCTTGGCCCTTGGATTTAAAAAAAAAATTAATAATTGCATTGAAAGAGATCAAACCTTTGACTTGTTGCCAGGGCCGGTCACTAGTTACTTGAAGTGCCTTTGTTTACTACACATCAATCTTTTTGGCCTATTTACATGGGAAATATGAGTGCTTACGTTCTTATTGTTATAAGCGTTATTGATGGAAGTTGAAATTTTTATTAAGAATCCGTATTATTAGAAAAGCACTTTGGAAGTAGTTCATAAAGAGAAAAGCTTGATTGTCTTTCTCCAAAAAAAAATACATTTCTTTAATTAAAAAAACGATTATATACACTCCACTAAGATTTTTGCTTTTGTTTTCCTTCTCTGTAGTAAGCTATGTATCACTTTGTATTGTATTGTATATTTTTATTCTTGCTTCTTCCTTGTGAAGCTTCCAGAGAAATTTGTCTCCTTGAAAATATTGGACCTAATAGCTTCTCAAATCTTGTACAAGGGCTTGAGTTTATGGTATAAGGTTATGGCAGGTAGTGCTTCTGCAAGGATATGGGCAGTCAATTTCCTTTGTTGCCCTTCTGCAGAAGTACCAATCACCTACTGCTTCTGCAATGGTCCTATTGTGAACCCTTGGAGAGTCTGCAGCAAACCATGTGTCTTGAGACTCACTTTGGCCGTGAGCAAAGCATGAATTAATGAAGAAGCCTCCTCGTCTCGAATATTTGTAGGACAATCCCATAGCAACAATCATGTCACGCCTGAATTCTTGCAATGTATTTAACTGTTGAGGATTGCACGCTGCCGGATTCAGTTTGCAACGATTCCAGTGGCCTTGTGGATCAGCTGAAGGCGGCACCAATATATGATGGAACTGGTAAACATCATAAGCTGAGTTCAATATGAAAAAAGGCGGTGTAATGAACTTCATTGCGTACTGTGGGAAGAAACACAGCTCGGGAAAATTAAGGGAGCTGGCGGTGCAGTTCTCATCCAGATTCTTCTCTACCCCGTGTAGAGAAACAACATCTTTAACGAAAGACCTCATGGTGTGGTTAGAACTTATATCTCTTTTGTCAAGAAAGAATCCGGCATCGCTCAAGCATTTCACACTGGCAGTGCTTGGTAAATATTTAGTGAAGTTGTTACAATGCAAAAAGGATGATAAACCCCCAGCAGAAGAACCTGATAGCAGAGCCTTTCTTGCCTGTCCTAAACCTTTTGGCAGAAGATCAAGCATGATTGCTTCCCAAATCTTTTGCCCTCTGAAATAGAGCAACGACGTCCCGTTTTTATATACTGCATCTCCAGCAAATGAAGCTCCATCGCAATATCTAAGCTTCACACGGTTCCAATTGTAAAAATCTGGATTTAGAGATGCATTATTGCTTAGAATTCCAGAGAAGACCTCCCACTTGCTCATGTAGCGTGTTGATCCTCTACGGGTGTTGGCTCTGTCCAAGCATGATTTTATGCTATTGCACCACCCTCCACCCTCAAACTGTAAAAGCCAGTTTCTTGCTCCGCCCCCGAATCCTCTGTGCAGGTGATACGCAGGCAAACTCCCATCCAAGCAAAATGCCCCGAGAGCAGAAGCATTCCGGACCAGAGTCATGTTCACCAGGAGCCGCTGGTCGTCCGAGTAAACGCACCGAGGCGCGCAAGTTAGCAGAGCCAGGGCGATGGCGACTAGTACTGCGTTCACATTCATCATTGTAGTAGCCACGCTGCTCTGTCTTCAACTTTACCTAATTCACGCGCATACAACTTATCTACGTATAAGTATTCTTCTCCAATATGGAGGTATTTATAAAGAAATAACAAAGATGTGTTACTTGAGATAAAATAGGAAAGAAATCTCAGTTACAACAGGATTATATAAATAGTTAAGTAACTAAAATCCTAATTGAATAAGGACTCGTCAACATCTTAACCCTTCTATAAATAGTTAAGCAACTAAAATCCTAACTGAATAAGGAGTCGTCAACATCTTAACCCTTCTAAACAAAGAGGGTATGCATATTTTGTGCCGTTTATGCTAGAACATTACATGTTGTCTGTATTATGTTTGCCTTCAATAAAAATATAAATAATATAAAAAAAAATATTTTGCTTGATGAAGCACGTCATGTCATGATTGATCCAATTAAATTACACAAATTTGTTATATGGGATTAAGGGTTGGATTACATTAAATAGCTTCATGTCAGTGATTGAAGTGGTTTTGAATGTTGTTGATGTTTATTTGCCGATGGCTGCTGCATGTCGAGTAAGAAGGACTTGATGTGGTTGTAGTACTCCTTGGGCTTTTGTACGTTAATTGCATGTCCTGCATCCTTTATCACCACAAGCTCAGCGTTCTCCCCTAAGTGCCTGTATAAATATATATATGTTTTTACCAATGAACTCAAAATTCAGAAAGAGAGACTAAACAAATGCATGCACTCGGTCAAAGACTTCGATCAGAAACTCACCTTTTTAATTTGTAAGCAAATTCTAGCGGAAATACTTGATCATGCTCTCCCCATAGTATAAGGGTTGGCTGTGAGAGGAGTGAGAGAAAGGTAAGAAGTACTAAATCATGTTATTATAATTTTGCATAAGAGGAAAATGACAAGAATTTCACTAAGGTCTGCGGAGATTTCAACCGCTGATGCACACGTAGACAACTAACTTAAGTAAGATAAAGATGTGCTATGACCCAAAAAAAAACATAGATGAAAAATGAACCTGTGGAATCTTGGGAAGGTCTGAAAGTTTTCGGTTTTTGGGAACGGCCATAATCAACTCTTTCTGCTCTTTCATATGTTCAGTGTACATTGCCTGCCCATTCACCATAATTTGAGTTTGATTGCATACCGAAATTACTTGGCTACTTACATGTAAATAGTTATTTCAACAAATCACAATTTGACATGTGTATAATTTTTTATTCGGGATGATTTTAATAAGGTTAATATTATTCTCGCTCTACCACTTAAAATATTATTGCAATAATTCCCTTTAAAGACTATCACACATACTACATACCAAACCATGTTGACCCGTTGACTGTTTTATTCCATGACTGGTAGTTGATTTTGTAATGAGTCACGTGCACCATGTAGTGGTTATATTTATAATATTAATACAGCATGCAGGCAGGTGACCAATCCTACAACCACCACTACATCGACATGGTTTTTTTATTTATTTATTATTTTTATCAAACTCTACTACATGATTTATGCCTTCAAAACGAAAATTCAACGAAGCAAATGTGTTTCGAGATCACTGTCTCTGTCGGGACAAGATAATGTCTTAATAAGTCAAATTACACATAAAATAATAGATAAATTTGGGAGTTTTTATTCTTTAAATGGTAACTAAATTCCACAAATCATCCATTAGGTATGAACTATATATATCAATGTTTTATGTTCCTTCCTTGCTACTAATCTCAGTCCAAATTGATCTTTTCTTCTAAGATCGCTTCAATTCGGACCAACTGTGCACATCAATTGCAAGGATTAATGGGTTCTTTCAAGCCTAGTTAAGGGTCAAAACACGCTCTAATCATTTTGAAAAACTTTTTCACCCTTACATCCTTACTCATGACGTGCACATAAATTATACCGTACGCAACATAAAGAGAAAAGTTTGATTTAAATTGAGATTCATAACGATACCTTAACTACAAAAATTTGCACGACAAGACATACATTGATTTACGACCCACAACACTACATGAAAGAGTTGTGCAATTAGACAACACTTGAAGAATTTGCACTTGTTAAACTTCCAACTTATGACGATTGAGTTTATAGCGAGTCTCATTGTTATGTGTAGACATGCATGAACGAGATAAGATATTGCTATTTATACCGTCTCAACTGACAATCTAATATGACCGGTAGTTTGATTAGCTTAACTTAATCATCATCATAATTCATGATTAATTATCATCTAAGAAGTATTAGCTAGAAACATTTACCTCAATGAAATCCATAAGCAAGCAAGAGGGGATCAACCCAAGAGGAGGCGGCTTGAAAAAAGTGTACTTGATCAACTCCCTAAGCTTCTGCGGCGTCTGCGGCACCAAAATGCTCGCAGCCTCGTCCAAATCCGATATCGGAAACACGCCTTCCCGGATGTCCTTCTCCTCCAAGCACACCGCGGCGCAGCATATCACAACCCTCTCCACCGCCTCCTTGTACTTGGCCGCCAGGCTGTACCCCACAAACCCGCCATAGCTCAGCCCCAACAGGCTCAGCCTCCGCACCGAGTGGGCCTCCATGACCCGCATCACGCACTCGGCCTGGAACGACTCGGACCGGTCCGGCCGGGTCGTGAACGACTCGCCGAAGAAGAGGAGGTCGGGGACGTAGACGTTGAAATGGGGGGTGACGTGGCGGAGGAGGTCAACGAATTGCCACATCGCGTTGACACCGAGGCCGTGGATGAGGAGGAGATTGCGCTTGGACGGGTTTGGGGACTGCGGAACCCAGCAGTGCATGGTGGTACCGCCGTCTTTGATGTCTGTGATTGCAGACCGGAGGCCGGCTCGGGCGAAGGTGGACCGGTGGCATGAATTTTTTGACTCGGTGAGGCTGAAGCATGGCATTTTTGGTAATTTTTTGGAAGTGTGTGGAGCTAGTTGATGGGAAAAGAGTCCCCTATTGAGGACTGTGGGTGATTTTGTGCTGTTTTGAGGTGGGGCATGCTGGTTGGTGAGTTGGGTTGCGTTGGGTTGGTTTGGTTTGGGAACTTGCTTTTCATGTGAATGTCATGTTACATTCGGTACAACAAATGCGTAGATGAAGAAGGGACCAGTTGAGACATGGAAAAATTATGCAAAGCAAAGATGGGAAAGTACTCGAGAAGAGTGGGAGATAATAGAGAGTTCAGTAGTGTCGTGTTGACAATGACATTTACCAAAAAAATATTCTCGTGCTAGACTGTCACGTTTGTATTGATTGTGAATTATATTGAAGTTAGTTCTTATCGGAATATGTGGTTGATATTTATAATGTGGATATACAGATATTTTTGTCACAATATATTTTAATAAGGAAACAAGACTCACAATGGGTGTGCCCAAAATTTAGAGGACCCCAGATGAATATATGGAATCATCCCAATCCTTCAATAGAAATAAAGTGGTTGAGATGGCAAGACAATAAAATCTGGATCACATGGTTCATTTATTTCTTTGTTTTGTTTTGTTTTTGCATGGAGGGTTGGTGGTTTATTATTTAGGAAGATTCTCCAATAAGTGTTTTATATTAAGTATTGGTTACTTGTTTCTAATCTTGATCGTTGGATTGTATTCATTAAATATGTTGGTAGTCTCTTAGATGCAAATCAACAGCTGAGATTAGAAGTATGTAATCAATCCTTAACTTACTTAAATACATGTGGCATGTTTACTAATCCATAATTGGATTAGGAGGAGTTGGATTGAGGAGAATTAGATTCCGGATTCCTATTGAAATTGTTTATTAAACCATATGAATTGAGGGGAATTAGATTCCGAATTCCTATTGAAGTTGTTTACTAAACCATATGAAATTGGGGTATGAGTGGTACTAATTACTAAAATGTCCTCGTTGTTTGATTAAAGTAAATAGGAAATTTGAAATTTTGAAAATTGTGCGAGGATATAATTGGTAAAAAAGATGAATTCATAATGGGTTAGTTCTCCAGGAATTTGAATACCACCTCTCACCCACGAATTGAATTCCTCTAAAATCAGGAAATCCTAATTTTGCGTGAGTCCCACTTACTTTTCAATTTCTTGATGTGAAGTAAATGCAGGAATCCTCCACATGTAGAATTTAATTCCTGATGAGAATTCCAATTCCTGATTAGTAAACACACCATTAATAAAGAATGTCCCTATTATAGAGTAGTAGAATGATATTGAATTGTTAATATATGACTCAAATTCTAGCATTAGCTTTTATGCGTGGATAGATGTGTGATCCCCACAACATATAGATATATATAGGTTCCGCTCACGATATTTACGTTGAGAAGACATCATTATATTTATTGGCATAATTGATTATTTTAGAGTGTAAAATTATTATTTAGAGCTTATATTTAAGATTTCTATTCTCAGATTGGTAGTCACTTCGATCACCCAAAATAATCAACCATGTTGATAAATTGAATCACAATTGATGAAAAATGAATAGAAATGAAGCTTTCTCAATGTAAATAGATGAGACGATGGAAATTAACTGGGCTGCATATCTATCTCATAATGGAAATTAAATAGTCCAGAAGATAGCCATCTATACAGGTAGGGATTTCATTAGACCATCAATGGGCTGCCAAACTATGGGCCACCATCATCAATGGACCCATGCACGGGCATACTGAAGGTGAAGAAAATATTTCTAGGTTAAAATTATGATCACTCTACACGCTAACGGTTTAATCCAATGAAAAATAGTATTGACTTATATATTAGTAGTCTCATATTTGAATCTTTATGGCACCTTGATAGTGTGTGTGTAAGAAACTCTTGTAGTATAAACTATCGATTGTATTAAAATAAATAAAAAAAAAAAAAAAAAAAAAAAAAAAAAAAAAATCACTAAACATTGCAAATTTACACAATTTTCTAGAGTGAAACATATATTCTATATTTACAATTTTCTTTTGGAATGTCAACTCGTCCCTTGTTTTACCTCATCAATCAATTTAGTCATTGTGTTATTAATTTGACCAATTTTATCTTTGTATTTGTATATGTTAGCTAATAAGCAAATTCAATTACTCATTAAGAGATTTAAACTAAGAATTTTTCTCACTATTTATTTTCTTTGACTCCGCTAGAAATTCACTTCGTCACAATATTTGACTCTCAACTTTTTTCTCACCTGTCGGGTCATTGGGGCCTTTGTAGCATCATTCGAAATATGTATTGTCTTGATAGCAGCTTTCAAATTAATCAGTGATGATTGATTATTAAAAATTTATTTCTAGCATTTGTAAGTCCTCAAAGGGGCCTTGGTAGGCCCTGATTTTGAGATGAGGTATCCTCTCCTCCCCCTAAACTTTTGCTCATTAAAAAAAAAAAAATTTGTTTCTAGCATGCATTTCAACAAACTAAATTTGTAGCGGATATGTTAGCGGATCTAGACCACTCTTTAAAATAGTATCGATCTTGAAATCTAGTTGAACTAGGGATTTTGTGTTGTAGTTGTATTCTTAAGCATAAAATAAAATTTAAAAAAACTATTTTAACTCTACAGAAGGGAAACTTTGAAAATTTCTTTTATTTCTTGCTTGAAAATCAAATCTAAGGATGTAGACATGATTTTTCACCCATTCTTAGTAAAACCCACAAGTTGAAACAAGTTTCTGGTTATTGTTTGGAGCAAATTAGAGAAAATAAATCAAGCTAAGTGCAATTGCTTTTGGCCGCGACTCTATTTGACAACTTATATCTTCCATCATAAATTCTTGGTTATGAGCAATTTGTACATGAATTTGAAACTAATTTGATAAGCTTTAATACGCCTATAATATTGTGTATTGGAATTGATGTTTTATAAATTTTAACTTTTTATTTTTATTTTTAATACAAGCGATATTTGGGGAGGAGAGTTTTCTCACACACGAAGGTGTCATGAGGGTACGAAATAGGATTCAAACCTAAGACTACTGGTCTACAAATCAATGCTATTTTCACTCGGTTTAAATTTTAACTTAAAGGAAGCCATGAGAGATGAAACTTATTTCATCTATTAAACTGACCAAAATTTGAAATTGTCCGCAACTTGCTAATAACAAAATCAAACACAATGACCAAGATAATAAAATTGTACTAGAATACAAATTAAAAAGAACATTAAAGTATGAACTAAGTTAAAAATAAAAATAAAGGAAAAGACGAATTAGATGAAAAAATTTATTGATATTATACTTTAAAAGTTGGAAATATCAAACTTGTTGTATATTCATATTATAACACACATGAACAAATTATGCCACGTGACCGTTTTACGGTACCATACAATAATTTCTTCATACCTTGAGAGATCATTTATTCTCAAAAGAGCCAACCTTTGAAGTTAGAACATGTTATGTGACTAGCCAAAACAAACCTACGCTAAAAGTAATGTCAATGTATAACCATTGAGATCTTCCTCCCTACATCCTTTTTGTCATCGCTTCCCCTGATTTCTTCAAAACCCTAGTTTCCATCCTCTTGGTTACAAGGCTGTCTCCCTGCATCAACTGGTTCCTACCCTTTCGTTTTTCATCAAACTTTAGACTGCGAAAACTGGGTAAGCTCAGAGTTAGGGAACTTAAGTACTCAATATCCCTCTCGAATGTTTCAGCTTGTAAGTGGCATGGTGGTGGCTCTTGGTCTTTCTTTTCCAACTCTTTCAAATCAATGTTGCATTCCAGATAATTAGCACCAGCCATTGCAAGAGCCTCAATGGAAGATGACATATTTTTGGCTGCCTTTCTTCCAATTCTTCTCGGGAATCGAATCTAAGACCTAGGATGCAGCAATAAATGTTCTTAACCAAGTTACACACCCTTGCATTTTTTTTGGAGGTTTAAATAGAGGTAATCTTAGTTGGAAACAAATTAAATTCCTAAACCAATAACTAGCAGATCTCTTTTGTTAACCAAACTAGGACTATTTTCTATTAGTTTTTTATTTTATTTTTTTGGTTTCGGGCAACCTAAAATCAAAGAAGCTTATATTTAACCTACTAATTTTCTCTCAACTTTTTCTTGGACCGATAATTTCCTTCTAAGTCGACTATATCTTCCTGGTTTAGTTCTGCACAATCTTCTCTTTCCTTTTCAAGGTTCTGAAAATACCAAAAATGCATTAGATTGTCCATTTGAAAAGATTGCCAATTACATCTTACCACAGAGCCTCTTCGCCACAACCTGCACACTCATTTTTTGGGGTCAGTCGTATTGTTTGGGCCTTTTTTCCAATTTATAAGGCCCGTTTGGGAGAAGAGATTTGAGGTGTCCAAATCCAAATCACTCTGTTTGGGCCTATTTTCAAGTGGATTTGGAAAATTTGATAGGCCAAGATGTAAGGCTTTCAAATAGGAATTTGGGTGAGTTTGAGACCCAAACTCTCATTCTTGTCTCCCATCCCATCTCACGTGTATATGATCTGAATCTTCTTTGATTTAACATCTTTGGTTGCAATTATTCTTCTGAGATAATTGTTGGTCTTGTTTGGTTGCTGAGAAACAGTGGGAAAACAGAAGGAAAGTTTTGTAATTATTAATTTCTGTACTTTATAATTAAGTTTGTCTTCTCAATAACTCTTTCATTTCTAATTGTGCATTTGGATGAGTTTGGGTTTTTTCAATTGAAATTCTAGCTTAAAATTGGGGAAAAACCTAACCCAACCACGAATTGGGGAAAATCAAATAGCAGATTTGACCTAATCAGAGCACAGGAACTGTTACTACACCAATTATACCATAACATTTTTTCACTATGCCCATGAACCAATTTTAGAGAACCCCAAGAAATGAAAAATAAAAAGACGTGAGTGATTAAAAAGGAAGATTCAAATGTTCCAAGCAAAGGGTAGCCAGAAAAGCAAGAAATGCAAATCTGGGTTTAAGCCCCAAGACCATGGAGAATCAATTTATGCCTCCAGAACAAAGCCAACCAAGAAATTGATCAAAAGATCTTAACCCTTGCAGCCGAAAGAAGAGGCAATTACTGTAAAAAGAACCAAGCAAAGACCCACTAAACAAATTCTAATAATCATGATTATTGCTCAACTACACAGAGAAAATGAAGAGAAGAACGCAGAGAGTGACGGAGAGAAGCATTGCAGGGAGGGATATTGGAGGAGAGGTTCGTTGTGTGTATATATAGGCTCGGCTTAAAACCCTAGCTACAATACAAGGGTTTGGCTATTGTAGACCGATATTGCGGTGTATTAGCATTTGCGAATTTGGTGGTGACTCTCTCTCCCTCCCTCCTGCTTTATGCCATATTTGTATATTGTACCCCTGAATAGTTTTACGAATTCACCTATTTGTTACATTGGGTATCTGAAAATGAAAAACCTTCTTTAAAAATTATTTTCCTTTTTTATTTATTAAAATCAAGTGTTAGATTGAATTCTTGTTTTAATTTTTGATTGAATTCTTGAATATGTTATTGTTTTTTTATCAGACTTTTTCGGATACAAGTACGAAGAGGATATTAGAACTTAGGTGCAAGGAGACTGGTTCATTTCTTTGCTCAATTGGCCTAATTTGAACTTAGGTGCAAGGAGACTGGTTCATTTCTTTGCTCAATTGGCCTAACGCACGTATACGTACATATTCATAGATATGCTACCAATGTAATGGTTCTAATTAAATGGACGAATTAATCCTTTTTATTTCTTTCGAAAGTGACTAAATTCAAAATTTAATGTAAAACTCCCCCGCCTTGATGGCTGTGGCTAATTTTAAATTTTCAAAGTCTAAAAGAACTATTTTTTTTCAACAAAAAACACTAAAAGTTAAAAGAAATTATTTAAGTTGAGTGGAATGAGAGGAATTTCAAATCAAAACAACAAACTTTTATTATTACTGGACTTCGATCATAACAAATGACTAGGTTAGGGAAGAACAAAGAATTGTATTATCCCAGCTAAAATCTCCACTGGTAAGCAATCTTCAACAAATTTGATACCGCAAAAGGAAAAACCTGGTCCAAAACAAAATGCATTCCTCCAATCACAAACAGAAGCATGTCATCTACATAGCCGCTTGGTCATTTGAGTAAAGTAAAATGGCCACATATACATCAAACTAAATCACCTTCTCAAAGAATTCAAACAATATCAAACACCAGAACATAAATAAGAGCATAAATTTACAGTGAGAAGCATTCCACTATTTCTCCCTTCTTTTTCTTTGGCCAATTTCCATGCTGCATAACTCATTCAAGGTTTACCCCAACCAGGTATGTATTTGTTGTTGTTGTGTAATCCATTCATAAATCAGCCTTGCATGCGACGAAACTTGGATTATTGCTATATACTGCACCCGGAAAGCAATATGGTTTTACTGGTATCATCCCCTAAATCTAACAACAACGCAAGAAATATCATCTTTACTATCTCTTTTCAGTGCTTCAGCTGTTAGTTGCTTAGCTGCCTTCAGAGGGTCTTTAATCTTTCTTGCAATATCAACTGCCTCTTGATTATCCATGACCTAGATTATCACATACAGAAGAAAAAGAGTTATTGTCATGAAATTTGAAGCACGCTCCGTTTAGGTGAATTCTTCCCCGTTTTCCTAGACTGCTAAAATAATTGGCACAATGCACCAAGGAGAAGAAAGATAAGGTAAAATGTTTCACCTTCCAAAGACCATCACTGGCAAGGATTAGAACATCAGTAGTATTGTCTACGAAGGTATCTTGTACGTCGGGATCTGATCGCAAATGTGACTTGAGGCTTTTGTCTCCAAAAGCACGAGAAACAGCCAGCTGCCCATTGACCCTAGGAACGTCTCCTGAAAATAAAAGTGTGTGATAGAAGTCAGTTCAATGAGAGGCTTAACATAAGCTCAATTGGTACTCTGTGTGGTTACAGCTATAATACCAATGATAGATGCTGAATATTCATTAAGTAACATGAAAGACCCCATAATTGACACATGCAACTCACAGCTGCATCAGGAAAATATCTTAAGACTAAACGTTTTTTTATACAAGATAACTTTCACTGGTTGTGTACTCATAATTAAAATTGAAAAGAGAAATCCTGATTTGTGGTCTAAATCCCACTTGAAGAGTTTTATTACCCCAAAATAAATAGGGAAGAGTTGGTGCATTGAAATCAAGCTAGCTTCTTCTAAGCTTGCATCGCCATAACATCAGACAAACAGGCGTGCAGACTGCTGAGACCAACTCCAGTAAACAAAGTATCAACAAACAAAGATGTCAATAGAAGGTAGATTCTCGAAAAAGGTCTTAGTTTGGATAAAAATCCCTTTTTATCTTGTGCAGTGTCATCCAATCCTTAGTTGGAAACTTGAAAAACCGGATGCCTGCCCAGTGTCGGAAGGTCAAGGAAGTTGGTGACCTGATGAGACATAGTTCATATATTCAACATAATTACGTATTTACAGCCAGAGGAATCATTACCGCATGGCATGGATGGGGAGGTCAAGGGTATCACGGCACTACAAAGGCCTCCAGTAAAAAGATTACTGTCTGCTAAAAGTCAGAGAGGAAGCTAGATTCTAAAATCTGTTTAAAAAAATTGTTCAAACAACTTCTACAATTTGGACAATAAGGACCTGATCGAGAATTTCCTCCTATTCTTCAGAAGTGCTCAAGTGATTCATAAGAAATTATCAAGTCTTTGGTACTCAGATGGCTAAACTTATGAATGGAATAAGGTTTTCCTTCTTTCTCTCCCCCTTCGTATTTACTTATTTGGAAAACTTAAAGTTGCTAAAAGTCTTAAGTTCTTCTGGAGAATGCAATTCCTATGAAGTATAGCCAACATAAATTTGAATTAAATAACAGAAGTGCAGAAAACTAATCCAAAGGATCAGCAAAGTCATCCTCTAAGACAAAGTAAGCTGATCATAGTTCAACTCCTATCTGAATGCTGATATTTTCTTGCAAATAAAATAGTTTATGGTATTATTGCTTCTATCTATTTGGTGTAAGAACTGTTGAACAATTTCAATTGTTGAGAAAGCGACAAAAGTCTTGGAATTTATCTCAGTGGAAAACCCTTGCAGCACAAAACTAAAACCTACACGACATATTAACAGATGAAGCACCACTTTAAAAAATAAAATAGTGAAAATTGATTACTCGTTCTTTTTCTTGAAAAACCAGTAATGTTCATTCAAAATGTTACAGTTTTACATGTGTATTTACACATTGAATGAACTTTATAAACATCATTGCTGTAAAATACCTGGCATGTTTGAGACAAAGCCACCTTTGTTTTCAATGCTGCCTCGTTCGGTATTGGGCTCATGGTCTATAGACATCTGTACTGCCTGACCACCCTTTGAAAGAACTGCCCGTGAATCTCCAACATTTGCCACCCATAATCGCTGACCGTTTAACAATATTGCAGTCACAGCAGTGGACCCACCACGCCCCAAGTCAGAACTATGAGAGAGAATTGCCTGGTCCGTCTGCTCATAGGCTTTTAGGATAGATCTGTTAGGGTCGACCCAAAACTCTTCCTGCAATATTTACATGAAAATTGTAAGAATACATCACTCCACAATTTCTATGCACCAAAACAAGACAAATAAATGGAACTATCTGAAATTAGCAGCTACCTCCTTAAGGATATTTGAAAACAAATGCTTCTGTAGATATGCAGGCACAGTGTCTCCCAAATGGCCATCATATATAGCAAACAATCCTAACTCATGTCCTTGGCTCCGAAGAAACTTGGCAACATGATAATCCTCCATTGGATGATTAGCTTTTCCTTTTACCAGGCTGAAACCATACTTTACTAACCCATCGTGGCTTCTTCCCTTACCAGAGCCAGATGATGAACGTCCCCCATACTGCATAGAAAAATTATAAATAATACAACCTCAATCTTATACAGTTCATAGACAGGCAGCATTCAGAAGGACACAATTGTTTTCAACTTTTTGCTTCGAAACATAAAAATTCAGTTTCTAGTCCATTTACCAGGTAAAGAATGAAATTTTAGTTTCATACATTAAGGCAAGCATAGAAGAAAATCGAGCTTGAATCTATTTCTTTTTTAGAATTGCTTTCCTTCTTAAGCTTCTTTTAAGTACAATGAAACAAAACTCTATTATATGGCTGTTGAGTAAAAACAATACACTTATTTTTAATGCACCAAACCAAGAGAGCAGCCAGTTAGAAACATGTTGGTTCATTTTCGGTCCGAACGTGTTGGCTCAATTCAGAAGTTCAGCACAGCTATGGAAATTGTGGCCTAAGTATTCTAGTATTGAAGGCAACTGAATATCCCTTGCACCCAGCTTCAGAAATGCAGCAGAAGAAAGTAAATACTTGGCTTTAGCATCCTCAGTCAAGTAGAATACCCAAAACCACTTCAATTTACCAAATATTGCAAAGCAGTTCCTAAGATCATATCAGAAAACCAAAACACACAACATCGGTAGAGAACAGGAAAAGATGAAATAAATGAACAAAGAAGAATGAACGATCATGATACCCCTTAATCCCAAAAGAGCATATTAATCCAGCTGACCATAATAATTAATAAAACATAATTTTCAAATCCACCCGAAAGCTGATGGATATCCTACTAGAAAAATCAAGTGCATGAACAAAATTCCTCAATTGAATTACACATATAGTCCCACAAAATAATCAAAAACCATGCTTTATAAGACTTATGTTGAGAAAATATACATCAAACAAAAAAAAAACAAAAAAAAATAAAAGGACTGCATATAAGAAGTGAAAAAACATGATCACCTGAGAGTAGGAACCGCTAAAACAGCATAACCTATCCATGAAAAAGGAAGTACTGGAGCTAAATCTTCAGCATCCACCTCTTGTAATCACCTCCAATCCAAATTCCAAACCAAACCCACCTTCCAAGATCAAAACTTGTTGCCTAAATTCTCAAACTGCACCATGAGAACCAATTTCAATCATTATAAACAAAGCAAGCAAAAACCTTTTTGAAAAAACAAAACAGCCCTAAAACCCACAAAGCCACTAAGGACAAAATCCACAAACGAGTAAAAACAGGAACTGGGTACCCGGGATTTTGGTCTTACCATCCAATGAAAGCTAGAAAATGGCTTGGCTTTTGTTTATTTGGCGGTGCCCCTTTCTTCTTCTTCTTCTGATGACTTCGCACAAGCAATTGAATAAAAACAGAATGGTAATGATGACGAGTAATAAAGAAATAAAAGAGAGAACATTTGAAACCTTTTTCTTTAAAAAGAGAAAATAAAATAAAACAGGAGAAATTAAAGTTTTATGCGAGCTTAGGAACTGTGTGATGATTTATAACTGCTATCGTGGGAGTCTGGGAATGAATAATTAAATTATTTTTTATTTATTTATTTACTTTATTTTAAAGGTCCTAAAGGAAACTGGAAAAGGATGCCATAAAACAGAGACTTCTTGGCTGTTGACTTTTTGCTGCCCTACTCTTCTTCATTTTCAGTCCAGTCTGTTTCTTTTCTTTCTTTCTCTTCCTATGCTGCTTTTTCGTTATATTTTTTTTTTTTTTTTTTGTATTTGTCTTTTTCTAAGCACACGGTTTTGTATTTTTGTACAAAATATTTGTACCTAAATACTCCGATGAATATTTGGGGGTAGCTAAATACTACAATGGAGACGCTTCAATATTCATTATTAGTATGTAACGCTTGCACGGCTGATGTTAGCAATACTCTAAAGTTTTATTTCTTTCACTATAAAAATTCATGATCATTAATTATTTAATCAAAGTTCAATGGTTGACTTTCAAACTTGATTCAAATCACGATAACGTGCTTAAATCTTTAAAATTATTATCAAATATTGGATTTTGATCCGAAAATAATTGACCACCAAAACTTTTGATTATTGGGGACCAAGAATATGACTTAGTTTGACCAAAAAAAAATATATGACTTAGTATTATATTATAAGGTTATGTACGCATATGTTTGTACTAGTGTAGTATTCAAATGAATGAATATCATATGGGATGTTTTTAGTGAACAGATATTCCTATGCACCAAAAGAATGAGTTTTCGATTGTCATTATCTTTCGGATTTTTTTTATTATTGCCATAATGGATTATACCGTTGTAATTAATTTAATTTAATTATAGGTTTTTTTAATATAAACAATGATCTAAACTATAGGGGGAGGAGAGTTTCTCTCACACACACTACCACGAGTAATGAGGATTCGAATTTGAAACCACTACTTTGAAGTCAAGGGCCTTTTATGCTGAGAGCTAGGCCTTGTTAGCAAGAAACAAACAATGATGCTTTCGAAAGAAGAAAAGGAGTTTCTTAATAATTTTTCAAGTGAGCCATCCGTGTCTTAGGTGAGAGTTGTTTGTTTCCAACTTCTATATACCAATTAGGGCAACAAATATATATATTTTTTTTGGGAGCAACCAATTAGGGCAACATTGCTAAGAAATGCAAAAGGGTTATTCTTTTGGGAGATTCACTAATATACCCAATATGGGGGGCCCAAATTATAAAAATACCCCATATAAAATGAACTTTATAAACACACCCAAAACTCATTTACAACATAACAAAGAGACTTTAACTTCTTATAAATTACGAAACTACCATAAATTTCTTAAAACAAGCCCAACTCCAAAATCTCATAAAAATACCCAAAACACTCAATAGGGCATTAAAGTAATTTAATAATCAATATTAAATTCAATAAGTCCAGCTGTCATTTTTGGGGGATTTTTTGGGTTTGTTTATAGAAATTCAATGATGGATGGTTTATCTATAATATTAGTGCTAAGAATGGGTATATCACTAAATATCTCTATTCTTTTTGGCAAACGAAAGGACCTTTTGACCATACATATTCTCCACTAGACTCATGTTTTTTGAGAGATAAAGAAATTCCACCTAACTACAAAGGTCAACGGTAGAGGATTTTTTATTAATATTCGTCCAAATACATGCCTTTTATTTCAGGAATAATATAATGTCTAATTTCTTATGGAATAAAACGTTATTAATTAGAGCTTCTGCAGGCAGACAGAGAAGATAATAAATTGTTAGAGACTATCGCAATCTTAAAACACTTCACACAATTTTTTGGGTGAGGGATCAATCACAATCTGTTTTTGACCCACAAAGGATCGCAATCTTTAATCAGCTTATCATACGGAGTCTGTTACTTCACGTTTTGCTGGCCACTAAAAACATACTTAATTGACTCACCCTTCGAAAAGACGGTAAATGTTTACTAGTTTCATAAGCACTTATTTAACTTTTTTTTAATCTTTTTTTGTTTGTTTTTACCAAGTAACCAAAGATAATGAGTCTTGGAATTTCTTATTATTTTCACAAAATTAATGATCTCAGGTTTGAACCCCAATGTCATATCCCCTCCCAAATTTTGACCAAAAAGTTATTATTACGCTTTTTTTTTCTTTCACAGATAGGTATATTACTCTGAAACGTATATGTATGTACAAAATTTGTAGCTATACTGTTGGTATATTAATGTAACCAAAATAAAAGTTTCAATCTCCAAGGATAACATTTTAGCTGCCCCTTTGTTTTGGTTTCTGAGTAAAAGATGCAGAAGCGGAGGAAAAGAAGACATCAACATTACAATTCCAAATAGTTTAGAGGGAGTTTTATTCTTATGTCCAATATATGGGCTCAAATTATAAAAAAAATTCATACATGAAATAGACATTAGAAACACACCCAAAACTCATTTACAACATAACAAAGAGGTTTTGAACTTCCTATAATTTACAAAACTGTCATCAGGTCATGATATTTAGGTAGAGATATTTAGTTCTAAACTAGATATTTAGTTAGATATTTAATTTCGAGTTTAGAACCAAAGAAAAGTTGGAGCCTGATACAGGTCATGAGATGAAGCACATTGTCCAACATTATGAGCCGCAAAGTTGCAGTACCTGGCCATGCTAAAGCTCTTTTGATACATCATTTTCCAAACCAGAAGAAGAATCTTGATTTTCTATGGAATTAATTACTTGAATTTAGAAATAACTTTGCAGCTTGGGTGATTGCTAAGAGAGCAGCCCTTGCTTCACCTAGAGTTGGATCAAATTTAATGGCAACAACAAAGTTCATCTTGAACCAATATATAATTCAGTTGGAGGAGACCATTTAGAGGGAGAAACAGGTTTAAAATGTTTGAAGCAAACAGAATGTAAGTTTGTCAATCAGGTCATCTGAGGAGGCTCATGGTCTTCTTGAACACTTATTGAGAACAAACCACACAAGATAGAATAAAATTTATGCAGAAAAAGTAACAAATCAGCAGCTTCAGTGCTGCTAATTCCAAAAGCAGGATATGGAACTAGTAAAGATTTGATCCACTTTGAGATGGTGGCTGGTGCAAGTAACTAGACCCTAATTGGCCAGACTTGCAGCCATATTATAACTACACTGTGGCTGAGGCCCTCAAAGCCAATAACCTCAAAGCATGATTCTGATTTACCTTTTTACCTAATCACAAGAGGTAAATGGGGTCTATAAATGCCTTTTACAAATCACAAAGAGATACAGATCCAATTACTTGAGTTCTCATCCCTGCCTTCCACTTCCACACTGATGAAACAAGTTTGCAGACTAATTATCTACTTAACTTCCAGATCACCCTTTTGAGCAAACTTGATTTGTTCACAGCTTCCTGTCAGTTTTGGTCACATTGAATTTTCTTGGAGTATTTTATAAATATAAATATATAGTCAGTGGGAGTTTTTCAAAGTCCCGAAGAAAAATGGTTAATGGGATGCAGCATCTAATCTAATTTATTAAGCAACTCATCTTCATCATCCCATATAATAATCTTATAAGATAATAAATCAGAAATTCATGATCATTACTTTTTCTTTTGTACTCAATAGGTTTGAGCTTTCATCTGGTGGTATATAGCTGCTTCATCTTGATCCCTCACCAAATCATTTGCATCTTTAAAGCTCCTAGGTGATATATTTGTGTTGACTTCTGCAGTGGTCCTGAATCTGATGCTTTTTCTACTAAGAAAAATGCAGGCTTTTGATGCTTCTTCCAGAGAAAAAAACAGTAAAAATTGGCCAATGGCTGATCAATTATGAATTGGTAGGCTTTATGCCCTATTAAGACAGGCATAACCTCTACTATGAGCATCTCATGATTCTATATCGTTTGCTTCTTAGTATGGCACCAAAAGAGCCCATTAATAAGGTTCCCCCAGACCATGATTCACTTAATATTTTTATGAGGCATTGTCTTTTCTCTCCACTTTTCCAACTTTTCAAATTCTTTTATTTATTTATCAATAAGATTCGAACTTCAAACCTCCTTCAACAAAGTGAAAACTGAATGCCACGAGACCAAATCATTTTGTGGTTACAAAGTAAAATTGCAATATATCAAAAACAAGTATATAGGTTATCTTTCAGCTGCATGGCAGCACCTCTCTATTTGTCCAACACACAGCCAATAAAATCTTCCCTTTTTATCGAAAGAAATAAATCTATTAACCTGAGCTGCAATGCAATACTTTTGTTTGCCTATCAAAACAAAAAATATCTGCAATATTCTTTAACCAATTAATGCTGGTCCAGGAAGTTGAATGATGTTAATTTAACATTTGCAGCAAATATGAATGCCTTTTTTTAAAATTTAAATAAATAAATAAATTTATGTTGAATGCTATATATTAATTTTTGGTCAGAATGTTGGGTGTCAATTGGCAGCAAGGCATTGAATTTCCGAAAAATCTGGTGGTGACATCTGTTTGCTACATATTAAATTCTAGGAAGGTCTGCATGTGATTATTGGTCCTAACATCATTAATCGTTAGTCAAATATATTGTTCTTGATCTAAATGAAGTAGGGTAGAGCAAAAATAGAACCTTTGTCGTAAATATTAAGATAAGTGCTTTATCATAAAGTCAGAAGTTTTCGCTTAAATCTTTGTTAATAAGTTTCGTGTTAAAGTTTCATAGCTGATGTGTAGCAGTGGAGCTGCCAATATTGAATGAGACTCAATTCTGATTTAGTAATTTAGTAAATGAGACTCAATTCTGCAACCAAAACTAAGAACTTCTGCACAATTTGTTCAATTTGAAATTTTGCTTTCCAGGGTTGTCTACTTCCTTCACTAAGCCACAAACTTTGTCGCTTACTTTGTAATTATTCTTGGTAAAATTTTACAAATGAAATTCAAAGGTTGAATGGACACTTTGTTCCATGCAATGGAATTATAGGATATTACTCAATGAGAAAAATTACATTTCACCAAAAGGTAAAAAAAATCTAGCTTTCTTCTCTTTTTTCTCTTCTTGTTAACTTGCTAGCTGATACTGATATGAGCCATTCACTGTTGCATTTGACCTGGTTCTTGAACATGACAGATACTTTTGTAATCGACAGATGGAATTCCCACATCAAGTTTACTAGTTCTGATACCACCAAATTGATTCCCAAATACTAAAAACGTATGCTATTCAAATCAATTTCCAAAAACAAACAAGAAAAAAGATATTTAGTCCGGCTTCAATAAATTATGCACAACTACAAACCAAAACAAGTCATGGCAAGAAAGTATGATATATAAAATTCCATAACATATATCCTTGTGACAGTGCAGACAAACTCCTTTTTTTAATGCAAGAAATACTGCATATATATGTAAGTGTTTGCTAGAGGTGGCCATCAAGTCAAGCTCAAGCTCTCTTACTTTTTGCAATGCCTAATTCATTTTCAATTTCTTCCCCTAAACTTGTCTTGTCCACAGGACACACTGCTGTGCAAGAAGCAGGGGCAACTGGTACTCAGAAGAAACGTACTGTTAAGGCTTAAATTTCTACTTCAATCTTCCAAAGGGTAACTGATAATACATCCATTTTTGTGGTTAAATCTTTCTTTTGATTCAACAATTATTGTTGTGAAAGTGGAGACTGAGTGTCACTAGGCCAAAAGATCGTTGGCTTTCACGACCATAATTGGTGTGATCATCTACTAACCAAGAGTTTTAATTCCCATTTTCACCATCTGGGATGTCTTTGTTTGTGTGAATAGATGATGGCAGAGCTTGTGGGCACATACATTCTTATATTTAGTGGCTGTGGGGCTGCTCTTGTCAACAATATACAATCTCTTACAATTGTGGGCATAGCACTTGTATGGGGTCTTGCTTTTACGGCCACTGCATATGCAGTTGGGCATGTCTCTGGTGCCCATTTCAACCCTGCAGTTACCATTGCCTTGGCTGCTGGCCGCAGATTTCCATGCACACATGTGAGACACTAACACCAAAGTTTGAGGGTTTCTTCATGAAATAACTTGTTTATAACATTTAATATAAAATGTTTTGCCTTTCCTTCTCTTAAAAACTTAGTAAACTAACTTGTTCTGAAATGGAAAAGATAAAGATAGAGTCGATATGTGAAACGATGTCTCATGTTCTCATCTTAACTTACATCTCCGACTCGATCTTGACTATACCACTGCCTTAACATGGTAATAACATGTTTGTTTTCTAAATTTTTATTGGATATGTAAACGGATAAGTCTTTTAAAGAAACCCAAAATTATTTAAGGGTGTCTCTAAACATTTTCAATTGCAACTTGGTTAAAATATGCTTGGTACTGTTGTGTAGGTACCTATGTATATCATGTCACAGTTGTCGGGAGCAACCCTAGCAAGCCTGACCCTGAGGCTGTTGTTTAACGACCAAAACAACATTCAAGCAACCTTGACTCAGTTCTCTTATTCAACAACTTACGTACAAGCCCTCACCTGGGAATTTATAAGCACTTTTATATTGATGTTCACCATTTGTGGTGTTGCTACTGATGACAGAGCGGTAAAATCATCTACTTTGTAGGCTTTGAATGATAGAATTTCATCAACCCACCCAAAAATATGTTTTGCTAACCCCAACAAGATCATCTTCTCCCTTTCATTTTGGTGCAAGAAAATACTAACCCTATATGTTTGACTGTCAAAAACAGAGCAAAAATATCTCTGGAATTGCTATAGGTGCTGCTGCTGTGTTTACTGTTATGGTTGCTGGGTAATTAACTCCTCAGTAAAAATCTAATAACTGATCTATTACCATAGCTTTGCATTTTACCTTCATTGTTATAGCACTAGTCTGCTGAGTTTTGTGACATTTTTTTATGCATTGGAATCTGCAGGCCTATCACTGGAGCTTCTATGAACCCTGCCAGAAGTTTTGGCCCTGCTACTGTCGCTGGTATTTATAAGAATATTTGGGTCTATACTGCGGGCCCTATTCTTGGAGCCATTGCCGCTACTATGGTGTACGGTGTTCTCAGGTACGGTGTTCTCAGGGTACCTACGCCGGTAGAATCTGATGACAGTGTTCTCCGGGCACCCACGTCTGTAAAATCTGATGAGAACGCCAGTGTCGTACACAATCCTGTTTACTCACGCAACGCTGATCTGATAGCCAGAACACTTGCACAAGTGTGAAGTTTAATGAGGGGTCTTGGCTATGCGCAAAATGTCACAAAATCACTCTGGTCATGCCAAATAAGATGTAGAACGATTCCTTATTTTTACTTTTAATAAGATTGCTCATATCCCCAATAGTAAAGAACTATCCCTATACTCACAGGCATATTCAATCGTGTAGTTCGTCTCTTTCGCATCAATATTGCATTAGGATGTAAAGATATTAGGGCAGGTACTTAGTGGGTGCAATTTCCATAACAGATCAGTAAATTTCCAAACCTACAACAAAGTGTGGATACATAGCATACGTTATAAGTATCTGCTACCAATAGAATGAGAAAGCAAAAACCTGAGTTTATTCAATGACTACATATCTTATTTCACTCTCTTCCTTTATAAGTACAACATTGCTATACAACAGAGCTGCATTATGGTAGAACAAGAAAAAAGAAGAAGAAAAGGATAGCTAATAAGTTGCCTGTATTAATTAGAAAATATCACACACTGGAGGTCCACCGCTGTTTAAGGTCACTCGTGGCCAGGAGAACGGGTTGGAAGGTCAATGTGGAAGATATGTTCAGCTTCCCCAAATCCATTTGATGGCGTGCATCACTTCACCACACCACACTTTTTTTTTCCTATTTGCATCTATATGTTTTACCTGTAAAAGAAGAAAATTAGGAGTGAAAATGAGGCAGCCAGCGTACGAATATAAACATAAACTCTCAAACAAATAGGCATTCACTTAATGCTTTGTGATACATCGTTTTAGAACTTAACAACTCAAGAAATTTAAGTAATACACCAACAGACCCAATTCCATTTTGGGATATGTCTCAAAGCTAAGCTTCTTAACTGCTTTAGACAAGAGGAAGGTTTTAAAAAGTCTGCTTGGTGAATTGTTCAAAAGTTCTTACCCAGTTTGAGATAGCCGCCTCCAATTCATTATTTGGTGAGACTGTGGATGTCTTTGCAAGTAAGAACTTGTTCCAATGCTATTGTCATCACTCGCAAACTGCTCTGAGTAGCTAGAAGTTGAAGGAGACCAGACTGGAACTACACCTCCATCCCTCTCTCTCCTACTGCTACCGGAAGATTCTGCAGTGGAATCTTCAATAGCATGTTGCAGCCCTATTGCGGCATTTCGTTGTGGCAGAGTGTTGTTACGAATAGTCCGCAAAACCCCTTGGTTTAAAGTGTCTCTTCTTGGTTCTTGATTCATCATCTCATTCGTAGGCACTTCTCCTCTGGTTTCTTCCACCAAATTTCGAATATCCAATGAACTTTCTTCCTCTTCAACTCTCACCAAAGATGTAGTTATGCTTGGGACCATCTGATCTTCATACCTTCGAGTGACAGGAAGGTTGTTCCTCACGGGTTCATAATTTTCCTCCATTTGTATGTCTTGAGGAAAGGCAATTGGGGTTGATTCAGAGGAATCTCCAAGCCCTTCTTCAGTTCCATTTTCAACAGCAGCTCTTGAAGCAGCTTCGTGCTGCCACATCTCTAATAATGCTTCTTGCAACCTGGTTTTCGCCGCATCTATTCCTACAATAGGGAGAGGGTAATTCGATCCTAATTCAATTCCAGCTGCTTGGAGTACAGATTCTGGTGCATTCCATGGGTGGTGTATCCATTCAGTTGGAAGTCTGGCAAGTTCAGGAAGCCACTTTCGCACATATTCTCCATTTGGGTCAAATTTGTAACCTTCAAACTGTAGAAATCAAATCAATATGAGATTTTTTATTACTGAAACTCGATCAACTAAGAGTGGTAATATTGCATTAATCCCCTCAAACAAAGAGGAGCATGAATCAATTATCAACTTTCATAACTGTATAAAAAATTGCATCTGCACTCAATACTTCAGGACACAAATATAGCTAAAAGTGAAGAAACATTAAATAAACAAAGTTTTTCAACACAAGATTTTTGCAGGTTTTCATGTATGATTTGACAGTCCATGTGTGAAAACAACTCCACGAGCTTCGTTTTTAATACTTTAAAGAGCAGCATGTCAATGTCCATAAAAAGCAAAAACCCCTATATTCATCAATACTGTAGACCAAAGATTCCTAAGGGGTACTGTTGATGACCACCAATTACACTGCCCTTATAAACCTAGTAGCCACTACTGGTGGGGCCTTTCAGGTGAGGCATCATATGGAGTGGAATCAAGGCAGAACTATGTCTCCCAGGCTTTTGAGAAATTGCTTCTTATGAACAGTCATGGGCACTGACAAACAAGGTGCACTAGATTCTATTCATTATTGATGACCCTTGATGAGGGACACTAGAATATCGAGCTGAAACTATATATCTAATATTCGAAAGCCAGAATTGCAACATATGAGTAAAAAAGCATGGATAAATTTTTTGCCTTGTAAAATTTAGAGCTGTGTGTGTATGTTTGTGCAGAAGCACGGTCTAAAATTCAAGATAATCAGGCTCAACATTCGCACCTGTGGATTATCTATGCGGTCAAATTCACGACCATCGGGGATAGTACCAGATATATACTGCCAACCAAGAGCATCACTTTCAAGATCAGCATCTAAGAGTGTATCCCAGAAATACTTCATTCCCCACCTCCATGGAAGCTGCAGAACCTTTACAAAAAAACTAGAAACTACTACTCGTATACGATCATGCAGCCAGCCTGTGGCCCACAACTCTCTCATGCCAGCATCCACCAATGGATAGCCAGTTCTACCTTGCCTCCATGCCTTAAAATAGCTCTGATTTATAATCCAGGGGAAGAACTTTAGGTGCCCAAGAAGAGGTCTTTCGTGACTGTAAGGATGATTAAAACTAATGTATCTTGAATATTCCCTAAGACCAATAGACTTCAGAAACAAGTTCACACTCTCTTCACCAGCCTTGTTGCCTTCATTGGCCCAAAGAACCTGCTTGATGCGAACAAGATGAAATGCTTTCCTCACACTTACCTCCCCAAAATGCAAATGGGGAGAAAGTAATGATGTTGTGGCACCATCAGCCTTCCTGCGGTTTTGAGAGTACTCAAGTAATGGTCCATTTATAAATGTGGTCAGAGCCTTATCAGCGTTGCTCCACCCAGGTGACCATGCTCGAGCAAGAAGCGCATTGCTTCCCTTCTCTGATTCATCTTCAAAAACCAATGTATCAGAAGGGCACCTTGATGTGTCACCTGAAAAGTTCATGAACTTTCAAATGTTAATCTAATACATGAACTGAAAGGTGGTTCATGAAAGTATTACCTGAAATTCTTGTAGAAAAAGTACACATACTGGAGGACATATATAAATATCATGAGGCCTATCAAGGCAGTGACATGACTCCAGCACCAAAATATTTGTAGAAATATAAACAGGATGGGAAACAGGATGAGAAACAAGATGGGACATAAAATACAATAAGATGCTTGATGTGTATTGACATTGAATACAGTTGAAGTACAAGAATAATTTGAATGCAAATAAACCTGATATAATTCTCTTAGGGGGGAGAAGCGGTGCATCTGGGTCATATGGCATGCTAAGGCATCTTCCCCAAAAAGCATCGAAGGTGGTGAACGGGCAACCATTGACATCATTAACATCCCATGGTTCGTAGAGCAAATCCGCATTAAAGGAACGTACAGCTATGCCTTGAGCAGTTAAAACCTCCTTGGCCCGGTGATCCCTAACCAGTGATATAGGATCTGAAATATAAAGATAGCACTAAGCATTAAATTGCAAAAGCTTTGTTACTTTGATTTCCACAACCGTGTAATGGAAATACAAGAATTAACTAAATGAAGAACAGAAGGATCCTTAGACAGAACACACACGCTCTGTTCCTTGTAACTAAAAATGTTGATAGTTAAAAAATTCTTCTTTTTATACTTTAAAAAATTCAAATAGGCTTAATAAACAAATCATAACTGAATCTGTTCCCACTGTTGGTGAGAAAGGACCACTATACTACAAACAATCAAATAGCATTTTTGCCCCAATCAAGAAACCTCAACACTGTCAACAGCTACTGAATAGTAAATCAACCAAAACAGGAACATGGCAGGTAATTAATCAAATACTCAAACAATTCAGCCAGACATCAAAGCACCAACCTTTTTGAATTTGATAAGAAAACAAATTGAATTACTTTTGAACCAATACTACAGATTTACATGCCAAACCAATAAATTTATTGAACTAGCCCCAAACCCAGAAGAGGAGAGAAATTCAAAACGCCTATAGAAATCAGAATCATCCCTATATTCAAGACACAAAAACCAGATCATTGAAAAAGAAGACATCTTTAAAACTATTGTAACAGATAAGAATTAAGAAAATTGGTGTAACAGATAAGAACTGACCATATAAGTGGTTGAAGAAGAGCTGAGTGGCACCAGTGGAAATAACAACCTCAAGAAGAGAAGAAACACTGTCAGTGGACCTCTTGGTGATGAGAGATGTGCCCAGACTTCTCAAAGAGGAATCAAGATGAGCCAAGCTGTGTTTGAGCCACCATCTTGACACCCTTCCAGGGTAATATGGGCCTTCTTCCTCAGGTGCCCAAATAAAGACACAAACCACACTTCCTGCTCTCACTCCAGCAGCTAAAGCTGGGTTATCTTCCACCCTCAGATCTCTCCTGAACCAGACTACACTGCATCCACCACCTGACATCCCCAAAAACTATTTCACCAACCAACAAAACCCAGCACAAGTATTTTCTATGTCAAGCTAATATACCATCTGACATATCCTTCTCTCTCTGTCTTTCTCTCTCTTTGAGCCAGGGGGGTTGTAATTAATCTTATCTTTTGCTCTGTTTCTCATACTTTAGAGTTTTATGAGGATGGGAATTTAGACCCAACAGGAAAAAAAAAAAGTTCATTTCTTTTTCAGGAGTGAAAGATTTGATTTTTGCCCTTATCTTTTACTTTTCTTTCTTATTTATTTATTCCTAATTTTTTGGATGAAATTCTCCCCCATGCAATTTAGGCTAGTTGCTACAAAAACGCCTTTTGGGCACAGAGAGAGAGAGAGAGAGAGAGAGAGAGAGATGGGCTGGGGGGCTGAAGTGAGTGAATACGATTGGTTCGTGCCAATGGAGTGGGTGGTGGACAAGTTACAACAAATTGGTAGGCGAACTGCAGCCACAACTTTTATTTTCTATATTTTTATATTTCTCTTATCTTATTATGCAACAAAACAAATCCCCATCCACCTCTCTAGTTCCTTCAGGGTGGAAAATATTTCTTAGCTTGCTCGGCGAATTTCTTTAATAAATTAATTTTTTTTTAGATTCATATGCAACCTGACATCGAAGATCTAGTTCTAGAGGTCATTGAGTTGGAAACCTTGACTCATTCTTTGTTGAGAGAATCTTATATCCGGAAGTTAAAGTTTAGCATAATAATAATATTATGAATTTATTTCCATTGTTAATTAATTTTATATTGAATATTTTGAGAAAATATTATATCGGGGCGTTAAAGTTTAGCATATTAATTTTCATTGTAAGTTAATTTTAAATTGAATATTTTAATTTTCTTATATTCAGACATTACATTTAGCATAACAATAATGTTATGGATCTTTATTTCCAACATTATTTAATTTTATCATAGTAAAATTAAGAAAAGTATTTAAGTCGATTACTAACAACAACATGAATTTATGAGTAAGTTATCGATATAGGACTTTTACATTATTCAACACGTCAAATACATATCCGAAAAAAGAAATGTCTTGCTTAGTGTTTAATCACCATCATTTGTCATTTCACTTTGAATTGTCAAGCTTGCTTTATGCAGATAAGTTAAGCATAACTATGTCTCTAGTCTAATGCAACCAGTCTTAGTCGTGATTTAGGGTTTTGCTACTTGGGGAGAGATTTTGTTTCTATAATTAATCATTCATCTCATTGTCTCAACTTGGGATTGCACAATTGGCAGCTTGGATTTTTTAAGGGGACATCTGGCATAGAGAGATAGGCATGCAGCATGCTGACTCTTTGCATTTTGGTTTTTTTCTCTTTAGTTGGGCTAGTCCTTTTCTTTTCTTTTTTTCTCTTGATAAAGCTTATTCATATCATAGTGGTCAGATTCCATTCATGCGTCACTGTTGGAAGTGAATTGTGATGTGGCGCTCAAACAAATTCCATTTTCTAATGCATCATTTCCAACATTACATTTCTTCTTCTTCTTGTTTTTTTTCTTTTTTACAAAATTTAATGTATTTTATATTTTCTATAAATAGTTTTTTAAATTTAATTTCTGCACAATAAACTTTGTTGATAAATTTATGTACAGTAATTTATAACTGGATTACATACCCACCAAAAAATAATAATATTTGGATTCCAATAATAATATCCAAGAATTATTTCAACAAATCTCTTTGGAGGTCCACTGATAGCTCGTGCCAAGTTGATGGTTTGGTTGTTTCGCAACGTTACCCAAATTTAAGAGTAATTCTAGTAGCATCCAAAAAACTGGTCACTAAATCCAGTCTAGTTATTTTTCTCACAAACACAAATTTAGAAAATTAAACTTTTACCACCACACCTTACTATATTACGAAAAGGCACCCTGGAATAATTAATTATATGATCCTTTAAAATTTACAAGAAGAAAATAGTTATTGACCGAAATAGTCCCCCAACTATTGCTCTAGTATCATTTTAGTCAACCAACTAAAATTTTTATTTCAATGGTCCTTCAACTTTTCATTTAGTATCAAAACGGTCCTACCGTCAAAATCTGTCAATTTTAGGGTTAAATTGAGGGGTAAAACCGTCCATATAAACTAAATACCATCTCAGCTCTCCCCTTCCCCCAGCTCTCCTCTATTTTTTATTCTCTCGTCTACAATAACATGTTACATAAGCAGCAACCAACACAATTTTTGAAAACGAAATCAAAGAAGTAGAGTGTGTTCAACATCCCTCGCTCTTGAGTTTTGGGCGATATCATTTCCTTAATTTTTTGCCCAAATTAGAATCTTGAGGCTTGGGGCTGGGGCTATGGGTTGCGGCTTGCGAGTAGGGATGAGGTGGTCAGGTCGTGAGGGAAAATAAGCAGAGGGGTGTGTTGGGGGAGGTTGCAGAGTTAGGGATGAGGTGGTCAAGTTGTGAGGGAGGATAAGCAAAGGGGTATGTTGGGGGAGGTTGCAGAGTTAGGATGTGAGGTTGTGTTTTTGAATAAATATGGGTTTGTTTACTCTTTTAAAAAATTTGTTATTTTATTTTTGTATTTATTAATTTAAACAATAGATAATTTGTTTAATTAATCGTTAGGTCTATCTCACGGAAGAAAAAAAGAAGAAAAAAAAAAGCCATGTGGCTTGTGAGATTCAATTTTTCTAATTTTTATAATAATTTCCTTTAATTTTTAATTATATATTACTATTTTAATTCATAGAGACATTTTTACCCCTTAATTTAACAATAAAATTGACTGACTTTAACGGTTGGACCGTTTTGATACCAAATGAAGAGTTGAAGGACCATTGAAATTAAAATTTTAGTTGGTGGACCAAAATGATACTGGAGCAATAGTTAGGGGACCATAAAATTATCTCTCCTTCTCCCTCCGATTCGCCCTCCTTTCTTCCCTATTCACCTCCCCGTAAATTTAGAGCGTCATAACTCATGAACTTCTTTTCATTAAGTTTAAAAGAAATTATGAAAATGAAAAGAAATAAAGGTAAAATAGTTCATTTCAATAAGTCATTGGGGTTAACTTAAGTGGTTCAGATAAGATTAGGTCAAGGTTTCATTCCCTCAATTGTAACAACAACAAAAAAAGTTTCAATAATTCGGCAGACCAAATTGTCACTGAGTTTTTTATTTTATTTTTTGGGATGCGAAACAAAATAGTTTAGTACCCAAACTAACCCTAATTGCGTTTAAAAGTGTGCTCAAAATAAGCAAAGAACTCAGAAAGAATAGATTGGACTTCAACAATAATGTTTTGTAGATAAGGTGTTTTTAACCTAAATCAATCTTGTCATAATCTATATGCACAATGCAATCCCACTAATCAGTTTGGGATGCCATTTTAAGCAGTGCGTAATAGGAATATTTATGCAAAATTTAAGCCCATTTTATGCCAAGCCATAAAATTTGAAAGTGGTGATTGGTGAGTGTCATTATTTTCCCGTACAGACTTTGAAATGAATTAAATTTAGACAAAATCGACGTGATGTGTATTGATGGTTTCTCCTCACACTCACATGTCAAGTCATAATATTCATGGAAGACCAAACTCCCCGACTCCCATTTTTCAGTCCTCCTTTCCCTCTGCTAGCCTCGGCTCTGTTGATTTTGAATAATACTTAGAACAAGAAGAAAGAAAAAAAGAAGAAAAAAAAAGAAGGGTAATGTCTTGAATAAGAGAAAGACACTTTAGAAATAACAAACTCAATTTGATTATGCTGTTAGCTATGGAAGTGTATCTGTCATCTTGCACTCAAGTTTGATCTCCTTTTTTCATAAGTTATTTAAATAATCACTTTAGTATATTTATTTATTTATTTATATACGCGAAGTCTAAACACAGGTTCGGAAAAAGAAAAGAAAAAAAGTCTAAACACAGGTCATCTATGTTAAAGCCATTACATCGAATTAATTAGAAGTTCATACAAAATCCCCTTAAGCAGTGCATGTAGTCAAAACTAACTTTTTGGAACCCTTTTGTCAACTCCTTAATTGGCTCTAACTATAACTAGGTTGTCTACAAAATTGAATGCCTCCGCCACCAAATTTATTATTATTTTTTCAAAAAGGTCAAAAAATAAAACAGAAACTTGAACATGAGACCTGTTCTTGTATGAATCATCACAATTTGATTAGGGGACTGAATCCAATTAGGGATGGACGTGCTCTAAACAAATTACTTATGCAAGAAATTACAGAAAGAAAAAGAGAAAAGTCACGAAGTTGATGATGGATCAATAATTTAGAGCTTGATGCCTGCATCATGAAGGAGGAGGCGGCATTGGTGCTGAACAAGCACACAGCAAAACTCCTCACCAATTACACCAATCTGTGTCCAAAAAGGAAAAACAAACTCTGGACAATGTCACCTTTTTGGCCCAAAATGAGTGCACATGTCATGTGTGCCCTAGCAGCTACTGACAAGATATGATGATAGTCGTTTGCAAGGACCCTTTTCATCTCTAACCTCTCTCTCTGTCTACCAACCAAGCATCAACGCATGTATGATGTATCAACCAGAAACGGTTGATCTGCCATTCAATCATTGAAGAACATATTGGCTCGTGATTAGGGGTAACGGAATTGAAAGATTGGTTTGGTTAGTAACTTATTAATTGATTTGCCTATGGCCTTTACCAAAAATCTCAGTTTACTCCTTGACTTTGCAACTGGGTCAATGTGCCTCATGTGCTTTTATCTCGTGTCCTATGTGCCCTCTTCCATAAATTTTCTCAATAAAACCATTAACTTGCTGATCTGAAAATATAACTATTAGCATGTGCAAAATTTCAACACCAGCACATTAATTTTTCATTTATTTCTTCTAATCACATGTGTTGAAAACAGAAAAAGTTACTACATTGATTTCTTCTAATCAGTGATGTTGGGGATGAGATTTGGAGATGGGATCTGGATGATGATGATGATGGTGACAACCGCAAGGGTGGGTGTGGCTTGTTGTGGAGCTGCGATGGGGTGGCTGGGGAGGGGTCGAAGGTGGCTGTGATGGGATGGTTGGGGAGATGAGGGAGGAGGGGCTGCTGGATTCTTTTAAAAATATTTATTCAAAAACCCATTTTAGCATGGCATATTATACAAAAACCCATATAGAACCTATTTGGAGAGAAAAACCCAAACTAACAACTTGTCATTTTCTAATTGGTTGTGTTAAAATTTTGGGACATTTTGGAAAATGCCAAAGGAGAGAGAAATATTTTTAAAAAAGCAAAAAGGGACAAAAATGCCCTTATTTATTTTTTGATTTCCTAAGGAATCTTTTACATTTGTATGTCTTTAATTTGAAAGTTAAGGAGTTTTTTTGTCTTTTTAAGAAATTTTTTAGCTTTTTCCAAAAGTGAAAGTTTTTTTGTGGCTAAAACATAAATTTAGTTAAAATATTATAACAACCAATTAGAAAATGACAATTGGCTAGTTTTGAATTTTTTTCTTCTTCCAAATAGGTTTTATAAGAGTTTTTGTATAACATGTCATATTGGAATGGGCCTATTTGTGATTTTTTTTTTTTTTTTTTTTTTTTTTTTTTTTTTTTTTTTTTTTTTTTTTTTAACTTTTATTATTTTTATTTTATTTATTATATACAATTTCTTCTTAAAATGTGTTTAAAAAAAATATTTTTTTTATATTTTTTAATTTACACAAATTAATAAAATGTCTATGCCACATTAGCAAGTTAACAATGTCAATGATCAAATTGATAGAATGGGACAATTTGAGACACGAAATAAAAGCACATAGGGCATATTGACCCAGTTACAAGGTCATAGGTAAATTGAGATTTTCGATAAAGCTCTCAAGGGGCAAATCAATAAATAAACCTAAGTTAATTGCTATGTAAAATTATAAATGGCTTATTAGGAAGTAGTAGGGTGGACACATTCTCATTTGGATTGGTTTCATCGAAAAATCGTTAGGTGCGATCTGGTTCAATTTAAACTAAAACTAATAGAGAAATCGTAGTTTGGTTTTGACAATTTGAGCTTAGACTCAATACTTTTATTTTTATTTATTTTTATTAATCAATTATTGATCCAATCTTGCTAGCAGGAGAGTTGAACTTTGATTAATCATCTATCAAATCACAATTGTTGTTGAAAGGTCAGCTCAACCTTACTAATAATTGTGTACCAAATCTAAAATGCTCCAAATTCTTTTGATATTTTGTACTGCTTCTGTCCCCTTGCATTTTGTTTACAAGCTGGCAGGACCACCCCTCTTAAAACCTACAAATTTGTTTATTTTATTTTTCATCTTCTACCAAAAAAGCTAACCTAACATAATGTAGAGATGTCTACATTCCTACTACAATTTTTTAGCTAATCAAAATCTCATTCCATCCTTGTACCTATTTATTATCACTCATTTTTGCGCTGCCAATAGAGGTGCTTAACATTGAAATCAAATTATTAGCTACATTATTTTGCTGAAGAGATTTCAAGTTCAAATCTCCATATTTAGATAAATAAAATCAAATGAGATCGATTAAATCATTCAAGCAATTCAATTCCACAGATTTCAATTATGTTATTTCTTATGAGTTCCGATAAAAATCCAACTAAACCGAACCAATCTAATTATATGTATATTTTTAGGACACATTTGGTAGACCGGATTAGGACATGGATTAGACTATTTACCAATGAGACCTGGATTAGGTAGGCTTAGTGTGGTCCTCTTAATTAAGTCCAGCCCAAATTAAGACCCAAAAACACGGGAGCACCAGGTCTGCGTCTTCGTCGTTTCAACTGTCAAATCGTCGAGCTTCGTCTTCACCAAATCTACAATTTTTGCTCAAAATCATAAGTAGGTACGAGTACTCATCGCTTTAAATATCAGCCTCTCAGATAATTCCCCAAATACCCATTCACTAGAAGGCTTCCTTATTCCCAAGTTTCCTTCGTATCTAACCAATTTCTGTTTCTCTGCTTCGAATTTTTGTGGGGTTTTGTTCAATCGTAGTTTGAAGAGGAGCAGCTGCCAAAATCTGAGGTATCCTTTTCTTTCGAATTTTTTATTTAATTTTTTAATTTCAAATCCTATCAGTGATGTTAAATTTCCTCTTACATAAAGCGTTTAAATGGGCTTTTCAAGGCCCAAACAATTTTATACCCAACAAAGAGTTTTGTGCAGTCTCTTTTTCTCTGGAGAAATTATAGAATGATATGGTATCAACACATCAACTGATGATACTTCCACTCATATATTAACACGTGTCTTTTTATCCTCTAATAATTAAATTATTTTCCAGCTAGACATTAGGTTTCAATTTTACCCTTTAGAACAAAATTAATACAAAAAAAGAAAGAAAACGACTGCAGACCTTGGCTGCAGTGCCTCTACCCCCTTGCTGCTGCCCCCTCCCCTTCTTTTCCTTCATCTCTCTCTCTCTCTCTCTCTCTCTCTCTCTCTCTGAGAATCACTTTATTTAATAGTTGGCTTTTACCATCACATTCCAATCAAGAATTTCTTGGGGCCTTTAGGTTTAGGACTGCAGACCTTTCTTGGATAAAGAGAACTCGGATCTGGAGGTTGTGAGGGAGATGAAAGCAACCTAGATAAGGAGATTGAAGGATTGGGGAAAGGAATACAAACAGGGAGGGACTGTGAACTGGACGGAGGTGGGAGGGACGACTTGGCGGAGGGGGCTACGAACTGGACAGAGGTGGGAGGCTGTGACAGTTATTTTTCTCTTTTAATTTTGATGAAGGGTAAAATTGGAACCCAAACCCAATGTCTAGCTGGCAGTATAATTTTTTTTTTTCTCTCCTTTCTCTGGGTCACTCACGTTTTGAACTTTTTCCGGGTCCCATAGGAGCCCCTCTTCTTTCTCTATTTCTTTTAGCTTGCTGCTGTCGCGCCGGAGCTGCTACTACGCGGTTAGTATTTTTGATTCGTAATCACTCCCGCAGAAGTTTATGCTTGATTTCATGATGTTTTTCCCTTCAATTCTACATATTTTCTATAAAGAGTTTACTGGGTTTTCTTAGATCAACTGTACCAACTTGATGGAGTGCGTGGTTCAGGGAATTATAGAAACACAGGTAAGTACTTTGATAATGTGGGGTTTGGGTTAGGCTTACATTTTGTTATACAATTTCTGGAAATGCCTCTAAATTCTGATCACTTGATGGCACATCTGTGTATTGCTGCTAGGGGAGAAAGATTGAATCTTCTGCTTAGAGCTCACTTTTTGACACATATCTTCTAACCATGTTTACCAAATTGTTCATTTGAGGTTAATATGCGAGAAAGGAAGAAAATCTATATTTGGTTTTTTATTGAGTAGTTTTTGTTTTCTTGCATGTACAAGTTATTCATGATTATGGACTCTATTTTGTTCACAATTTTAAATAGATCCCTAAAAGAAACCCTTTTCCCCCATCTGTGGGTAGTTTCTGTAGCTGCATCTAAAATATGGTTTTCATTTGCAGCATGTTGAGGCCCTTGAGATTCTTCTTCAGGGTCTTTGTGGTGTTCGCAGAGAAAATTTGAGGCTCCATGAGATATGTCTTAAAAGTGGCCCGAACCTTGGTAATTCAATTCTTTTTATCTTTTCATATTGAGCTGTGTGGCTAGAATAATATGCACATTTTCTATACAATTAAGCCAAAGTCAGAATAGTCAATTCTCCTCTTTTATGGACTCATTTAAAGAGATGTTGAAAGCCTTCCCTGGTGTGCTTAAATAAATGTTCATAGCAGCCCGTTATTTTTTTAATCTGTTTGGTACTTTTCCTCTGTGACTCTTAAGTTCACATTTTTTCATTAATAACCTTGATGCGATGGTTAGATGGATTTTTTTGAAGATTTTTATAATTAGCAACAGTGTTATATTGTATTGATTGCTGCAACAACTTGTGGTCTGGTTCAGTATATATCAGCTGAATAGCACAGAAATAAATTATTTTGTAGGCCGTTCTAGTAATTTTCTTCCTTTCTATAGGGGCTGTAGCTTCAGAGGTTCGACTTATATGCAATCTTGAGCAAACTGAACCAACATGGTAAGACTTAAAAACCTGCCTTGTCATATTTGTTAACACGAGGGAATTTGTGTTTCACACATACATATGATTGTATCTATGCCAAATTCTGAATTCTGTAGGACCGTAAGGCATATAGGAGGTGCAATGAGAGGTGCAGGTGCTGAGCAAATTTCAGTTCTAGTAAGAACCATGGTCGAAAGCAAAGCAAGCAAGAATGTGCTTCGCTTATTTTATGCGCTTGGCTACAAGTTGGACCATGAGCTTCTGAGGGTGGGATTTGCCTTCCATTTCCAGAGGGGCACACAGATCACTGTGACTGTGTCATCAGTTAATAAGATGCTACAACTGCATGCCACAGATGAGGCTGTCCCTGTAACTCCCGGGATACAGTTGGTAGAAGTGACAGCCCCTGCTACATCTGAAAACTATACTGAAGTTGTAGCTGCAGTATCATCTTTTTGTGAATATCTTGCACCGTAAGTTTTTTTTTCCCCTTACTTTTTTATTTATTTATAAAAAAGCATTAAGGCCCACATACCTACACATAAGCTTGTTGATCTATGCCTCATGGCTAGGGGTCCCTGTGGTCCACGCTTGAAAACCGAACAGACTAGTCCATTTTTGTCTTGCATATCTAGTGGCTGGATATCCTCTATCATCTTTTTCATAAATAATTCTTCATTGGGTGATCCGCGACAGTCCAAAGGGTCCCAATTGAATATTTCTTGCACTGTTGTTGATCATATTATAAATGACGAGGCATTCAATAGTGCATATAGATTGCATATAGGAAAACTGATTTTAAGGTTTATGATGACTATATATTGAAAATTTGTTTACTTGACAACATATTCATTCACCTGGAATTGATTTCTCAGGCTCCTGCATTTGTCAAAACCGGGCATTTCAACTGGGGTTGTTCCTACTGCTGCTGCGGCTGCTGCATCTCTCATGTCAGATGGTGGGGGTACGACCTTATAGCAGAAGTTGTAAATTGCTTTGATTTAAGTATCTCATGTCAATGTTGAATGATATATATGTATCATCTATAGCAATCAGAACTGCTTGTCAAACTTCATGTTAATTCCCCAAAGTAGTTTTTCCATAACTTGAACTTTAGATAGTTGTGTTAGTGACAGTTCCTTACATGTAGTCGTGATCGTCAATGACAATCACAGCTCTCTGTTTTCCATAGGCAATCTATTCAATACCGAATGAAACATTTAGTATTTGCTAGTTAAAGGATCAAAGGCTAAACTAGCCTGTAAAAAATGTCAGCCCTAGATCATTAGGAGTGTTGGCATCGAGTAGGCACTGCTGGAACAGTTGACTAAACCCGTCTTGGGATGATGCTAAAAAACTAATTATGTTTCATAAATGAAACCCAGTTAATGATATTGTATATGCAGGCCTCCACTTTGTTGCCACTGACTTATTAGCACTTACTACATTTCCACTCCAAACCACTTCATCAAGATCCCATTGCATTGCATTATTGCACTGCTTTTTATTCGTCTTTTTTGTATTTTTCTAGGTGAAGAGTTGAGTTCCTAGAGTAGCATCCCAGAGTTCCAATAAAGCCTAGAATAAAGGAGGTAAACATATTTACACAGATCATACACACTGATGATCAGAACCATGAATAAGTGCAGTCTTAAACTTGTTTCAATATGATTTGATTTATTCTGCTTGAAAGAAAGATCCCTGTATTTGTTAGTTGCCACTTGTAGCCACCATTTCCATGCATTGTTTGGACATTAAAAAAGTCTTGTTGAACATGATTAATTGTCATGACATAAGAAACGTCCTTAACATGATCGTCATGACATAAGAAACGTCGAATGGTGTACAACCATGGGATGGGATTAGGTGGTGAAATTTATTTCTTTGAATTGGGAAAAAGGGAGGAAGAAACCTAATCAACCTTCATTTTCTATGTTGCTTTGACAACCATGACCAACTATTTAACTGCAAGAATCAGGTTGAGTTAGTGTCGCTGTCAAATTCGATGCAAGTAAATGACATGACACAAACACGGCATAACTCGGGTCCTACCACCAATGTCTTCAGAACAGCTTACCAATGCAGGATGCATGTTTGAATTATGTTTTTATGTGTGCCGCTTAAATTAACGGTCAGAAATCGCCCACACATAATTGATTTTAGCGAAATTATATTATTTGTTTATCTCTCACTTTACATCTCTCTCTCTCTCTCTCTCTCTCTCTCTCTAAAAAGAAGACTAATTGCATAGCCACAATCTACTAATTACAAGATTCCCCAGCCACGCTTGTTTACCTGCGATCAAAGTAGACCTTATTATAGTCGTGCCTTGCCAGGATCATGAGTTCCCATATTTGCTTTGACTAATACCAATATGATATATCACATTATGATGTGAATAAAGTATATTCCATGATATTTTTAGTCCCAAATAATGTACATATAATACAATGCACATAAACATATATAAGATGTGTACGTGTACAAATAAATGTACGTAGATATGCATTACATCACACATATCTGTATGTCGGTATCTACACATGCAAATGCATGGAATAAGCAAGAATTAATAATGATCAACGACAAAGGCAGCAACCACCAAATCTTTCTCAATCTATGATAGTAATTAACTAAGAATCCCTCAACCATAATTGGCGTCCTCAAGAAAGAGTTCAGGCCAGTAGGAAGAAGAACCACTACTTCTACCTCCATAGCTTGAAGTGCTGCAGCAGACATCTCCTCCCGGGTTGCTAATCGACATCCCGGTCATAGTTGGAGGAATAGAATTAGGAGCAGGAGACAGAAGATTATCAAACCATGGAGAGTCATCATGATCATGAGGTTGGTTATCTTCTTGGCTGACCATTGTATAGTTGGAGCCCATTTCATGATTGCTATTCAAAGATGGTAGAGAACTGAAAGGGACTTGTGGGTCATGAGGCAGTAGGCTTTGATGGTGGAGTGGTTGAGAAGTTCCACCGTATCCAAGAGAAAATGAGCTAGGATTTTCCAGCTGAGATGAATTTAAAATTGGGTTTTCTTTGATAGAAGGAACAAGTGAGTTCAACAAATTGAAAGCCTCCATGTCTGTGTCAGCTGTGTTTCTGTTCTGGCTATAATTCTCACCACTGCTTATATAGGCTACGGATTGGAGCAAATGCTGCATGTATTGAAGCTTGGCCAACTGAGCAGCTTGATCTGCTTGTAATGTTGCAGCATGCTGATCAATATCTAACGGCTGATATTGCTGCATGAGGTCCTGCAGGTTTGCCAGGGCCAGAAGCTGAGACAAACCGGAAAAGAGATCGGTTCTTGGTTGATGGGTCATTGGATCAAAACCCATTTGGATCAGCTTTTTCTTCAAATGGGTGTTCCAGAAATTCTTGATTTCATTGTCAGTTCGGCCATCTAGGTGTGTTGCAATTGCTGACCATCTTGTAAACAAAAGCATAGATATATAAAGAGTAAGTTCAATAGTCAAACATATTGAAAATTTGATGGGTTTGGTCGTTGAAAAAAAGAGATTGGATTAAAGACTTACTTGTTTCCAAGGATAGAATGGAGATGTAGAATTGTTTGCTCCTCATCTTCAGTAAATTTGCCTCTTTTGATATCAGGTCTCAAGTAATTTGTCCATCTTAACCTACAACTCTTGCCACATCTGTTGAGACCTACAAAAGAGAAAACCATAGCAATTTAAATCAAGCTTTTGTGTTTTTGTTTGGTTACAAGGCGGGACGAACCCGAAAAATAAAACAGTAACTAGCAAAGAACACTTTGGACTGACACCGGCCTTTAAATCAAGCTTTCAGAGATAGTTTTAAACCAACAAATCTTAATGACATGTGAGGGGTAGTCTTAACGTGAGCTTAAGCTGGTAAACCAACCAAATTTATCAACAAAGAGAGGCTTTGATTAAGCAAACCTGCAAGCTTTGGAAGAGCTCTCCAACTTCCATGGCCATGTTCTTCAATGTACTGCACAAGCTTTTGATCCTCTTCTGGAGTCCAGGGTCCTTTCTTGAGGCCACTTTCATCACAACAAGGAGATCTCCCCATTCTGTTTCAATATGTAAATGTATTGCTTCTTGAGTTGATCTGCTTCCAGAAAAAAAACTGTGGCTGCCTATTTATACACAAAATAATTAGCACAAGGGCTTCTATGTTTCCATACGAATTAATTTTTAATGCCAAAGCTGAAAATGAGTGAAACTTTCAAATCATAATGTCAACGTTGCAGGTCGCTTCTTTGTCAAACTCGATCCATGCACGCAAGAAGAGGCATTGCCGTCATCGTTTGCATGGCTTCACGAAAGGTTTTAGCTCGTTACGTCTTCAACTCTATGAGACCTTTAGCCCTTAGGCTTTAGTGTATCTACAACAATAAGTGATTATTTATGTATAAATTTAAACTATATATGGTATATAGGAAAATATTTCCTCGCTATACTCTCCGACTATATGATAAATAGATCCACGCTCTTGTGTCTTGTTACCCATATATTACAACATTATGTTAGTTAGATTTCATGATCATTAGCTTGACTAATTAAATTAGAGTGCTGCTAAACGAATCCTAAAATTAACTAAGTACACCATACTACCAAACTATTTATTCAATTACTAATTTACCCTAATATAAAATGACCAAAAAGGATATATTGAGTTGTGAAACAAATTCAATTTTAATAAGTACACCGTACTCACCATCTTCAGCCCTAATCAAACTTAGAGAAGTTTTCGTATTACTTGGTTCCAGTAAAATGATTTGTCAGTCTATTTTAGTACAAGGATCTTGTTTCAAGTACCACCCAATGAAAAGAGGGAACGAATTCATGTAAAAAGAGAAACCTGATTTAGGATTGGAATTAGGGTGGTGTGTGATAGATTGTATTAGGGTGCACCAGGAGAATTTTTGGTAGTTAAAGAGGGTGTACTTAGTTAATTTTATATTTTAATTAAAATATTATGGTGTACTTAGATCATAGGGTGTACTCAGTTAATTTTAGGATTCGTTTAGCAGCACTCTTAAATTATCATGTATTTCTCTTAATAGCCTCAAACCATAAATCAAGTTCTATTATGTATGTATATATCTATAGGTATTTCTCTAGGTATAAATTCAAATGTTAATGAATTGTTGTGATTTACGAAAAAGATAAAAATAGTGTATGTATATATATTAATCTTGAAATAAACTATTTCAATATCTGAAAATTCATATAAATTAGTCATAAAGATACAACCACTAAGTACGAATGATGTTGAACCTATCTGGTTCTTTGGATGCAAGAATTGAGTTGTGCCGCACCATCCTACATGATAATCATTTCTCTAGAGAAAAAAGAAGAAGAAAAAATGCATACAAAGTTGGCCTCATTGATGGTGCCTATACAAACAATTATAATATGGCACTTGTCAATTGTTTCTCAATGCTTTAGTTCAAATCAATCGGGTAATCAGAAATTAGAAAAATCCTTGAAAACAATGTGTGCCAATCCCCATTCAACCCCAGAAACAAACATATAAAATATAATTAAAATTATTTATTTCAAAAGAAAAGTCCAAAAATTTATTGGTGTCAGTAGGCATGGGTATATATAATTGGTAGAAAGGGACAGTAGAAAATGTGCAAATATGGCCCATTTGACTTGGAGGGTGGGGCAGTTAGAGGGGAAGTTGGTGCAGCAAATGCCCCAAATTTGAACCAATTTTTTCTCTTGTTTTTCTTTTTTGTGTGCGACACACAAGACATTCTTTACACGCTTGAGAGAAACTCTTCCATTTCCATGGGATTTGTTGGTGGCTTGTCGTCATTCATCTGGTTTCTTATGCACATTTTCCCTTGCTATTGGTAAACTTCTCTTCTGTAAATCAACCACTAAAGTAAAAGGTTATCTTCTAGTACAAGCCATTGTCTTTTGAAGGTATATTCATTTAGGGTACCCAACAAGTCCAGCTTCTTAATAAACTAACCAATTTCTTTAATCTTAGAGATGGATATGGAGCTTAGCTATGTTGGCTAGAGCGAATGTACTCTACACTCTGCATTGCACCTGAGTTTGAATTTCCCCTCTTCGTAGTTTAGATTAGTTTAAAATAGAATATCGCTTGTATAAAATAAATAATAATAATAACAAAAAATCCTTGTATCTCTATTAATCAACCTACATTATAAGTGCTTATTTCATATATGAGCACCAAAACTGAGTAAAAGTTAAGAAACTAACGACTGCCATTGGCATGGCATAAAGTGTAGCTTCTACTTGTCTACGAATTTGCTTTATTTGATCCAAAGATGCAATTTGCCCCTCTTTAATAAACGATTTTGACACTCCTAATTTAGCTTTGTTTAGCTCCTTATTTATAAGTGCGTAAAAATTTATAAAATATACAATTTGAAGCATCATAAAGCTAAACCAAGAGAAATGTCAAAAATATTGCCTTATTTAAAAAAAAAAAGATTCCTACACACAAATTTTGATCTTCCAGCCTATGTTCCTCGTCGGGTGACCAATTATTTATAAATAAGGAAAGGCCAGCGATGAAAGCTAAGCTTGACTTATTATCATAAATTATCTCTGCTTTCCTTGTCGAATTAACCAACTGATTTGTTTTCTGAAATGAGTTTGCAAACGACAAATAATTATTGGGCCCAATCGCCAATCATGTACATCTCCCTTTAACTCCAACCAGACTCACACAAAAGCTCCCCATCCAGCCTGGACAAATCAATGGACACCTGTTGAATTCAGACTCAATGAGCTCCTCTTAAGTTCCCAAACATTTCCTCTTCTGAACAGGGCACCATTAGGTTTTCCTATTCCAATCAAAACTTCTCAACTTATTGTAAATGTAGGATAAGATTTTTTGTTTATGTTTTTACCGTCAATGAAATCGAAATTCACTTCATTTTTATGCTACGTACTACATTGCGATGAAACCGAATAATCTTTTACATACCAAACCAAAGTTTTCATTGATTAATTGGAAGGATTTCGGTTGTGAAATCAAGATGCAGTTAGCTTTCAAAGGGTTTCGATCTCATTCTTTTACTTCAGAATCAAAATCCTTTTGAGTCAATCAAATGAGCTTTAACCCTTCAAGTTGAAGATATGTAAAGCATGCACGGGCTTGAATAGAAACCTCTCTCAAGCCCATTAAGCTTTTGTGGAGCTTCAACAACACTCAATTTTCAAGTGTAAAAAAATTAGGGTTATTCTTTTTAGTCCTTGAATTTAGACCTGATTTGTATTTCCGAAATTGTTCACATGGTCCTTCAACTTCAGTTTCGTTAGGACAAATGATCTTGCCGTCAATTTTGTTAACTTTTCGGTTAAATGCAAGGATAAAATGGTATTTTTATATTTTTTATATTTTAAATTGATTAAAATATGAATAAAATATTTATATAAAAAATTCAAGTTTTTAGGAACAAGAACTAATTTTAATTTTTGGTTTGACTGAGGATAGGAATAAGATTTTTTAATTTTTAGTTTTTAATTTTTGGGTAAAAGGAATATTCAGAAATTGGAAATTAAAAAATAAAAAAGAACCATTTTACCCCTGTATTTAACAGAAAAGGTTAGCAAAATTGACGGCAGGACCATTTGTCATAATAAAACTAAAGTTGAAGGACTACGAGAACGATTTTGTATATTGAGGAATTCAAATACAAATCAGGTCAAAATTTAGAGACTAATAAAATGAATAGTAAATTTGGCTTACACCCTTCAAATTCAATTTGCCGTACCTAAAACCCTTCACTTTTTGTTCCTATAAATAATACCCAATTTGTATAAGTAAAAACCCATGACTAGGATTCAACTCAGCAAGTTACCTAATTAAGCATAAAATCTGATTTATTGTACTTTTTAGATTCCAAAAATACCCCCAACTAAGCCATTATTGCATTTTGTATATTAATGTATGAATCAATATGGAAACAGTTTTTAATTGGATTGTATATAATGACAGATGTTGAATTTGGAAAGATCTCCAAATGGTTGTAATGGATGTATGAATTAATTTTGAAACATTTAAAAAAAAAATTTAACAATAAATTCAAATTTGGGTAATCGGTTTGTTTAATAAAATGTTTATGTTATTTTCTTTTTATGAATTATACATGACTAATAATCCACTTTATAATTGTTTATGAATAAAACTATACATACTAATTATGTTGAAAAAATAATGTACCTATTACTTGTTTGTTTTATGAAAAATATAATTTACCTAGTATGAAAAGTGTACATAATTATCTATTCCAATATACCTACATTATACGACATCCAATATACCTACATTAATTTTAATGTACTTACAATTAGGATTTAGGTATTATATGTCATCCAATGTACCTACCATTTGAATAATATACCTACTATGAATAAAGTACCTATTATTTATCTAAATAATGTTCCAATTTTTTATCTAAATAATGTAATTTATTTATTTTTTTCTATAAATAATATAGCCTTTTTTCTCTGAATAAAGTACCTATTATTTGTTTTATTAAAAGTAATTTTTTAAAATGAACCTATTTTCTCTCTCCAAATAACTTACCTATTTTTTCTCTCCAAATAACTTACCTATTTTTTTCCTCTAATAATGTACCTAGGTACATTATTGGATATGTAATTTATTGGATACCTATATTTTATATGTATATATTTATATTATAATTTTCATAAGTACATTATTGGATATGTAATTTACAGATTTTTTTTTGTTTGCAATTTTAGGGGGCGAGATGTGAGAGGGAATGACAACTATAAGAAATGGGGTGATTGATATGCTATTAATAGGGAGTATATTAATTACAATTATGACAGTTAATGAAATGCTTGAAATAAATTATAAATAAAATATGAAGTTTAGTGGCAACGATGTAAAAACATAGAAATACTACGACCTCTTATATTCTACTAGTCATTTAAATTTGAAATTGGGTTTTACACATAGATTTATAGAGTGATGGGTATATGTCTAGGAAATAGAAAATGTATGGATCTATATTGGACAAGCCCTAAAATGAATAACAAAAAATGAAGAAATGGGCATTACGTGGCATTCCCCATGCAAATAACAGCTAAGCCCCGAACTGAAAGAGAAGGTAAACATAAAGGAAAAATGCATTTATAACAACAGTTGGGTTCGCATTGAAAGCATTTTCTAACCACTTCTGCCATTAATTTGAAGCAAATCCTTAGACTCTGACTCTGACTCTGAGAGAGAGAGAGAGAGAGAGAGAGAGAGAGAGACTATTGTGTGGCTGGCATGGCCGCCACCACCACCCATTCTTGCCCATTTCCTCCTTCCCCACACTAGTACTCTCTCACTCATCTTCATCCCCTACTTTAACTTTGTCATTTTCATCAAGCCACCCCATGGCAAACGATGCCGTTTTCAGGGCCTCTCTGGTTTGGTTGGCTGCAGTAATAGTGGTAGTTGGAGTATGCACACAGTCTTTCAAGAAGATGATGTTAACTTACGTGGTTGGTGTGCTGGGTATTTCTGGGTTGCTCTTGCCCGATTGGGGTTACTTTGACCGAGACTTTTCGCGGTGGACGTCTCCGGTTTCGGCCGAGGAAAGAGCCTCTGAAGTTGCTCAAAGATCTGGGTTAATTAGAAGGTCAGTTTATTTTTATTTTTTCGGACATGTGAGATTTACTGGTTTTTCAATTGAATGTTGTGATTTTGTTGTGGAAGAATATTAGTGAACAATTGATTGATGTTTATGCGTTTAGCTTAGGGTCATCATTAAGTAGTAAAACATCAACAAACAAAATTAGGGATCGTTGTTTGGCCCATCGACTTAAGGTCTGTTGGACTAGACCAGCCCAAAATTCGGCCAGCATGATCATATTTTACTTGGTAACTTGAGCTACAAACCCGCTTGCAGCAACTTATTAATCAGTACTGTTATATATTAAGAAAATGTTTTTTTTTTCAATGAGAGAATTAAGAAAATATTGTCTGTCAAGTGTTAAGAGTACAAAAATTTAATGATAGCAACAATAAAATTAAAATTTCAGGGCAATATAGTAATTAACATTTGTTTTGTTCTCACTTCTATATGATAACTTCTTTCTACACATGAATACAATCTAAGTATATTTTACGTATGTATGTTATATCACACACATATATAGAGGGGTTCTCAAATAAGTTTATTTGATTTGAGCGACACTCTTATAGGGTCCACCACATTGTATTTCAATGATCTAACCGTGTTCGCCTATTTTATTAATCACAAGTATATTCATGGACTAAATTTGTTAGGTAGTCCGGAGTGTTTGACTTGTAACCTAAGAGACAATTCTCCCTTTTGCAGATTTATAAAAAATCCTATGAGATTGGTTGCTTATGCCACAGTTTATGGGTTTGCTCTACACAAGTGGTGGATGTTCATATCAAGCTAATATCAAGCCAGAGGAGATCAATAGTGTTGGGGTACTTTCTAGTTTATCGGTATGTAAATTATGAATGATGACAGTTGCTATTGCAATATTACTTTGGGTTCCATATCTATAAGATTTCCAAATGCAATTTACTTGGAAGATATAGCTCCAATTTCCTCTTGGTTTCCAACATGCTTAATTTGGCTTAAATTTGTGTTGAAATGCATGCTATGAAGACTACATTTTTATACCACATGATGTAGAAAGCGATGTTTATTTTCACGATAGGAAGTAAAACTTGAAAATAAAACAAGAAAAAAAAGAAAAAAGACTTTTAATTAGTTGCATGGTGCAACAATTTTTAGTGACGACTGGGTGAATGAATTGCTTGCAGGTATGATTGAGTAGAGAGAGTGTGAAGAAAGGAAGAAGAGGTGACCGGACAGTAATTATAGGCACAACAAGCACAAATGTTATTGTCCTAATTTTTCAAGTTGTTATATGTTATTTTCTGTAATCATTCATCAATTAATTGTTTACAAAACCAAAATTTAAATATGGTATCTATATATATATATATATATATATATATGTGTGTGTTGTTTTTACCATTGGCCAAGCAGGCATGTGAATGTGGTGAAGGCAAAGTAATTTCAAAGTGAGGTGGGTTCGACAAAAGTAAATTCATTTTAACTTTCAGAGAGTAAAGTGTAAAATAAACCATGATTAAATAACGATATCATAATAGTTTAGAGTATGGCGTGTATAAAGAACAAACTAAAAATATCTTAGTAGAATAATAATTAGTATACTCAACCGTTAACAGAAATCCGAATTACAATTTCAAAAGTAGCATAAAGGAGGTTTCAGCCATCAAAGTTACATGCTTCTGGCTTGATAATCTTTGTTCAAAATCTGAAAGACAACAACAAATTGACCAATGGACTAGGATCCACCTCGGGTTATCTGGACTTCCAAGACACGAGTTGATTTTGAACCTGACTTAGATGATACCGGTTTGAGATTGAATATGCAGACATCCCCAGTTTTGAGCTTGTTGGCTTCATAAAACTTGTACCATCCTTTTCTAATAGCTATACGATAACTACCCCTGGTTTTGCTTTCCCACTTACTTATGATCAGCGGCCATGATCTTCCAGACGGGTCTTTGAGAAAGATTCTGGATGTGGCCACAATGCCATTTGATCTTGCAAATTTCGCAGGAACAGTCTGTCATAAAACAACTACCAAATTTAGAGAAAATCCAAAAAAGAAAAAAGTTGTAAGGATTGCAACTCAACCCTGAACAAACAGACCAATTTCACAACTCTGCCTAGGGCTTTGCCACTAAAACTCCAGACTCAAGAAGTGTGCTTGAAGTGAACATCATGAAATTTTTTATCTTCAATAATACGCAAATAATAACATGACACACTTCATACAGGCAAAGAGAAGTTAGGAAACTTACCATATAAGAACGAAGAGGATCCCCGTGGGTTTTACTCATCATGGTACTGAAAAATGTCCTTGAGCTTGAGGATGCAGTTCCTTTTAAGGTTCTTCTTCCTGAAAATAGTCCAAGGAACAACCCACATTAGATGCAACCCAACATTCACTATAATTAAAAGGGTGCAATCCTATCAAAAGCATAAATATTGAGTGTAACCTGATGTAAATCTTGTGGGAAATGAAGGCAAATGAAAATTAATATGCCACTGCCATTCTTGTGTGAAATGCTAGAGAATTTTAAATTTAACCCACCTTTGTAATCATGCTGCTGTTTGTCGCTCTGCAGTTCATACTCTTTCTCACTACCAAGTGACTCATAGGCAACCACATTGAACACCATTTTGCCTTTGTGTTCAAATACTACCATTTCTCCAATGTTCAGGCCGTGATGGTTCACAAAAACTTCCCAACCTTCTTCAAAAGAAAGTACTCCATCAACACTCCTGCCAAGTCTCACACACCAAGATCCCAAGCAGCTTTTAATAACTGCTTTCTCCAGTTTCTTTTCACTCAGAGAACTACAGAAAGCTACTGGAAGTGACTGTTCATATGTAGAACAAAAATATTAGGCCACAATCCTAATCATTCAATTTTACTGAAAAGTATAAACAGTTTACACGTTAAAATGGATGGACCTACAATCAGATTTTATGGGATGTCCAAATGCAAGAAGCAAATCCTTAAACAGTTTACCCGATAATAAATAATTTACCAAGACATAGAAACTCTAGATTTGTCAAGAGAAAGCATATGATCAACTCAAAACAACATAAACCTGGAAACCCACATATATATTAAACAGAGAGCGAAGAGAAGAGAATCATACAAGTCTTTTGTTGAACCCAGGAACCAAAAACTTGAAAAACACAGAGCATTTCCCAGCCATGAATCCTGATGAGATGAGTGAACAATAAATGTAAAGACAGGGAGGAAAGTTGAAACTGTGAATGGACTGAGATTTCTGTGGCTTGTATTCTCACGAAACAAAATATTGGGTTTAGCCTTACCAACTGAGTGCAAGATATATATATATATATATATATATATAGCCTTAAAGGACCAATCGCTGCTCTCCAACGCAGCATTGGCTTACAGAGAAGTGATGGAAGCGCCATGAATGGCATTGGCCGGAGCTTGTACTTTGAGTACATAGTGCAGGCTATAGGGGTCGGAAAAGCCTGAAGCTTTTGCAGCATCGTCTGTGTCTGTGACTCTGTCTCTGTGCTACTAACGCGTACGCCTAATAAATGGCATATTGTTAGAGAAGAAGCCAGCAAAATGGGCCTGCTGTGCCTTTAATTGACTGATTGCCAAAATGAGAAAAAGGCCCATTAACTCTAGCGCATTTCATGTAAAAGGTAAAACCTTTCAAACACAGCGGAAAGGCTATAATGAGGGCTTAAAGTGAGGAGGTTATTTGAGGAGGTCAAATCTCACCATCAACAAATATAAAGAAATCATGGGAGTTAAATATTTTAAATGTTTTGACGGTCAGATCGGTCTCCTCAAATAACCTCCTCACTTTAACTCCTTATTGTAGAAGCTCCCTCAAACACAGTACAGAAAGCTGGGTCGAATTGCACCCCATTCGGCTTCTCTTGTGTTTATTTGACTTGTGCTTTTGCAGGGGTATTTATAAGGGTTTAGGGTTTTGGACAGGTGAGGGTTTTAATTTAAACCATATAATTCACTTACTCCACACATTACCCTCTTTTATATCGTTGATTAAAAAAGAGAGCCCTATTTAATGTCAAATTGATCATGATCACTACCTACATTCCATCAAATTGTGCACTACAAATAGTAGCTAATAAAAACATATGTGTGATTACGAATGGGCATCAAGACCGAAAACTGAGTCGCACCGGATATAAAAAAAATCGTGTTGACTAAAAAGTCAATAAATTGACACTAAATGAATTCAAATCAATTCTGATGCCGGTTTCACACCTTACAAACCGGAACATGTGTGTAACTTTTTAAATTTAAAAAAATAAATTATTTAAGTCCAATACTAAATTTCTAATCTCATAATTAATGCTTAAGTTCAAATATAAAAAGGCATTTAGGAATTAGTTTTCATTTGAATAGTTTGCAGCAGTTATTAGACCCATATGGCTTGCTGTCGAACCACTTTGAAGAAATTCATTATTTGAAGACTAAATCAAAACCCCATTGAGATGAGAAAAAAAATAAAATTATAGAACAAATAAAAACTCAAATTTGTTCAAATTGACTCCTTTTAATATGAAGAGCAAAAGCTTTGGCATAATTAAAATATGAAGTGACAAATGAGATGTATTGTGATGTCATGTGCCATATGTGTTGGTATTTAAAAGTTGGGACTTAAGTTGGTGCTCGTAGCATTATTGGTGTGATAAAGTGTTAAGGTATACAAGGTATTTTTGGTAGTTAAATAGGGCGTATTTAGTTAATTTTACATTTTGATTTAAATATTAGAATGTACTTAAATTATAGGGTGTACTCGTTTAAATTAACAACAATCTAAATTTTTCTCAGGGAGAAGGAGGAATTAAATACATAACCTCATTGCCTTGGCATGGTAATATTTATTAGTTTTTAGTTATAATATACATAAACTTTCTCAAAAAATTTCAATCTATTAGTAGAATAATGGGTAAATTACTCAAATAGTCCTCAAATTTATACCCAATTTATATTTTGGTCCCTCAATTAAATTATTTGTTCAAATGGTCCATCAACTCTATATTAATCGCTCCATTGATCATACCATTACATTATGTTAATGTTGCGTCCAATGTAAGGGTAAAACCGTTCATAACCATCCTACCGTGATAAAATGGTGATACATAGGTGATACAGTGGTAATAAAGAGGTGATACATAGGTCAAAAGTCTTATTTACTCCCACAAATGTAGCATGTGCTGCTCACATGACTAAATTTAACAGAAAATGTAACGATAGGATCAAAGCGCCACCGATTGATAAAGAGTTGGTGGACCATTTGAATGAATAATTTAGTTTTGGAATCAAAATGTAAATAGGGTATAAATTTGAGGACCATTTGAGTAATTTACCCTAGAATAATTGTTTTTTTTTTTTTTTTTTTTTTTTTTTTTTTTTATAAAATAAGAAAACCCATTTTCACTGCTACCTATTACCTTCCAAATTAGCAATTCAAGAGTAAGGGTATTCGGGTAATTTTCTCAATCAAATAAAACCCTAATTCTTTTCCCCTTCACGGTCATAGACGCTCACCTTCCCCTCCGACTCTCTGTATTCTATCTCCCTTTCTCCATCTCTCTCCACATTGCTGCCGGCGGCCAGATTTCAGTCCCCACCATCGGAGAATCAGAGGTACTTAGCTTACCCCTACTCCCTTTTTTAGCTTTTTTTGGAAAATCAGAGGCGCATGATTTAAGTTTACGAATTGTTCAGTTTTTGTGGTGGGTATGCATGAACTTATATTTCCAATCGTTCAAATTTCTGTCTGATTTTTAGGGCTTCAGCTTCTTCTCTTGTCCTATGTGCTTCGCCCTTTTTCTGTGCTCTGTCTGTAGCTATAGAAGTGTTTAATCAATTGATAGCAATTTTTTGTACTGAATGAGAGAGAAAGCTTTGATCAAAGATGTTTTATTTATTTGTTTTCTTCGCTTCCTTGTAAGATTTTTTAAGCCAATTTTTGTGTGTTTACATGCTGTGTCTGACTGCGTACACTTTTCGAAAGCACGAACGAGCAAAAACTAAACTCTAATTGCAAAAACACGACACATTGCTAGGTCTAATTGTTGTTATTGACTTGTGACCTCAGGTCCTCAAGCAAAAGTGAAAGGAAAAATCACTGCTGTTTAGGCTAGATAGTTAGAGAGAGATGAGGCTGCTAACCCACAACATGCTATCTTCCAACATCAAAGGCGTGACCAACGGCTTCCCTCTGCGCATTGAAATAGAGAAGGTCGTGGAGAAGCAGGTTGACTTCAATGCTGATTTCCTTAGGAACATGTTCCCTAAGATCGAGTGGAAGGCCCTCGTCGGCGCCGCACGTACTTTGGGCTATGTCGAGCTCCCTGAGGAGGTTGAGCCTTCCAGGCTTGATTCTGAAGATTTTCTGCGCAAGTTCCATCATGCCCTTTTGGAGCTTCATCTCGAGGAGGGTGCGCTTGTTTGCCCTGAGACTGGTCGCCGGTTTCCGGTTTCTAAGGGAATACCCAATATGCTACTTCATGAAGACGAAGTGTGATTCAAGTCATGGTGGACTGGACTGTCATTGCTCATCTTGTACTTACTGAAATTAGGGATTTTGTTCTGCAGATTTTGTCACTATAAATTGGAATGTTATGGTTTTGTTTAGTTATTATGTTTGATTTTGATATGTTGAAAATCATAGCAGGGCTAAAACAATTTTTAAAATGTGGCCTTATCTCTTGAACTTGAAGCCTTAAATCATTGAAGAGTCATGTAGAACTAACGAGTACGAGGAAGACACAACTCACGTTTTATATGAAGTTATTGAAGGGCAGCAATAGAATGTTTGAACTATGATACAAATTTTCCCTCCATTTGGTTTAGAGGAAGTACAAAAGAAAATCTCTCTTCAAACTGAAAATTGGCCGATACTTCTTCCTAACTCTTTTTGCAGCGAGGGGTTTCACAAGAAGGAGGTGGGACGCCAAAAACCCAATCAAGGACATTCAAGTATTTGGATCGGAACACTTCCCTCTCCTGTGCATAGCAATGCATTATGATTGCCGTGGATAAGCTGAAGATTACAACATCAGCTCTCTTCATTTTTGTTGATGGTGGCAAGTATCCGGTATCAGCCATGCACGTGAAAAAGCTCTCGATTGCCCGAGCAAGACAGTAGAGGGAAATCTCAGTTCGCCTGCTTTTCTTCTCAATGGCCAAGGCCAAGCCAGTTGGGAACTGCCGAACAATGCAATTGATTAAGCAAAGATATAAAATTCATCTTGCTACCAAATTAAAAGAGTTAAAGAATGTTCATACCGTCCCCATTGCTACCATTGGAATATTACATCTCCTGAAAATCCTAAATAGAAAGCATGTCCATGCCCTGAAGAACAATAAGAGATGGCTTTTTAACTAATGAAAAATCCACTTTCTCAACAAAATTTGAAGTGATCAGAAGTAACAAGAAGCTGGAAATACAATGATTTACCATTTTAAATATGTAAGTTCATATAATTATTTACCTGACATATAGTGGTGAATATGCCAGTTTAACTTTTCTTTTTTCGTTTTTATAAAAAAAAACCCAGAAATCACCCAAACCCGCTTCACAACCCTGGATTCGAAATTGGGGCCCCTGCTGAACCCTACTATCTTTGTAAGGCAGGAAACTCTAGCAAATAGCTAGATATCTTGAGGAAGTGAATCCCAGACAACGTGGGAGCAAACCATGGGCCTGACCACTTGACTAGCTGATTCCATATCAGATATTGTCCAACATCACTAGATTATAGCAACTTATTTATCCCTTGAAATATCAGATTTTCTAAAATTCGTCCTGCTGATGATGGTCCAGGCAACTATATTAACCCAGAGAAGGAAAAAGGAAACAAGCACAACAGAGTTTATAAATCTAGTAACCTAGTTCTAGGGGGTCCAAAGTGTTTCATCTGGTCTTGAGTTCCTTGAATATTCTATATCCACTGGTTTCCTATGCTTTGCAAAAAAAAAAAAGAAAAAAAAAAGTATATATATTGCACTATGTTTCAGTTCAATTTTCATCAGTCCCTACATCTGGACTTCATGCCCCATGAAAATAATTTTTCTGAAGAATGATATATTGAAAACTTATCACAGAGGTATGAGGAAAGACCTAAGTTTTAAAAACTGATTCTGGATGCTTCCCAGGTTCTCATCTATGCATATTCAATAAAGTGGGCAACTTTCCTAGCAGCAGGTTTCACGTAAATGGTACCATTAGAATGTGAGATAGAAGAAAATAGCTGCTAACCAGGCAGATGAGCAATATACGGATAGAAACAAGCTTGATCTTGCAGTACCAAGAAGGCCCTTTAGTAGTATAGAGTAATGCCTGCATATAAACAGCAAACATAAGGAGCAAAACAGACAAAAGCCAAGATTACATTAACACAAATACAAATATCCAATATGTATATTGCAAAAAGAAGTTCAAACATGGCACGACTATATGATTGCAATATGCATATAGGTATGTATCAAATGAATATGATAAGAAAGAATGGGTGATGGTTTATAAACAACTTCTAACAAGACATCAGGGAAAATCAAGAAACAAGAACTCAGGCAGGTTCTTCAACGAAAAAAAGAAGGGAATAAACAACTGTAAATCAAAATGTTTCTATTGCTCCAATTTAAAATCGTCAATCACGCCACAAATTGATTAGTGAATCAAATTCCCATTCCCATCAAATACTTGCTAAACCAAAAAGCTATCCAGTAGTATAAATTTATTTTAACAACAAGAAAGCTCCTAAATTACTAATGCATGGACTGTATTTAAGATTATCCACCAAAAGCACGTATAGTACACCTAAAGCCACATATCAAAATCTCAACATCCCTCAGTTCTCAACTTCTTTTTCCAGGAAATTTATACTAGAGCACTTGACCACATCTCCATAAAGCATCATCAGTATAGGAAAAAAGATGATCAAAAGGAAATTATATGAATTACCTTTTCAGGAGATCTTGGCGATGAACTATAAGGGCGGGAATCAGATACACTGGAAGATAAACTGGTAATGCTCTCTTATAGGCTTGAACTAGGAAAGAAATAACATGCGCACTACATGACTGATCTCCATGTACAATCTGCATGAATTGTGAAAGCTTAAGACTTCAAATAACAAGATTGAAGTTAATGAAGTTTAAACAATTTTGATAAAAATGACAAACAAATGAAAATTATTTTCACATGGTAGGAAAAAGGTAGAATGATAATTGAAGAATGCATACCGAGCAGGGAACTTCCATGGCTGGATCTAGTTTAATATTTGTTCCAATGGATTTGTAATATTTTTCTATTGCTTCCAAATTAGTAAAAGGTATGCCACTTGCAATCTCTTTTACACCTTGCAATATTACTGTATCCTTTCCACCATGTTTATTGAGAAAAGATTTGTATGATGGAGGTAAACTTTCCTGCTTCAATATGTAAGCAGACCTGAGAAACGAATTGTTTCCTCCTTTTAGTCATAGTACAGTCTAGGAAAAGTAAATGGGTATCAACCCTAAAAGTTAATGGTAAGCAGAAAAACTTGACAACTTCAGTAATCTATAAAACACTGAACATACATTTCTAAGTTTGATGCATATGAATGGGACACCATCCAAAAGCAAAAAACATAAACTTTGAATTGCATCAGCAACGATATCCATTAACTTTTAGGTAGGTTTGGTTAGCAGTCACCAGAGGATCATAATTAGGGTTGTAGAAATTGTAACTTCAAAAGCAACAAACTTTTTAAGAGTTTTCATTACACATTGTGACTTAGTAGTAAAATCAGCTTTGACGATCAACAAGATGAATTCATAAACAGATCCAAAGGTCATGGAAGTTTTATCGATTTCCACAAATGGCAGTGAATTTCCATCATTGCACCATAAGAGAACATTTTGCACTCATGCCATCGTTAGCAATACTTTGCACTAAAAAGGAATATTTTGCAGTAAAGGGTACATACAGAATTTGCGAAGAGGAGAGACACATAAGAAAAATGTCACCATGAGCCCAAGTGAGAGGTTTACAAATGCCCCCGAACCGTTTGCTTTTAATCCCACACCGCGACGCCAACACAGCAGCACGCATAAGTATGTATATGGCCAAGCTCGTATGCTGCGTGTTCAGGCCAGTGAGAAGCATCGATGGCCCAGCTATAGCCCCTGCTAACAAAGCCCTCCATTTGGCTGTCCTGAACTAGAGTAACAAGTAACAACCCAACCCATCAATTAAGTCAGAGCAAACAGAAATTTAGTTTAAGCAGAAAATGAGAAATTGAATCATGGAAGAACAGGGAACTTGCCTACGGTGACCAGCCAAAGAACCTATAATCTCATCCACTGAAACAAATGTACCAGCAAAAGTTCCAAGAAATAGACCATATCTCAATGTCTCTTTCAAAGCAGTAACAATAGCTTCATTATTTGTAATCACACCCTCCTTCCTGAATAATGAAAATAATCATTACTTAAATTACCATAAATTTGAAGTATTGAAAATTCGTTGCTCGGTGAGTTCTTCACCTGAGAGAGGCTAAGAGCTTTCGTCGTCTCAATCGAGCTAAGATGGAGAAAATGGCGAGCCCGCCTTTGAGACCGGCTCCGATGGTGAAGCCCTTGATTGAGGCAGTTACGACCCGCCGTAGCTTTTCCGAGTCGCTCAACGGCACCGAAACGTATCCGAGCGAAGAAGAATAGTAAAATGACGACGGCGACGGATCGGATTTCTTGCAATGCGTACAATTCGGATCGGCGGATTCGTGGTGGTCGCCGTTAGGACCGCCATTTTCGCCGGCGAAGCATGTGCAGAGGTCGCCGGACGGCGACATGACAGATTCGGGGTTTGCAGGAATGGCGTTTTTTGTGAAGAATACCAAGAATATTCGAAGCAGATGAGAGGAGTGTGCGTAAGGGCTTTGCGATTATCGAAATGACGATTGAGAGAAACGCTAACGAGTATGACAGTTTAGGTCGTTTGGAATGATGACGTGATAATTTTAATTTTAATTTTTTTTCTATTTGCTTTTTTTTTCCTTGTTTTTTTGGGAGGGGTGGTGGGGGGTGGGGGGGTGGGGTGTGTGTGTGTTAAGGAGAGGCTTTTCTTGTTGGGAGAATTGAGTATTTATTTTGTAAACTTATTTTCAGTCTTGTATTGGATAATCAGACTGGGCAGTTTCATTCATGGTCTGACAAAAAAAAGTTACATCTTGTAGAATTGCTCTGCTTCATGTGGTGCTGGATATGGCTAATAAGGAGCAGTGCCTCTAGTCGACTCCCATTTGGGACAGTTGGCCATGTGTGTGAGTGACTTTCGACCATTGGCCTCACAATCAGGCTGCTTGTATCGACATCTAATAATCGTGTGCTCGTGGGTGACTCTCAACCGTTGCACCCTACGTATCGACAACTAGTATTCATTCATGTACGTATCGACAACTAGTATTCATTCATGTACATGTGTAAGCGACTGTCCCAAATCATGTACATGTGTAACCCACTGTCCCAAGCAAAATAGTCCAAATCCGGCTAACTAGTTAAATTAACTTAACACTCTACTACCTCAATAACTAAACTTTAGTTGGTGAGAATATCCACTCCATCCTATCTCATCTAAAGTCGCATAATAGCTGTTCGGTTTGGTAGCTTTACATTTATATCTTCCGGCTTGTAGTGTTTGAACCCATAACTCATGATGTATGAATTGAAGTAATGAATATCTAAAAAAGCACGGAAGCTCCTTGCTCAAACATTTGGCCTGTGACCTATTTAAAACGGAGAAGAGGACATTAGAAGATATAGTATATTAATCTCCATGACATAGGAGCAATTGAATATTACATCACTAGTAAATTACTTAGAAAAATAAAAAGGTCCATAAGCATACACCTGCAGCATTTAGAATGTGATGAATGACTAATATACTTACTGCAGCTCAAAGCTCACTTTTATGCCCAAAAGCACTATGGCAGCACCACAATTTCTTTTGCAATTCCTCAGTACTAACTACAGTGGTGCTTTTATAAAAATAAAGCCTCAAGGGAAAAGAAACAGAAAATAATGACAACCTAATTGTTGCAGCAAGTAAATGAGGGCAGCAAGCAGCAGGCCACTTTCTCCTCCGAGTAGGCACAATCAGCACCGACAAAAACGGATGGTGTTTGTATGAATTTGCTTCAATTAAGCATGCATTGTCCCAATGTGAGAATGTGACAGCAAACATGTTTAAAGTAGCACCAAATAATTGCTGCTTCCTGACCTGTATATGTTTCTTGAGAATGGAAATCAAAATTTGGCAGTGAACAAAACGGTTAGGCTCGCAAATGAGTTAGTATGAATTCAGAGAAGGCTCAGATGTGGACTATTTTTTTCCTTTTGCAATACCAGAATCTTTTGGGAACATGAATGGTAACTGCTAAAGTCACTATAATCCTACAATTCTGAATTTATAGCCGGTGCTCCTCTCTAAGTATACTGTAAAATCTCCAATCATATTCCTTTGGTGGTTCCCATTTCATTTCTTCATTCTACCTTGAGAACAATCTTCATGAACTCATAAACGAAGTAACTTATTGCAGCTGAGGGAAGTACCTGAGTATGCAAAACACCAGAGATAAGAAAACAGACATAACCTCAATGCTTACAATTTGAAGGGAATGCAACAGTCTTCACATGTATAGCAGAGGGGTATAGGACATGGTACGACGATGCCAAGTATATACCTATAGAAAGAGATGCATTCAGAACTTCTAACCTAGGAATCCATATACATCAAAACTTCAAAGCCATTGAACCAAAGAAATATAAAAAAAGAATATGGCAACTGTATCACCATATTAACTTTTGTAAAACACAACAAAGTAGCTAAAGTAAATAGGGATCCATGTAATAACATGCCTGTAACAAGCTGGGAACAAGTCCTGCATAAAGAGCTGGGACACCTCCATGTTCCACTATTTTCATACAAGTTGCCAAGGCACTCATTTTAGTTGCCTGGACTTGCAATTGCAGCTGTCTCCTCACCACTTCAAACGGATATGTGGCAGCTTCTGCACAAGCACCAGCAATAGCTCCATAAAGTAATGTCCTAACGGGTCCCAGCTCCAGCTGGTCGAAAGCATTCAGGCCCAGCCCTTGTTGGCTCATCTTTTGAATTCTTTTCCTTCCATCTGGTGAATGCAGATAAGCTGTTTTTAATATATCATAGACACCATAGAAAACTGCACCTGAAGGTGCCATGCTTGCGATGGAGGGTACCAAGCCCTTATAAAGTGAAAAGAACCCTTCAGTTTGGATCATGTGGCGGAAAGCACCAATTACACCACCCAAGACTTCCCCACCAGGAGCCACCAACTTAGTCCGAATCTGAAGCACACAACATCTAACTTAGCATATATAACTAATTGCATGGTTAGTATATCTATGTAATAGCAGGGTACAATTAATAATATCATAAACTTTGTTTTTCTTTCTTTCATTAGGCATAACCAAAGTTAGATCTGCTTCAGTGTGGACTAACTTCCAAGAATGCAAACTTAATAGTCAATACCAACAAAAAGCACGAAGTGCTCGGCTTACAGGTAGGACATTTTTGTATTTCTTCCATTATAAAGGTAAACCATAAATTCTATCTTAAAATGAAAAAAAGAAGAAAAGGAAACTAAAGCATCAAAAGGAAGACTTCACTTTCAATAAATGAAAGGAGACATTTATCTATGCACCATACCCAAGATTCCGAACAAATTATGCTTTGACCACAGAAAATATCACAGTGAGATAAGTTGTTTAGAGTGGGCACACAATACAACTTTCAGCATAAGTTATTTCAGACTATCTTATAATCCATATCTCCGCCGAAACTAGTTCCCAAGTGAAAAGGCATACCCTTGTTGAACAATTACATGCATACTTTCTATTGGCTTGATTATGGAAGGGAAAGTGAGTTAAATCATGTAGGTTTAGCTGTGTCACTACCTTTTCAAATCCTCGCAAACAGATTCTTGAATTTCTATTTCAACCACTTAGCATAACCCAATTTCAGCTAGTAATTGATCAAACAGCAAAATCCTAAACGGTCACTTACTGTGTCAAGAGGTAAGCAGAGTATGGTAGCAGTAATTCCAGCTGCAGCACCAGCAACAAACCTCTCAAAATTTGTAGTCTCCTTATTTCCGGAGAAGCGGAGCAATTGTTTTCTGTAAGTATCATAAGCATAGAAATTGATTGCTTTAAATGGAGCTGTACGAAGAATATTGACTAAGTTTCCCTTCCAAAAGCCCCTCAAGCCCTGAGAAACCGCAATTGACTTAACCAGCTCGAATAGATGCCTCTGTTCTCCACGAACTATATATTCCAGCTTTAGTCTCTCAAGAGGTGCAACAAAAGTTCTGACACAACAACATTCAATCAGCCACAAATGAAGTGCTAAATGGTAACAATCACAGAGCGTCTAATACCATAATCTCTACATGCAGATTGTAAATGAAACATAAAACTCCAATTTTCCGGTTCTCAATTTCTGTGTGTCATCCAGTTCACGAAACATGAAATTCCGATTTCCTATCCATAAAACTCCCGTAATTTACTGAAATCAACAAATTAATAGACTCAACTGAAATTAAGTCAATGAGAAATCAAATTCCTTCAAACTATTCTTCTAAACTGTCAAATGCAATATATACCAATTACCCAGAATAGTTTGAACAAAATGATGAATTATAAAAAGCAAAAAGCAGACCTGGAAACCATGGCGGCTATAGCACCAGCCCACAAATGCTTGGTGGTGTTCATAGCTCTACCTCCCCTAATCCCAACTTTCTCTGTCCTCATCTCTTCAACCACCGCCTCCTCCGAACCCTCATCTCCGTTCTGCAACAAACACCCTTTGGAGTCCCGTACAACCCCATCGCTTTTCAAGCTCACCGACAAGAACCCACCTCCAGCCACCGCTCTCAGCCTAAACCCATACGACGAACCAGACCCGGAAACGACAGCAGAAGAAGACTTCCGGAACGACACTACGGAATTGAGCAGAGAATTGGAAACTGTGGGTTCCAAAAACAAGCCGCCGATGATGAAAAGGCTCGAATTTGGGTCGTCCATTTTATGCGTGGGAATGGGATTGAATAGGTTTTGGGTTTTGTGGGCTGTGGCTGTCGTCGTCTTCGTCAGAGTGTGTTTGGATTGTGGGGTTGGAGAGTTCGAGGGATTGGAATGCGAATGGTAAGAAGAAGGGTTGGTGAAAATGGCGGATTTGGCAGCTTTGCTTCCATCGCCAAACATGCATAGTACAATTCATTTCCCTCCTACACAGTATACTATGCTTATTTTATCATTTCTTATTTATTTATTTTTTTCTTTTATCTATCTCGCGCTAATGATTATGTTTCTTAAGTCGGAATTATTTGTCTTTTTTGAAAAAAAAAAAAAAAAAAAAAAAAAAAAAATAAATGTCTTTTCCATTTTATTTTTGTAAATAAATTAATATAAATACGATTTATTTTATTTTAGTTTTTCAGGCGAAAAATAAAGTTTTAAAATATGTCAAAGAGGAAAGGAGAATGTTGCTATTGATGTTTTGGTGGTAATCTTTTGTTTATGCCCAAAATGAAGCCGATAAGGTGACACCAACCACCAACTACCTTTGTCAGTGTGCTCATTTTTGCAAACAAACGATGATTCGACAATGTCTTTAATCGACTATAGTTGGTTTATTGATAAATCAGTGCAATTCAGTCGATTTTCAACCAAAAAAAATGAGGTGTGGCGGTTGCAATAGAGTCGAGGGAGAGAAGACAAGAACGAGAGAGAGGCCATACAAGAAGAGAGGGAAGATGAATATGAAGGAAGAGGAGAGAGAGGCTTGTAGGGTTTAGGGTTTAGCCCTAAACTCTAAACAAATACACCCAATTCGGTTTGGTTGAACATGGTACAATTAAAATTTAAATAATAAATTATACAGGTTCAACTAGTCTATTTAATATAAACCTAATTTTTTTAGAAGAAAAAAAAAAACCGAATTGAACGGTGAGCACATGAGATGATGACATTTTAAGAGCTTCATAAATGTATTTGTTTATTTCATAAAGAAAAAAAAAAGAGAATTACTATTATATCCAATATAAGGGCTCAAATTATTTATATAAAAAAAAAACCACATGAAATGGACTTTAAAAACACATCCAAAACCCATGTACGACATAACAAAAAAACTTCAAACTTCCTATAAATTACAAAATTGTCATCAATTTCTTAAAATGAGTCCAATTCAAAACCTCATAAATAAAAACCCAAAACAATCAATTGGGCATCAAAGTAATTTAATAATGAAAATTAAATTCAATTGAGCAAACTGTCATTTTTTGGGTTTTTTTATGGGTAAAACTTAAATTACAAATTTATAAATAAACCCAATCCTAGACATGTATTTATAAAAAAACCCAAGTACTATTTAAACATAGAAACACACCCAAAATCAACCCCAAAGTCAACTTTTTGGGTGTGTTTATAAATGAGTTTTGAGTGTATGTAATGATGGGTTTTGGGTGTGTTTATATGTTTAAATAGTGCTTGGGTTTTTTTATAATTTCAACCCCCATTTTGGGTGTTTTAGTGAAACTCCCAACTTAAATTTACTTTTTATTTATAAATTTGTATTTTATTTATTTATAAAAAGTTTAGTGAACAATAGTCTCACCTGAAATAAATTATATTTTTTACTTGCCGCAAAAAAATTAAACAAATACTAGGCCTTTTTTAAGGGAAGGAAAAAACTCTATAACTGTGTCAACATTACTTTGGCGCCAAGATCATTTCAGTTCCAAAAATCGCAGAGCTCCAGAGAGAGGGAGAGATTGATAAACAAATTTCTAGGGCTTTCTCTGTGCGATCAATCTTAGATTTCAAAATGCAAAAGCTAGGTTTTCCGAGTATGAGGAGCTTGGATAAATTCAAGTCCCTCTCGAAATCGGTCTCAGGAACTTCGAATATCTTCGCCTACTCCTCGCGTCCTCCAGATTCGAACTCTTCTGGAAGTTTTGCAAATTTGAAGCTCACCGCAGGTTTTTACTGGAAATTTGTGATTATTGGTTGATTCTCTATGGAATTTGGAGTTTCTGAGACGATTTGTCGTTGTTTTGTTCGTTTACAGAGAAATTAGTGAAAGAGCAAGCTTCTGTGAAAACTGATCTGGAAATGGCGGTACCTCTCTCTCTCTCTCTCTCTCTCTCTCTCTCTCTCTCTCTATCGCTTTCTATCAGTGTGTGTGAGTGAATGAGCTTATCTTTCGTGCTAGCTTGTGAAATTGTGTGGTTAGGTTTTTGTGTCTCACTATCTGCGTCGATTTGTTAGGATTTCAATTTCTTGTAAATAGGTGAGATTCATCTATCTCTATAAATTCGAAGGTATCTGACCAGAGATTTAAATGATAAATGCAGAACACAAAGCTGAAAAAATCAGTGGAGCACATCCGTGCATTAGAGGAAAAATTGCAGAATGCTTTCAATGAAAATGCTAAGCTTAAGGTGAAGCAGAAGGAAGATGAAAAGCTGTGGAAGGGATTGGAGTCTAAGTTTTCTTCAACCAAAACTCTCTGTGATCAACTCACAGATACTTTACAGCTCTTAGCTGGCCAGGTTCAGGATGGTAAGTCTTATTTTGAGTTCTCTGACCTTTCACATTTTTCTTATGTTCACAGTGTTATTTATCCTTAGCTTGCTTTAACAGCCGAGAAAGACAGAGAGTACTTTGAAGGAAAAATCTCTGCGAGTGCAATAGCTCTTGATGGTTTAAATCAACAGATGAATGGTCTGTCTCTAAAATTAGAGTCTGCAGAGGACATTATAAGGAACCGTAAGTTGTTTCCCTTTCATTTCCTTTTCCTGAGAGAATGTTTAAATTTTAGAATGTAGGGATGATGCAATGTTTAACTGGATAAGGGTGCATTTTCCTTTCTGTGATGTTTCTGAATCCTGACTGTAGGTGAAAAGCAGCTGGAGGAACTCAAATCTGATAAAGAACAAAGGGAAAAATCTTACGGAGATGAACAGAGCAGAACTGCAAATCTCATAGAGGAAAAAGGTAAACATCTTATGAATTAAAACTTTAGGCGGCATCATCACTTGGTTGCAACTAGATATTGCATAATGAGCTGAAATTTCTGGAACTACTGTATTTTTGGCCATTATAAGCCAATCTTGCAACTAAATAATTTTAAATTACAGTTCATGGAGCTTTACAATTCAGTGCTTTTGAAGATGGTTGAAGCTATGCATGCATGTGTCATATGGCTCATGCATTAGTTTTTCCTTTCAATGTAGGCAACCTTCCACATAAATTGCTTTGTATATGGTTTCTTGCCCTTTAAGTGATTTTCAAATATATTGTGTGTACAGTTGTACATCAACCTTGTAACTCTCAATATTTTGACTCGTAAGGGTGAAAAAGTGAAAAAAATAAAAATAAAATCTAAATTCGAGTTAGGCAGTTCTATCAGTATTCCTCTTACCTCTGAAGCCTCTTAAGGAATACATGCTTAATATATTTCCCCCTCTCAGATGTTCAGCTTTCTCTAAACTTTGTTGCCATACAAAGATAAAATTCTTTTCCACATGAATCAAGATTTTCTCTTAGAATACATTTTAGATCTGGTAGTATGTTTTTGATTGTCAATACAGTACTGTCTAATTAATGTATGCACTTTTCTTTAAAAACAAAAAACAAAACAAAAACATAGAAATGTTTGAAGGCATGCATTGTTAAGTTTACCTCCATGTTCCAGTCATTGAGAAAACAATTGCACCTTGAGCATGTTGAATGAAATTCAGAAATTATTATTTCAAGTTGTCGTGGGATTGTTTTATAATGTTTGTCATTTATGTCATTCCTTGCAGATGCTATGATAAAGAACTTTGAGGCAACTCTAGCAACTAATAGGTTGGCTACAGAAAGTTTGAACTCTAAGTTGGGTGAGGTGCATCTTGAGTTAAAATTGAAAGAGGATGAAATCAAACGTTTGATAACTGTCCAGGAAAACTTGGAAAAGGAAAAGCTCGGTGTTCAATTGAGCAACGATGACCTTGTTAAGAGATTAGATATGTCTGTCCTTGAGATAAAAAACCTTGAAGGGTTTGTTCATGTGTTGGCTGCACAATTGGTCGAATTGGATAAACGAAGTTTGGATTTTTTAGACAAGTTTGATAAGCTAAACTCTCTCTATGACGCGTGCTTCAAGTTGGTCCAGCATGAGAGAGACCTTTCTACGAAGCTTTCTCAGAGACAGTACGATCAACTGCATGATAGATTTCTGACCTTAACATCAGAAAAAGATACTATAGAATTGGTAAATCAGGAGTTGAACAATAAGGTCCTCGAACTCCAGAAAGTTCAGGAGTCTGTTGTGGCACAGCTTTCAGAGGAATGCCGTGTAGCCAGAGAGAGGATACAGAACTTGGAGTCTGAAGCAGAAGGTCTGGTCTCAAAGAATATTGAAACAGAGAAGTTGGTCTCCCAATTAGAACTGCAAATTGATTCTCTGTCAGAAAGTTCAAGATCATCTGAGAACAGAATGGTTAGCAAGTTCCAACACGTTGACTTTTTGCGTTTGAGCAGCATTTTTTCCATACTAAGCTTTGTTTTATACCATCTTGCAGCAAGATCTGTTGCTGAAAATTTCGGCATTAGAAACTGAGAGTAAAGATAATACAGAGAAATTACAAGCAGAGTTACAGAAAAAAGCTGAAGAAATAGATAGTTTACTAAAGGAGGGTGAAAAACATGAAGAGCAAGTAGATCTGATGGATAAACAAGTCAGTCAGCTTCAAAATATGCTAGAGGAGAAGGAGAACCTTATTCTGCAACATAAGGCACGAGAGAAGAATCTGGAAGAACAGAACACAGGGGTATGAATTCAGTGTGAATGTGTTGAGTGCATAAATCTGTTTTTTTTTGCATGTATTTACGATTCTGTATTTTTTTTTGCAGAATCAGGCATTGCTGGCTGCTGCTGAAAGTAAACTTGTGGAAGATAAGAAGCAATATGATCTCATGCTAGAGAGTAAACAACTGGAATTATCAAGGCATTTGAAAGATATCTCTCAGAGGAA